CTCCAAGTGTGCATCTGAATAATGATTTGCATTTTAAGAACTTCCATTTAAATAAATAGTAAATAGTAAATAGAATACATACGTGTTTAAGTATAAAAATAAAGTAACAAACTAATATATTCCAACTTATTTACTTGCTTTGTATTATATTAGTCTAATATACATTTATTCCAAGGCATTTATAAGACTTAAAGAACAAATTGAAAGAAACGTTGCAACGTTAGGTCATTTGAATTGGAATCGTTCCCCACTGTCTGTCGAGTGCCGCATTATTTAGATGGCAGATATGTAGACCAAAGTCTATAAAAGGCAACAGCATGCTGTCTAATGATGGAATTACTCACAGTTCATAGGGTGATGCTGGAAGGAGGGGGCGTTCCATGTGGTAGAAGGAAGGGAGGAAGGGATGCCGGGTGAGAATGCAAACGAGACCGAGAGTCTGTAGGGTAATTACTTGTTGACTGGCTGCCGCTGTCTGTATGCACGGACTTATAATTTAATGCGGTTCTTTATATTTATAATCCGAGCGTGGTGACCTTCACAGAAGATAACCAGCTGCGGTGCCAAGTCGCAATCCCGAGATACACATGCATGCACTTACGACATGCAGAACGTTGTGGTATTTCAGTACCGAGTCATTAGCAAATGTCTTGGCATAATTGAATCTGCATACTTAGCATTTAAACATGCATGTATTCGAGCGGTCAGAATAATTATAAAGGTTTTTTTTAATATCTTGATAAAACATTTTGAATAAATAAAAAGTTTATTTAAAAGTAAAGAGTTGGTTTACTAATGGTGAGCTTTATTATTTATTTAAATAATCAAAAAGTTAACTACCTGTCACAATTTAAAAATCATTTTTATCTTAAGTGACTGTGCTGATGTATTACTAAAATCAAGCTTGATAATGATAATGGGTTGGTTAAAGCTTTGACCTTTTGAACTTATAAACTGAATTTGTAAATCTAAATAATAAAAAAAATTATGTTTCATTTTAAATTAAACAATTTTCCATCTGAAAACACAACTTAAGTCTGAAGTGCCATTGTCTCGATTGTCCGTGTGCTTTATGGTAATGCATTTGCTTTATGTCATAGGTCTGGGCTTTGATCAATTATCTTTGGACTTTGAACGCTCTTCACTCTTCATTCATTACTAAGTGATAAAGAATGCGGAACCGATGTGGATCGTTTCCCCTTGAGGGATCTGCTGGGTTCATGTGCACTTCCAATTGGACTCTGGATAATCGAAATTCTTTGGAATGGGGGTTCTACTGTCTTATCACTTCGAATTGCGACTCGTTCCAGAAAGACATCTCAGAAAATGAGAGGAAAAAAGGGGGAGATAAGGGAAGTACAGTCTGGGACAGCATGATGAGTTTCAAAGTCGTGGGTGCAATGACCCTGAATTCATTCACTCGAAGGATTGATAAGACTACTTTGGAAGATCTGTCATTACAATGTTGGCTGATTGCTTTATTCAATTGAGTTGCATTTTCTGATTGATAGTAGCGTTTCAATTGACTAGGCATTTAAACTAAGTACTCATATTAGCCTATAAAGGAAAATAATATATGTGTAGTATTAAATTAATTTGTTAATTAGATAAAAGAAAAGCCACAATTTCATAAGACTTTGTATCTTATTGCACTGAGAAACTGTGTTCCCCCATTCTCCCCTTCATATATTACCATGTTTTATCATATATATATTAAGAATTCACTTCGAATTGTTCGAGTGATTTAAATTTAGTTAAATTCTAGTAATTAAAATTAATAATATAGAAAGAGCCTTTTGTTAATTAAATGTTATTTATCCGAGACAGGACATTCCCGATTCGACGTTGCCTTTCTTCTTTTCGCTTGATATATAATTTCAATGCGCTTATTGTTATTTTGTTTTTGTTTTGTTTTCTGTTTAAACATCAGTCAGCCCACGAACAAAACAACTGTTTAAGAAAGCGAATGGGGCGCGAGTCGCGGGAATAACAAAGCGCGAAAAAACAGAAGAAGGTTACAAAATACGTTGATTAAAATTCACAAAGAAACCGAAAGAAAGGGGCACAAAGAAAAATGATTATGCTCGATTCACACAGCAAAACGTCGTAGCCAAAGAGGCCCCTAACCCCTATCCCCCTATCTAACCACCCGAATCCGTTACCCCTCTTCCTCTACGAACCCATCAGCTGTGGCGCAGTCAAGTGCAGATGAGCATTTTGGTTGAAAGCGCAACGGACTGAGTAAAGTCCATCTTTAGCTCTCCCTTTCCCTCCTCCCAAATCTGTGTTTACCCTCTTCTCTCTTTTTAGGGAACAGTGATGCCTAGATGAACGGATTTAAAAAGAGTTAACCATAGACAAGTACGTTTAACCGGATGCCTTATAAACAATGTTGGTTAGAAATGGTATTGATGTTCGCCTTGTTTCCTGCTGAATACCTCGTATGGCTTAAAGAAAGTTTTTTACCAGATGAAGTAAAGTAAACTATTCCCATGTAAAATTCTGATAACTTGACATTTTTCATATGTAATCTTTATCTATATTTGAAAGATCTCTTTGTAATCCGAGTCTTTTGTGTATCTGAAACTATTGTTTAGACAAAAAATGTTTATCTTTCATCCCTGCCTTATTCTATTTGCAATATTTCACCAAAAAGGTATTCAATATCAAAATTCCAGTCAGTCCTCTTTTAAAAGTGATTCCTATACTGGTACTTATCAAGTTTAAACCACTGGTACTTAGCTAAGAAAAAGCCAGAATAACCACACCGACAAAGGGCTTAAAATGCAAATATATAGACTGTAAAACTGTCTGAACATGTGCAAGTGTGGGGACGGACTTAAAGGGATTTACCGAACGGAAAATTACCCGAAAAATGTAAAGCGTATGAAAGAAAAGCGGAACGCCAGTGGAAAGTGCTGCTTGTGGATTCTCAATTGGTTCAAGTGAAGTAACAATGGGGTAGGTCGCTTCAGAGGGCGTGAAAGTTACATCCATTAGAGGTGATTACGATCTGGAACGGCTTTCATGCCAACAAAAAAAAGGAAAGATTAACCAATTCTCTTGGAATAGGGCATAAGCATAATGGAATTTGGGATATTATTTCATCGGGCGGATTAAACACATTGGAATTTCTTGATGGAGGGGCAGCTCAATTGGGTGCGCTGGAAACAAGGCAAACAAAAAGGCTCGAATGTATAAATGTTTATAATCAAGTAAACAATTTGTATCAGAGAGGCACCCAATGATAATGATGATGATGCGTCCGCCGTCTATATTGGAGACCTTCCCTCCCCCAAAAATCAACATCATTGGCATGCCGCCCATGGCACTTGAGTTCTACACTTTCCAGACGGCTCACATATATATACATATACTCACATAATCAATCTATATAGGGTTCGCCGATATAGTCAGTTGGTAGCTGGAGGCAATATCTCTAACAAATTGCTACCATATCAGGTTAAGAATAGATTGTATACATATCTATCGGGGGGCGAGGCACTTGAAGTGTGTCAGTGATGACACTATTTTTGGGTATTTGAATTTACAAGATGGTTTCCATCTGCCAAGAAATGCCAGGAATGTATATAATCTATTATTCCATGTGCTCCAGTTTTCTTCGCACTTCCATATGTATATATATACATATGTTTATACAAATATATTCCGATTATGCGCGGATTATCAGCTGGCGGACAGTTGATTCACCTTTAGACTTTGCTACTTGGCCTACAAAATGTTCTGAAAATATTGTTTATTCATTCTTGATTTTTTTTTTTGTATTTCTTTGCAGTCAGCGTAATCGTGGTTATTGAATGGCAGCCTGCCATAATGGACTCGACGCCTAATGCGGCATTTAATCCGAACCAAAATCGGGATTTTCTAACGCTGCAGCCCCTGCGTCCATCTCGCGGTTCCAGCTCGAACCTGCGCGCCAGTCGCTCACCCTCTGCCAGCCGAAGTACCGAGCAAAGTAATTATCAATTATGATCATTAATCCTCCGGACTCCTCTCCTGAAACCACCATCCCCTCCTTCCTCGAGCACCTTCTATTCCATTAGTTACTCGCATAATTGGAATGATTGGCTCGTGTTGAAGCTTGAGCTTCCTGCATCTTATCAGCGGGTCTAATGCCAATCTCTGAGGGTCTGGATGCGGTTGCCGAGCTCGATTTGGTTGGGGATTGCTGTGCTATCAGTGGGCGTCCTATTCAATTTGTGCTTCCGCTATTAACTAGTCTGTGTAGAGCTGTGGAAAAAAACTGTTTAAGAAGGTTGAACTCTTTAATAGCATTTGCTATACTTAAGTCATCTATTTTTTTATATTAATATTTTAATATTTTCAATGTTACTTAAAAAGTAATCAATTATGGTGACCTTAGGATTTTGTTCAAATTCAAAGAAAAGTTATTGATTCCGTAACACGAAAATAGATTTTTAATGGAGTTCAGATGCTTAAATCCATTAGAGATATAGTATTAGAAATGAATTTTTACAATTACTTTATGAAAGACACTCTAAGAAAAAAAAAAATTAAAAATATATTCATTTGCTAAAATATATAAGTTGTTCTCCAATTTCAATATATATGATATATATTCAATATACTAAATACTTTAAGAAAAGTTAGATCTTTGAAATTGAAGTTCACTAGCAGATTTAACTTCGCACAGTTTTTCCGAAATCAGGGTATACGGTATTGCCTCGCCCACGAATTTCCACCCTGCTAGATGATGAGCGATGACTCATCTGCCAGAATCCAAAATACCTCCCAACCATCCCCTGTACGCCCATTATTCGCAATGTTCTTTACGAGTTCGGCATCAAGCAGCTTACAAACAGTCATGTATGAATCGAAATCAAGAAGTGTAGCCTACTTTTGAGTGCCTCAGACATTATTATTTATTGCTTCATTTGACTGTGCTTAACATCTGTTATCCGTTTGACTGCACACTTTACATACTTTTGTTTATATATTTTTATATTTTCGTTGTTTAGCTTTGTAACCGTTGAATGTTAGCCTGCCTAACTAGCTACACTTGCAATTCAAACAAAACCAATCAGAATCATTGGTAAATGTAGGTATACCAATATTTTCAAAATACAATTGTTTTGCAAGTTACTTACCAATACATATGCACTTTCACCGCCACACTCACTCACTCATTCATATAATCGTATTACTGCTTATTTTGGTTCTATTCACAGTGAAAAACACACGATTTTAAACGCTATTAAACTGCCTGCCACTGCTTCTTCTTTTATCCGCTCTCTGTCGTTTTCTGTCTCTATCTATTCCTGTTTGTCTATCTCTCTCTACGGCTCACATACAGGCTGTCGTCCAGCTGTCAATCAAAAAGTGAAATAACTCTTTTTAAAACACTCATTCATTCCACATTCAACGCACATAAAACCCGCACTATAAATCAGCGCCATTGTGCATGCAACAAATTTTTCACTCCTCGAAGATCTTTAAAATGCATATATATCGAATATGGATTTAAAAATATAAAATTGACGAACCTGAATAAAAATGAAATACTGTCAAATTGTTTATAAAAAAAGTTCGAGTTATAACGAAATTACTGTAAATCGTCCTTAAAACCATGTGATAAAAATTTTAAAAATATAGCAAGAAACTAATTTAAAGTTTTGCATAAATATACAAGATAATCTATAACTGAAAAAAAAACCTTATCTTAAAAAAGATTGGAATTTTAAATTCATAATATATAAAGCATAAATCCAAATTTAAATCAGTTATCAAACAGGAATTACTCTTAATTTCATTTATGAATCTTCATAGTAACATAAAAATGAAACACAAATACGTAAATAAAATACAAACTAAATGAATAATAAAAATTAAAAAAAAAACAAATATAAAAGACAAATAAAAAATATCATTACATAACCATATTTGCAATACAGCAAACGCTAAGTGCTAAACTTTCTTTTACGTTCTGCTTAAAACGCAGCTCATGATCAATCGAATTTCTAAAGAAAACAAAATACACAGATTCGACTTAGAGAATAACCCAAGTCATACTTTTCTATGCGCCACAATTCGCTAGTGTCCCGGGAGCGAGCCAGCGAGGCAGCGGCAGCCACTCAGACAGCAGCAGCGACAGCGGGTGGAGCGACTGCCCCATCGGCCGGTGGATCGGTAGGAGGAGGACCTGTGTCAGCAACGACAACGGCAACTGGAGGAGCAACTTCCGGATCCGGAGCAGCCTCCGCGAACACGAACAGCAATTCCTCGGCCTCATCCAGCACAGTGGCAGCTGCACAGGCGGCTGTCTACAGCGGCGGCAACACGGTGACCGGAAGTTTGGGCAGCGGCGGGGTGGTGGCTCGCGGCTTTCGCAGCCACAGTCCCACCCACCGGCGGCGGAGTCGCGAACGTCAGCGACGCACCCATGGCTCCGATCAGGGCGGCCTGTTGGCCTACAGCGGTCTTGTTGGCGTCAATGACATGACGGACTTCTTGGGCCCACAACAAGGTGGCGGTGGAGGAGGTGGCGGCGGCGGTGGAAGTGCCGGCACAGGCAGCGGTCTGGAGGACTCCCGACTGTCCGGCAACGAGGACTACTACTCCTCCTTCGTGTCCGACGAGTTTGACAGCAGCAAAAAGGTGCATCGTCGTTGCCATGAACGCAGCTCAAGCGTCCAGGCCATCGACCGATTAAACACGAAAATCCAATGCACCAAGGAGTCCATCCGACAGGAGCAAACAGCCAGAGATGGTGAGTAATATAAACTACCATATACTACCGTTTAGTATGACGTTATAATCTTACTTAATGCCTTAAATTTCAGATAATGTCAATGAGTATCTGAAGCTGGCAGCCAGCGCAGACAAACAGCAACTGCAGCGTATCAAGGTAAGTTCATAAATTCATACTTTATAAACTTTAAGTTGGAACTTTACCTACTTGAAACTTCTTGACAGGCTGTCTTCGAGAAGAAGAACCAGAAGAGCGCACACAATATCTCGCAGCTGCAGAAAAAGCTGGACAACTACACAAAGCGGGCCAAGGATCTGCAGAATCACCAGTTCCAGACAAAGAGCCAGCACCGTCAGCCGCGTGAGGTCCTGCGGGATGTGGGCCAGGGTCTCCGCAATGTGGGCGGCAACATTCGGGATGGCATCACTGGCTTTTCCGGATCCGTGATGTCCAAGCCACGGGAGTTTGCACACCTAATCAAGAATAAGTTTGGCAGCGCCGACAACATCAACCAGATGAGCGAAGCCGAGCTGCAGGGCATACAATCCGCGAATGCCGACGTCTTGGGCAACGAGCGCTTGCAGCAGGTGCCCGGAGCCGGAACCTCGACGGGGTCGGGGGGCGGCGGACAGAATAACAACACAGGCGGAGCCGGCAGCGGTACGGGAAAATTCAACAGTGACAATGGCAGCGAATGCAGCAGCGTGACCAGCGAAAGCATACCAGGGGGGTAAGTTAAATTTTGATTTTTACTAATTTTGGGTGTTACCCAAAAGACATTTTGTTTAAATAAATATCAATTAATTTTTAATCATTTAAACTATGTACCCGGAAATATTCTTTAAGTCAAAAACAAAATCAATGCATTGAAGACACAACTAATTCAAAATATTTTCTCATCGTAGATCTGGCAAAAGCCAGTCGGGGGCCAGCCAATACCACATAGTGCTCAAGACATTGCTGACAGAGCTGGCCGAGCGAAAGGCCGAGAACGAGAAGCTGAAAGAGCGAATCGAACGTCTCGAGGTACGCAGATCCCCCAGGGAACCCAAGGGAAATCCTTGATCCATTAACATCTAACATCTCAACCCATTTTTCTATTTTCGGTAGACGGGCCAAAAGGAATTCAACAATCTGACCGCCACACTCGAAAGTGAACGCTATCGTGCCGAGGGACTCGAGGAGCAAATCAATGACTTGACGGAATTACATCAGGTTCGTAGTTCACTTGGCTGACGCTTTGGCAGTTTGCCCGACATTCGTGCTCATGCTTTGCCGCCTTTGTTTGACAGAATGAAATTGAGAATCTGAAGCAAACGATTGCCGACATGGAGGAGAAAGTACAATACCAAAGCGATGAAAGACTACGTGACGTCAACGAAGTGCTCGAGAACTGTCAAACGAGGGTAAGTTTAAACGATTGTGGGTCCTCCTCCAACCCCAATCCAAACACGCCAAACGTCGAATGCAAACCGAATCTAACCGTGGTCCTCTCTTGCATAGATATCGAAAATGGAGCACATGTCGCAGCAACAATATGTCACCGTCGAGGGCATTGATAATTCCAATGCACGGGCCTTGGTTGTAAAACTCATCAATGTGGTATTAACGATATTGCAAGTGGTTCTCCTGCTTGTGGCCACCGCTGCAGGCATTATAATGCCTTTTCTCAAAACGAGGTAACTACTTGTATTTCTGAATTCCGTGTCAAGATGAGTGCTACTAAATATATTTGTTAACTTATTTTCCAGAGTTCGCGTTCTCACCACGTTTTTGTCTATTTGTTTCGTCATCTTTGTGATACGACAGTGGCCGGATGTTCAGGATATTGGTTCCGGGCTGGTGCGGCATCTCAAGCAATCGCTGGTGGTCAAGTGAACTCGGTCGGGCTGGTGGTGGCCAACCATCTCATCTACCGAGTAGTTTATACATTACGTTCTTTAGTTAGTTTTAGTTCTAAAGTGCATATTTTGTATATAGCTTATCGATAACGATTATAAATATTCTTTTTAACTGAAATTGTATCAATTATCAACACGAACACACACACACACATTCGAGAAACTGTACAAAACATTCATACTCTATTCATTACTCACCTAATCATCACATAAACACACAACACTCTCGCATCAAATTTAGCAAAATTGATTTAAACTATGTAATAACTTGAAATGCTGACATGTCTCCGTGCATTACTCAACTATATTTGAACATACATAATTTATGTATAACCTATATAAAATATTTACATTACTATAAAACAATTGAAATTATAAAAAATGAAAGTTTGTATAAATCGGAACTTTATTCACTATGGGAAAATTTATATAGTCTGTCACAAAAGATAAAACGTTGCGGGGTGTATAGCAACATGAAATCACCAAAAAAGGATTAAAGGACTAAATGGCTTTCAATTAAATTTTCAATCTATAAACTTTTATTGGACTAAAGATATACATATATAAGGTGTGTATGCTTATAGAATCAGCTGCCAACTTTCTCAGCTTTAGTCATATAACAACTATAATAAAACTTGACAGAAAATAGATTATAAATAGCATTCAAGAATTTAAATGTAGTTATTTTCCTAATTAAATGCTGTCCAAACCTGAAAGGTGTTCGACCCATAATAAACAAGTCTTTCCTCGATTTTTTACGGATATGGTTATCATTCGTCAGACACGTCAGGCCACTATAAACATAAAATGTGGACGGGGGTTTTATAGTTAGAGAAAGATAGGAAAATGGCTTTCTAAGAATTTAGCTAAAACCCAACCCACCACCAGCTTTTATTGCTCCCAAATTTTGCCGTTCATACAGAAAGGAAGACAGGTAGATCTACTCGGCAGATTATTTTAATTCAGAAATGTACATTTTTATAAGTACTAGTAGCTGGAAAATAATAAATTTGGAAGTAGTAAGGATTTATGGATTATGGCAACCAAGATATTAATACTATAAACCTATCAAACTTATTTTAGTTCATCAAAAATATTAGGAAGCAAATTAAAATGTTAAAAAGCCTTTTGTAGGTATTGGGATTACTGACTCACTAAGCTCCAGATTCTACCAGCAGATGGCGTTTGTTTCTTTCTGTGAGAAGTGAAATTTTTAGGAAAAATTCCTCCATTATGCGGAAGCGTTAAAAAAAAGGTTGGTATGTTTTTAAACATCTTTCGGTAACAGAAAGATAAATTTGTAAAATAGTCCTAGATGGATAAAATTATCCGATCGACTCAAAATTTCTTACAATGGAAACAGCCATTGCAGGAGACGTCCTCCTGGTAGATTCAGATAGATATAGCTAAAACTAAAAATAACTTAATAACCTTAACTTTGATATAGTCCCTCGACGGCAAGCAAGAAGGATATAGTGGTAGAAAATGCAAAAGAGGAGCTATGAACGAAATGTGGTTCTGGGACCAGAGATCCAGAAAATGTCTCAAGATGAGGTATCTCGGTTGTGGCGGCAACAGAAACCGCTACTGTTCCATAAGGCATTGTCAAAGCTCATGTCCTCTAAATTAAAAAATACAATTGACCTGGATCCTGTTACAATATGATGTTAATATGTGAATTTAATCCAAATGAAATATTAAATTGTAAGAAAATAATAAAGTTTTATAATCTCAATCTAGAAAAGATTATTGTCGAACTTGCTCTATTTCCATTAAATAAGTCAACAATTTTTATACCCGTTACTCGTAGAGTAAAAAGGTATACTAGATTCATTGAAAAGTATGTAACAGATAGAAGGAGCGTTTTCGACCCTATAAAGTATATATTTTCTTGATCAGGATCACTAGCGAAGTCGACGTAGCCATGTCCGTCAGTCCGTCCGTCCGTATTAACGCTGAGATTTCAGGAACTATAGCAGATACAAATATGAGATTAAGCATGAAGATTCTTGAGGTCCAGGGACAGCGCAAGTTTATTACACCATCCTGCCACGCCCACTCTAATGCCCACAAATCGCAAAAGACTCAAATCGCTGAAATCTCGGGAATTATTAGGAGCTAGAAATTCAGTATGTATAAACTTTGGATGCCAGCGCATCTTTTAGTGGTACCAATATCCGGCCACACCACCCATATGCCCACCAAGCTCAGAAGACGGTTTTCGCATTTTCAAGAAAACCTGATATCTCGGTAACTATAAGTAATAGAAAGTTCGGATTAAGCATGTAGATTTTTATGATGCCCCAAATGCGAACGCAAATGCCACGCCCAGACTAACGCCCACAAAAGCCGAAAAACCAAAAATCTCGGGAACTAAAAAAGCTAGAAAGTTAGGCTTAAGAATACGTATTTTAGGGTCGCGGCACTCGACTATAGCGTTTCCTCTTGTTTGATATAAATCAATAAAAAATTTAAGAAAAAAGATTTTTTATTCGACTTTTTGGTTTAGTCTTATGATATTTATAATTTATATATTTTTTTTTACTTTTGAGTTCAAAGAATTTAAGTAAAGTCAAAGGTCACCCATTTTTACCTTTAAATGCTTAAAATAACAGTGAAAGATCTATTCGTTTTATGTCCATTACGTTTATTTTGTTGAATGTAAATTAAATTTAGATTACACTGCCACAGCATTTTTAAATATATATATATATCTGCATCTATGCCCTAATTGATTTCGTTTTGTCGTGAACAGCATTTATTGGTTGCATATTTAATTTTTGTAGGGAAAAATAATTACAAACTAGCGCTTAAGTTTTCTACTTTTAGTTGAGTGTGGCAACGACTTTTAATTTAAATACAATTTGATCATATTTGAAAAAATTCCTTGCTCTAGAAAACATGGGTCGAAAATCTTTTGCATCATTGGATTCATATAAGTTATATGGTTAACTTAGAATTAGTTAAATCGAGAATAATGTACAATATACAGGCCAATGCCACATAATCATTTGTTTTAATTAATTTTATTCTTGTTGGAAAACAGTTTTCAAAAACTTAAAATAACACACTTTGTGGGTAAAACATGACTAAGTTCTTGAATCAGTTTAGCTTTTTTGTATTTGGGTGCTTGAAGTTAACAACAGAATCAATGATTAAGCGAATCAGGTAAACAATTAAGTCTTAAATGTGGTAACTTGTTAATTATTTCGCTTTCCATCTTTATCGTTTACATTTTTGGTTGGGGTTTGCAGGCGAGGCGGTATCTAGTATGCCAATTAGGTTAATTGTAAAATGTATATAAAATAAATCACAATTTGTATACGCATATAAATGACGTGTGTGTTTCGTGTCTGTGTGTGGGTTTTATGTGGGTGGGTGCCCTGGAAGTGGGACATCGCACAGTCCAACACAAGGTTCGGCTACATATTTATTAATATTAATAATAAACATTTGTTAATTGTTTAAAACAAAGCAGCTGGCAGCCACAGCATTGATCGCGAACCCAAACGAAAAACTCGTGGTTCGAGGGTCAGCGACCACCTACAACCTACAGGCTAAGGACTCGTGGCGAACTAATTCGCCTCATATGAGAAACTGGCGATCGGATTCGCTATGCGGCAGGGCGGCCACGCCTATGCCGCCCTGCGTGGGCGTCTGCAGAAACGCCGAATCATCGATGGCTGTTGAGTCCGCGGCCGGCGTGCTGATTGCTATTGGTTCGTAGATCGAGCGATGCGGTGGCATATCGTCGTCGTCCTTGAAGGAGCCGCTTAAATTCGGATTAAGAATGTTATTCGATGCAGGCGAGGATACAGAAATTGTCCCCGTCGCCGGCAGACCCATGGCACTGGTACCGGACTCAACGTGCTCCAGATAGGGTGGCGCCGCCACACTAATTACATTCGGTTGGCGACGGAAGAAAGAGCTAAAACAAATCGGTACATCAAATTTAGTTTGAGTTGTCAAATTAGGAATTTTTTAAGTTAATATGAGCTGTCCCTAAATACTTCTGAATTTTAGCACCATTATTATATTCTTACCCAAAATTGATCCGGGACCAAACCGAAGGACGACTTTCAGTTAATTGTTCGGCTAGATGAGCCGGTAGATTGGGAGCACGATCAAAAGGATTGATGCGTTCGTGTGTCCCAAAGGTCGTGGCTGGACGCACAGCAGACTCCAGCAGTGCTGCATAAAAAAATAGATTAGTTCTTTCAAGAATCAAATAATTAAAGGAGACGCACCATTCTCATCATCAGAGCTCTGAGACTCCTCAAACAGATTTCGGCCAGCGTCTCCACGCCGGAAGGTTCCATGTCGCGTGGTTCCGGCGGCAGCTGCCGTCACTACACTCGAGCTGCTCCCGGCAGCTGCCCCAGCAGCCGAAGAGGCAGAGCTTATCTGGGTTGATTGTCTGCCATTGGACTGCTGTTGCTGCAATAGCGGCGTCGTGTCATCATCTGTATCGGTGACATTATCCAAAGAAGGCTGTCGACTCCGACTTGCACGAGTTTCGCCCTTCGTAAAAACCTTGCGCTTGCAGATGGGACAGACTCGCCGGTTTTCGGTAAGCCAGGGATCGATGCAGTGAGTATGATATGCTGTAAGAACGAATAATCAATTATTCCCTGTATGATGGCAATATACATAAGATTCTCAGAAGCTGCAGATTTGGAAGTCTTGAGTGACCGCAAAGAACAGAGTTTAATAAATATGTCTTCTTACGGTGTGAGCAAGGCAGCACACGCAGCTTATCGTCCTCAATGAAGTCCTCCAGACAGATCACGCAAGTCTCGTACTTGTTGTTCGCATTGTTCTTGGTGTATCGGAGCACTGGCAACTTCTTCAGCATGCTCTTTGGCAGTCGATGGCGACGCTGACGGCGCTGCTCTCGGATGCACTTGTAGATCATATAGATAACCTAACCGTCAAACAAAGAAGTCTATTAAGTACATAACAAAGCGATTAAACCCAACGATCTCCCACCATGATTATGAAGCACAGGCCAATCAGTATAGAGAAGGGCAATATCAGCTGGGTATTGATATTGAAGGGCAGCTCATCGTTTATGATTAGCACCACCTCGGGTGTATTGTACGTGGCCAGAGCTTTACCCGTCGTGTGGCCCACGAAAACCGAGGGTATTCTTATGCCAGTCGAATTGTCAGCGGACATTTGTTCTGTAATTTGTGTAAAAATTAGAACCTATATATTTATATGACATATGACAATATTTTCTTACCCAAGTCATCGCCCTCATTATTGTATACAATCACAGCAGAATAGCTCGCATTCTGGGCCACTCGTACCTTGCGCTCAAAGGTGCATTCGCCACCGCTACAACAAATTCGAAATTAGGAAAATCTATGAAAAATATATCAAATATATTTTACTCACCGCGATACTAGGGCCACAAATTTGGCTGAGGGTGGGTAATTCAAGTGCGGTGGCCTGTCCAGACTATCACAACCGTAGTAAGGGCGCCTGGCGGGAACCACATACACTTTGAGACCATTCGATGGCAGATTGGGACCAAACTGTGCTGGCATATCATTAAATTCCTCAATCAACTGCAGGAAAACAATTTTTCAATTTCAATATACGATATTTTAAAGGATACAAAGAATAACAAAGTAACTTGCCTGACTCGTTGTTTTTCGGTAGACCAGGACATGACCCCTGACCACGGCCGCCTCATGACAGACCAGGCACAAACCCAGCAGGGTGAGAATGTGACAACTCTTTTTGGACATTCTGTCGCACAGGACACAACTTCTAGAGACGATCGGGCCTTCGTCTATACTGTTATTGCTCTAGTCCGCTATGTCCACAGCTGCTACGATTTGTCTTCAGCATCCGCACTATTCGCATGTCTCATCTGTTTGCCACCGCCAGCTATTCTGTGCGTTTGGGTTTCGGTCTGGAAAACAACAAGGAGAATGTCATTAAACAACTGATAAATCTGATATCTTTAGATCCCAAGATGCTTCTGAAAGACCAAAGTACATGCTAAAAACAATCTTAAGTTATTCGATTATATTTGGATTAGATATATATTTCTTTCTCGGAAGTTTATCATTAAATCATCATATTATTATTATTTTTTCTAATTGTTCTTTAATATAAATTAATATTTTATTTTATGTAGTCTTTGTTATATAATTTAGTATCCCGAAAGAAATCTCGCTGCTATTGTTTTGTCCACCACTGTGAATGAGGACCCTGCCTGAAGGCGACCTGCGGGTGTGCTACTCCTCCCCTCCTACAAGTCACTGGCAAACAAATAGCTCAGCTGATAAGATAAACGGCTTGTGATCATTGTTTTTCATTGTATTTCACGACCAACTGGGTTTATTGGTGTATTGTTGATTCTGCAAAATTGTACGTTTCTTCAGTCGTGCTGCATGCAACAGCTGTTTGGTTTGTTGACACAGCGACGGGCAATTCAATTTCTCGCGAATGCATTTTATTCTTACTTAATAGAAAAAATCAACGCATTTCGCTGTATTTCTGTTATTGGTCGCAATTTGCCGTCAATTGATTTTATCGCAATCCAATAGTGACCGAGATCTTTGGGGGCAGCTACAGTAATCAAAACAAATAGGTCTGCTTGCCGGCTTAGACCAGATGAGTCACGAGCAGCGTTCCACGATAAGAACCAGATCGCCGCCAAAGCGGCGATGGATTCGATCCCCAGATGGAGCACATGCAAATATGGAAAGTTTTTAACAAAAAGTTATATCTGCTAATTCATTTGACCAACACACACGGCTAGGTGGTGTGCAAATATGTGACAAATTGTGTATTAAATTTACGATTTAACAAAGAAAACGTCACCGGCATTAGCACATCGATAGACAAACGGAGCAGAGACTTTAATGAGAACGTGACTTTGTTTTTATTGGTTGGGTAAACAATAAACGAAAGACCTACAATGCGAAATTTAATCTGAGGAGGCGCGTGCGTATAATAGAATTTTTCTAAAGGGAATGCCCAAAAAAAAGCGTAGCTTAAAATTCTTAGTTACTTGACCATCATATATCTTTAAAAAACCTTTTTGATATTCAACAAATTTGTATTCGTAGGCTGATTTCAAAATTATTTTCCTGTTTTTAATAAATCTTTGCTTTGGTTAAAAAAAATCGACCTATAAGAGCTTTATTTAATATGGAAGTTATTGCCCAGACTTGAAGAGCATTGAATAAGGGATTAGCAGAAATGTATTTCACGTTGAATTCAAAATTTCCCCTATCAAATTTAAATATGGTGTTTTAATGGTGGTAAAACTTGTGTAATGCGTTTCAAGTTTAAATTTGTCTTTAATTTTTGTACGACTTGGTAACAATTTTAGTTAAAATATCATTTGCATGATGAATTTGATAGCATTGATCAATTTAAAAATAAAACAAAGGTAAAACCAAGTATTCCTTTCTCGAATAAAATAAAATATAAAAGTAAGCACTTTATCCCGGCAGACAGATTGGATTTTTAGCAATGAGGAAACCCTCGCAAGACCGGATTTCGTGAATTTCGTATTAATTCGCTTTGTTCTGAGGGCTAATATCAAATTACACATTACAAGGCATACGCAGTGCCCGCCCACCTACACTTATACACGCACACCTTGAACTTTACAAGGCACAAGTGTGTGCTTTCAAGGTTTTCTTTTTGTGAGAACGTATGTATTGTACACACACTTATTCCATGGAACGTGTAAAACGTGGGTTACAGGTGAAAATCACCAAAGGATAATCGAATAAGGCGTAGAATTGGAGGCAAGGCGGCAGCTACAAGTTAATGTACTTCAATTTCGTATATTCGCTTTTGTTATGTTTTTTTCAGGCGTATCTGCTGTGTGTGGCTTTGTATGTATGATTGTGTGTGTTCAATTAACACAACAACAAAGCAGCTGAGCGATTTCCTTTGCTTTTCCCGAGTTTGATTCATGTACACCCACGGCCCACTCACTTGATTAGTGTTTTTCGTACTTTTGACTGACGGTTTGGTCCGACTTTCTGTCCAATTCCTATATCCAATCAGATTTTTTCAACACTCGCTCCCTTCTTCACTCGTCGCCATCGCACTGGTATTGCGTTGTACTTTGTTTTGCTCCTTTTTTGGGAATTTGATTTCCTCGGTTTTCCTTGGTTCGTGATCGAATTTAAGGGGACAGCGCACTAGCTGCCGATAGAGCATTACAGTCGCGATAAGGAACACTTTGGGCTCACTTTGCTAATTATCAGATATTAGAATTTACATCTGCCTGCACACACACAAAACTAGAGCTGGGGCTAAATCGATGATTATTCGATACTATTGTTGTTGCCAGAAAAGAGACATCGATGTTTTTGTTAAACGATAATTGTCATTTGATTCACACTTCGATAACATTCGTCGTCAAACCATAACATCGAACGAATTCAAATCCCAAGGCCCGCAAACGTAAACAAATATTTACATGTTTTTAAATTCACCAATTTAAAATACTTTTTGAATACAAATTTGCAATAAAAGTTGATCGGCAAAAACATAATATACTTTCGCATAATATTCCTTATTTATTTTTTTCTTACATATACTTAGTTTTCAAACGAGTTCCATGTTTTTTTTTTTGAATGATTCTATTGAATAAGCTATTTAACGGCTTTTGGTGAATATACTTAAATTCATTTAAAGATATTACGGTTTCTAAGAAATGCCAAAAAAGAGTTTTTTAATGTATTTGTAAATAATTTGTGTCTTGTATAGAGAACAAATAAATGACTTGTTTTGTATCAAACTATTTCTTTTCATACTTTTTACTTAAAACGGACTCTGTTCATAAACCGATTTAAAGAAACTTTTCGTATATTATGTAGAACAATAATGCATTTGGATTATGAAATCTTAAAATCACATGACTGCAGGCTACTTGATCCAGAGATACATTTTTCCCTGGATAGTGTGCTTGACGGGATTTATCTTTTTGAGGATTTTCGTCATGGTCTCAACCAAACGGTCGCTGGAGACGGGCGTCTTCTTGTTCTTGAACTTTGTAAGCAGTTCGGTGGCAGTAAGGGGCTTCCGTTTGAGATAGCGACGTACAGCCTCCTCGGTGATGCCGTAGTCCCTAAAATAGATTGTGTTTACGATAATTAGACAATCCAACAAGGATTTCATGCCTTTACTTACTCAACTTTGCCGCCAGAGAAGGAAGTGGGTAGAGAGGTGCTGATCTCGTTCTTGGGCCTTTTGGCTGGGGTGCTGGTGGGACTGTTGCTAGTGTCTGAGCCGGTGAGATCGCTGGGCAGGCTGTTCATCTTGCGCTTGCTGGCGTCCGTTGAGAGCGTTGGCGTCGCCGAGCGAGATTTGTTTGCATTGCTACTACTGCTGGTGGAGGCTTTGCTGCTGGATGCGCTTTCTTTTTCCTTATCCTTGTCTTTATCCTTGGAGTTGGCCTTCTTCTTAGGCGGCCCATTGCTGAGGTCATCCTCGGAGTCTGTGCTGTCAGAGCTGAAGTCAGTAGACGAGTCGCCGCTGCCATTCGCCTTGCTCTTCTTATCGTCTTTTGATGTTTTCTTCTTCTTCTTGTCCTTGGAACCCTCCTCCTTACTTTTGTCCTTCTTTTTCTTTTCGCCGTCGGCTTCATCTTTGTCCGACTCATCAGACTTCTTTTCGTCATCTTCCTCTTCGTCGGAAGTAAGCAACTTTCGTAGCGCGTCTTCCTCGGCCACGCCTTTCATGTCCTTGTCGACCTTTGCCTCTGGATCTGGTTCGCTAAAATTACGCATATATAGTAATTAGGGTATCAATCTTTTTTTTTAATTTCGGGTACATACTCTTCACTGGAACTGGTGTCGTAGTCCATCTCTCGGCCTTCTTCGTCGCCATCGTCCGATTCTTCAAAGGCCTCGTCATCCACATCCCGCTTTTTCTTTTTTTTGTCTGCCCCCTTTTTGCCTTTCCCTTTGGATTTACCGTCGTCGCTGTCTTCCTGTTCTTTTTTCTTCTTATCCTCCTCGTCTTCTGAGTCGGACTCATCCTCGGAGTCGATCCATTCGTCCATGTCAGTGATCTTGAGCTCCTTGGATTTTTTGGTGGCTGCCTTTATCAGTTTAGCCTCCTCAGGATCTTGTTCCTCCTCCTCATCGCCGCGCAAACGCTTTCGCAACATAAGAGAGAAGTAGTTCATTACTTTTTTTCGGCGACCAAATTCTTGTTCAGCTTCCTCAGCCGACAGGGATTTGTATCGCTGAATGGGCTGAAAGTTGTACCATTCGGTCAGGGGATACGCCTCAATGGCACCGTCTGGTGCATGGGTGAACACATAAAAAGCGGCATTTTCACCCACACCACCCTCTCGGATGCCCTTAAACTTCTTTCCCGTCTTGCCGCCCACTTTCAGGATCCAGGGCTGCGCCTCCGGTCGATACTTTCGAGCTATAATGCCGAACTTTTTCCGTCGTGCCTCCTCGCGCTGATCTCGATTGTATTCCGATCCAGCGCCGAACTTGGGCTGGTCTTCCTCCATGCCCCGGAACTCTTTCATGTTGTTCTCCCGCTCCAGTTTTACATTACGCCACTGGGCAAAATCTACGTTTAGCGTGGCGTTAAACCGCATCACATGGTGCTTTTTGGACATCTTGGGTACCCGGATCTTGAACTCCTGCACATTGGAGGAGGATGAGCTGGATCCTGAGGCGACAGAGGCAGCGGCGGCGGCAGCTGCGGACGTGGAGCTCCCGCTAGCAGCGCTCGTCTGCAAATAGATCAAGACGACAATGTAGCTTTGGAGGCACAAACGGTCAAGTGAACTTACCGCCGACTTTGACGCACTAGACATAGTTATAGTTTCCACTATGACGCCGGGCTTTAATCATATGTTCTTTACCAGCTGCTATTTTGATATATTTTCCAAAACTATTTCAAGACTTTTTGGTAATGTGCCAATCGTTCGATAACACAAGTACAGTGAATAATTCGGCTATTTATCGAATGCTGGAAATTATTTTATCGCGAAAGAAGAAGAAACTAATTTTGTTTTAATTTCTGATATCTTTAACCAAATATAATAAAAATATTAAGATATGGAAATTTATTAGGTACCTGCCATCATTTTATTAAATTGGACAAATAATCCTTAAAAATGCTATGAATAAATGATCGTGACCAATTCACAGTCACAGTTTAAGAAGTAACTTTATGCCGGTTATCGCTCGATTCTAGTCCGATGGGCGATAACTGTGCGAGGCGTAATTTAAGTTTATTCCTACAATATATTCGCATAAAGAAGCAATAAAATGTCGCGGAATGTGACGCTCTCGGACGAGCAAAGCCGTTTAAATGCGCGCTTAGAGGCGCACATGGTATACATTTGCCCAGAATGTGGAAAGGCCTTTCGTACTCAGGCTGAGTGGCGCCAGCATCTGAACACGGCAAGTTGGAGATTTTCTCCTAAAAGACTCTTTTAATGTTTTTGATTGCTTTTCCACAGAAACACGACTACCTAAAAAAGACATACTCGGACTTCAACTTCATCCAAATTGATGAGCGGTTCCATGAGTGTCAGCTATGCTTCAAGTGGGTGGAGAACGCCCACAAGACCATCGCGTTGTTGCAGTACCACTACTTTATGCACCTGGAGCACAGTGAAACGTACCGCTGCGTGCACTGTCGAATGGCCTACACAAGGCGCAGGGCTCTCAATGTTCACCTGTTGGACACGCACATGCGGGAAATCGAAAAATACGAGAATAAATTGCGCCAGATGAAGCGTCAGCAACAATCAAAGCCTACCATGGTGACACCGTCTGTTGCACAGAAACCCGTACCAGTGAGGCCGCGAGGGCGACCACGCAAAGTCGACAAACAGAAAAATGATCTGCTGCAAAAGGCCCTTATGGACATTGATCTAAACACAGAGTTGGAGAAATCTCCAACACTTCCAGCCACTCCAGTAGCAGCAGCTTCTTCAAATTCATCTAAAATCAATACTAATATCAGTGAACAGAATCTTGATCGGTGTTTGAACGCCTACGAAGATATCGTGCGCAAGGAAGAGGAGAAAGTGCTCAGATATGACGCCGAGTTGGATGCTCTTTGCAAGGAGTTCTTTGAGGATGCCAACGCCATTAGCAAAGGGAAAGCAGCTGAAGAGCAGCATATACCCGACGCTGCACTTCAGCAAGAAAAGGAGGTGGTCATCATTGAGATTGATGCACTCGGCAAGGAGGAGGTCGCCCAGTTAAAAATGGATATGAAATCGGACACAATAAGTCAACCAGCAAAGCGTCGTCGCTTATCTCCTACGCCTACGCAAGACTCGGATTCTGATTCGTCCACTAACGGCCTCACCAAGCTCATTACATATTTGTGCCCAAAGTGCGGCAAGGAGATTGCCTCGATGGACGAATGGCGGACGCACGTGTTCAAGAAGCACGACTTTGAGCACATAATTGAAAACAGCTTTAAAATCATAGAGCCTGGGCGGAAGGCCATGTGCCTTCAATGCCGCGAAGTGCAGCCTACGATCAATCGTTCACAATTGCAAAAGCACTGCTTCAAGCATTTGCCTTACCGTTCATATCTCAAGTGCACACTCTGCGACCGTACCAAGACCAGCACTTCCAAGATTCTCAACCACATACGCTATAACCACCAAGAGGAACTGCAGCGTAAAAATAAGACGCAGCTACTTATTAAGCCAGAGCCAAAGTGGGCCAGTCCCAATAAGTCCGGTCAAGCGGGCATCCCTGATGACACCGGTTCCAACGACGACGACGATGAATGTATCGTTTGTGAGCACTGTAACAAAATCTTCAAGTCGAAATGGCGGCGAGATCGGCATAGTGTCGCTTGCAGAAGGGGCGGAGTAATTGAAGGATCCGTAGAAGCAATGCTGAACAATTTGCGAGAAGGGCACATGCGAATGAACGTTATCTGGAAAGCGATGCAAATTGAAAAAGATTAGGTGTAATCCAGTTCTGGTACGTTAAGTCAGTTAGGTGAAAAATAAAGAATATTTAAGTATTAATCAAGTTTTTTATTAAAATTTTTCTCCCAATAGGCTTTTAAAATCCGAATTTATTTTTATTGAAAAGTATTTATTTTTTATCTTTACATGAATGCAGATTTCATTTTTTAATATTGGATATAACTTTGATAGGAAAGGTGAAAGCTTTAGAAACGGGATCAAAATCATTTTAAAAGTTTTTTTTCAAGGACAGGAGCTCTGGCAGTGTCGTAAGGAGCAGTAGCGGTTTCGGTTTCCGCCACATCCGAGATACTTCATCTTGAGGCATTTCCTGGAACCCTGGTCCCAGTACCACATTTCATGCATAGCACTTCTTCTGCATTCCCCTCCTCCGTGTCCCTCGTGCTTGCCGCCGAGACAGTTTTGACGGTCTATTTGGATGTGAAATTCAGGTATTAAACCTTATTTATCAAATGTTATCGTAAACCTACTTCTGGGACGTCCAACACAGCGCTCCTGGGCAACGGTGAGGGATGCATAAAGGACAACGAAAGCCAGAACTACAAGTAACTTCATTTTTGTATAAAAAGTTGTTAGTACTCGATCTGATATGAGTTAACTGTGAAATGAAGGCCTTTTATAAGGCATATTCCCATATTTTTAAAGGCGGACTAAATACCTTTTAACAATGGTCTTTAATATGGATATGAAAAAATGAAATTGCATTAAAAAGACTTCAATTTAACAAATAATACAAATGTGCTTTTCAGAAAAATTTCAATCATAAAGATTCGAGATCCATCTTTCGATTAATCTTATTAATTGAGGTCAACGCGAAACAATTGTGCGAAGAATATCTCGATTAATAAAGACTCTGTTTACATGAATTAAATGCGTCAATGTAAATGGGTAAGATATCAGTTTATAATATGAAATAAGCTTCTTTTTGGTAAAAACTCACTCCGTGAAATTTAAAGACTTGGAAATTATTGGAGCTACAGAATTAGAATTGAATGTATAGATTGCATTGATACTATGTTAACTTTATTTTTATATTCGAATTTTACAATCCTTTTTGCTTAAGTTGTTTTTAAAAATTAAGACATTTAGATCGGAAGTTTTATTATATGTGAATCCATTTTGGGGGCCAATTGGGGCTGATTTGACGCTTGCGATTCCCGCCACTTCTCTCGCTTTGCTCTCCCCCGGCGATGCATCGATCTTCCCACAATTCCACTGCGTCGCATGCGTGCGCGACGATTGTTCATCCTTTTGTAGGCAGCTTTCTCAAATGTTCTAAGACTTAAATGATCTTCCACATTTTCTTTCTTCGTACGTTCATCTTCCACGTCATGGTTGCTGGTTGTGATCACGATCTTGCGTCGACCCTGGCTCATCTCAGCCCGCTTCATTAGCATCAAGAAGCGGACGAAGTTTTTCTGCACCACCTCCTTGTCGAAGGCTGTATTATGTTCCAAAATATCCTCAACTTCACTATCATCCTTGGCCGAGGCGGACGCTCCTGGAGAACCGGAATTTGCTGCTGGTGTCGCACCTTCGGCCGCAGGAGATGCTTCTTCTGGTGCTTGAGTGACTGTTGAAGCTGCTGCGCCTCCTTCTGGTGCCGCGGTTGTTCCATCTGCTGGCGGTGGTAAATCGTCTGGTACCCCTTCGGCTGGTGGAGCTGGTGCTCCTTCGCCTGCAGGTGATCCATCTCTAGCTTTTATTCTAGGCGGAGCGGCATCGTCCACAAAGTCTTCTTTTTTTGCGGTGTTGTCTTTATTTTCACCAGTCGAATTTGATCCAGTCGTCTCATAGGTCTCCACCTCGGAGCAGAGATTTTCGAATCTTGGATTGAATCCGGACTTGCAAGCCTTTGCCGCATCTTGGCCGGTCTCGTAGACTTGTCGTCCCACTCTTGGAGCGTTAGCAAAGTTGCACGTGAAGAACGTTTGGAACCAGTGGTTTCGGGACTGCTGAAGAATAGCACATCCCACATATTCAGTGTCCTCTGTGACGATCTGTAAAAAGTTGTACTTAGGCAGCCTGAAGAAGGATAAGAAAATGTATTATATCCATTAAGATGATTTAAAGATAAAGCATAAAAAATATTATTCTAAGCATTTAACAAAGGTAAATTTTAAAATATAAAATAACTTATTAAGATATTACGGTATAGGTCCTTAAATGGACCACATGTGCTGATCGTAGAGGGGATTCGTCATAACGAGTAAATAGATATAACTGTCCGGGGTCGTTTGGAATCCTAAAAGATAATAACTCTGAGATAAATATGTATATTGCTTTATATTTGTTTGATTGGAAGAAAATGTTCTTCCCATTAATCGACAGTGAAAAGAGCGATCATTTATCAGGGAAGGAGAGCGGTGGAGATCGAGAATCAATCGGCTGAACTCTGATCGAACAAAAGAAAAACTGCATTCCAGAAAAAGAAAAGTTTTAATTCCTAAAAACAATACTTCATTTTTGATTTAGTTTTTGAAAACTGTCTAAACTATAATTGTAAAAACACCATTACTAACTTATGGCAATATAATTATACAAGTAATTCTTACCCTTTTTCTCGTTTTTTATATTTCATAACGTCCAACATCGAAGCTCCTGCGTTCTCTCGCATCCACACGCCTAAAATATCCTTGAGAATGTCCTCAAGCTCTGGGATGTTTCCCTTAACAGCTCGGTAGCCAACAGTCTGGCCAACGTTCTTAAATTGTTTTGTGTTCCGGCACTCGTCGGTCCTCATGACACAATCCAAAACATTGAACTCGGCTAGGTGGGCCAGTTCCAGATCCCATTTCAAGGTTCCCATACGACCAGCCGGGCTTAATCCGTTGAAACCGCCTTTGGCCACTTTGTCCCGCAATTCGTTAATAACTTTCATAATGTATTTTTCAAGCTTATTGTTTATGACCACTAGCTCAGCGCTAAGAGAACACTTTTTATGTAGTTCCTGAAAAATATATTACGTTATTAAACAAAATTTTAAATATTGCTTAAAAGATCATAATCCAAAATACTAATAAGATCAAAACAAAACAGTTTAATTTTGGGTTAATTTTAAGAAGTTTATTAACAATTACATTCCTGAAGAAATATCTGGCATCTGCAAATTTAATACAATACCATACTCGTACATGATAATCACGGAGGTGTATCGAGTGCATTCACTTTTTCGAAAACATAATACTGCGAAGTACTCCAATTTGACGGAGTGCCTAATTTTTATAAATATGTATAAAATATAACTTAAAATTGTACCTTCTGTATTCTATTCTATTCTATTCTGTATTCTATGCCACGTATTTAAATTTATTTTTTAACTTACGTGTGTAGCATTGCAAGCCACATGTTTTTGTCCGGGATTACACAGTGAGGAATCACAGTAGTCTATACCTGTGTCCGAATCCTTTTCTACTGCGTTTTCTTTATTTTTCGGGACTCCCTTTGTTGTAGACTTTTTGCCTTTCTTAGCTGCTGCCAAAACAGCAAATAGCAGAATGCAAAGCACCAACATTTTCCATCCAGAGATCATGGTGTATTAACGATTGTTTTACACCAAATATATAAAGACCGTCAATCCATGAAATCACAATTTTCAAACTTCATAATAATATACATTTTAATAACTTATTGTAAAAATTAAACATTTCACCAAAGAAATAATTTAGCATTAAATATATATTTCAAAACTGCAAAGCAAAACTGTCTGAAAAGTTTTGAAAATTCAAAAATAATTTATTAAAGCTCTCAATACTTTGGCTTAATCCAGGTTGATAAAAAAAGGTTCCAGTATATTTAATAGTATTCCGCCTATTTTAGTGTACAAGAGCGAATACGAGTTCTTAGTGAGATATTGAAACCTTTTAAATTTCACAACACTTATCTCTATATTTATAAATATAAATGAAAAATATTGAGTATTATTAATTTTTGTAGGTATAGAGTTTACTAAAACTTACTTACTTACTACTTACTGAATCCCGCTATTCATTATTTTCCATTCTAAAACTTCAAAAGCGTCGATAGACGCTAGAGATGATACATTCGATACTTAAAATATTTTAGGGTGTCTTCTTATTTTTAAAATGAAATAGTTCCCTTGCTAACTAAAACAAGATTTTAATTGATATGAAAATCAAATCAATTATTGGAAACAAGCGCTTACACTAGGAGCACAGTATACTTGTTGCTACATATGTACATATGTATGTATATGAAGACAGCTGTTTTTTGTTTTGTTTTTCTTTTGTTTTGTGGAAGATCATAAACTCAAGGAAAAGAAAAGAAAAGTGAGCATTAATTACCTAATTTATTTTTTAAGGCAAGGACATGCATGACAATAAATGTATTTATAAAACGAAGTTCTTGTATTTTACACATATACATACATAAATGTTTTGATGAAACAAAACTAGATATCAAAAAGCGCAGCATGAGAGAGCGAAAGTAAACCGGTCGCTGATAGCATTCCAGTTGAGCTCTACCCTTCTGCCTACGTGGATTGCCAGGTTCTCTCTTGATTGCCAGTTGATTGTCAACTGTCGTTTGGCCTGCACTCGCCTTCAAAGGCTAATCGTGAGCCACTTATTTATCGCTTCTTATAGCGACTTGTAGATTATGTACAAATATCAAAGGTTAATTTTGTGCTATAATATGATCCGGGGCTAGCGGTCCAAGCATTGACCTCTGAATACAACTTCTCTGTTTTGTAGCGCATCGTTTGAGCAAATCCTCGAGAAACCCGAAGCCGAGATGAAGTTTCGTGGCAATGGAAAGCTTTTATGGAATTTGGTAAGAATATTTTCGTAAACGAGTCCAATATAATCCACATCCCAATCTCGTTTTAGACGAAGAGTTCGCTTGCGCAGCAATCTCAAACTGGGATCGCGAAAAGAGCTCTCCCCGCAAGCAGCTACAGCCCCGCCAAGAGCAATCCGACCTTGGAACAGCCAAATCTGTTGAAGTACCATGTTTTGCCGTTGGAAGAAACACTAAACCGCTTTCTGACCACTGTGGAACCTTTGCTGACAGCCCAAGAACTGGAACAACAAAAGGCAATCACCACTGACTTCGCGGAAAACCAGGGACGAGAATTGCAGCAGCTTTTGGAAGAAACCGGCAGTAAGGAGAAGAACTGGTTGGCCCATCGCTGGCTAAAGACAGCCTACTTGCAATACCGAGATCCCGTCACCGTCTTCGTGAGTCCTGGCATGACCTTCCCCCAGCAAAACTTTAAGGACTCTCAAGCCTTTGTTGACTATACAGCCAGAGTTATCTTTGGATTAGGCGAATTCAACGACATGGTCCATGCCAACAAAATTCAGATTGTTAAAATGGGCAAGAACGAGCTGGACAACAGCCAGTTTGGCAAGGTATTCGGCACATGTCGGATACCCAGAAGAGGAACAGACGAGATCGTCTATAATCCAAGCTCTGATTATGTAGTGGTAATCTACAAGAATCACTTCTACCAGCTAAAAATATACAGCAAGGAGGGAAAGCTTATCGCAGCTCCCATTCTAGCTGCTCAGTTAGAAAATATCCTTTCTAAGGAAACGCAAGTGGGTGTTCCATTCGGAATTCTGACCACCGATTCGAGGGACAACTGGGCCGAAGCCTATGAGTATCTGTCTGAAACGCCAGCCAATAGGGATGCCCTTAAGACCATTCAGGGTGCTCTGTTTACTGTGTCACTGGACGAGAACACCACTTTAAAGAAGGGAGAAGAGGTCGATGAACTGATTCTTTCGCTGATCCACGGAAGCGGCAGCAAATCCAACAGCGGCAACCGTTGGATGGACAAAACCATCCAGTTAGTCGTGAACCCAAATGGCAACGTCGGATTCACCTATGAGCACTCTCCTGCTGAAGGTCAACCCATCGCAATGATGATGGACTATGTTGTGCAAAAGATGTATGTGAATGAATATATAATGAGGAACTTCTCCCTTATGCTTTTGATTTCAGGAAAGAAGATCAAAAGTTTGGAGAAATCGGCGGACAGGACTTTACTCCAGCTCAGAAAATACAATTTTCTTTAAGTAATAAAAGTCTAGAAAAATCATTGACTGCCGCCCAAGAAAACGTTGATAAGCTTGCCGAAGCGCTTCAAATGAAAGTTCTTAAGTTTGACGGTTTTGGAAAGGATTTCATCAAGAAACAGCGACTGGGTCCAGATAGTTTTGTTCAAATAGCGCTGCAGCTCGCCTTTTTCAAGTAACTATCCTTGCTTAGGTTTGAGTTGTTTAAAGTAACTAAATAACGTTCCCTTAACAGAATGCACTCTGAGCCACCTGCGCAATATGAGTCGGCGCACTTACGCATATTCGATGGCGGACGAACCGAAACTATTCGGTCCTGCTCAAATGAATCCTTGGCCTTTTCTCGCGCTATGCAGGACTCCAATGCCACCGACAAGGAGCGGGCTAATAAGCTACGTGAGGCTGTAGTGTCTCATCAGACGTATGCAAGGCTAGCTCTGCAGGGAAAAGGAGTCGATCGTCACCTACTTGGACTGAAGCTTATGGCTCTGGAGAACAGCAAGCCTATTCCAGAGTTCTTTAAGTCGCCAGGCGTTCTGAAGTCAAGCCACTTCCGCATGTCCACCTCACAGGTAGCCACTAAATATGATGCTTTTATGGGATATGGGCCTGCGACTGACGATGGATATGCTTGCTGCTACAATCCACGTGATAATGACATTATTTTGGCCATATCTACTTGGCGCCATTGTCCGATAACAGACCACTTGAAGTTCGCTAAGACTCTGGAGCAGTCATTTTTCGAAATGAAAAATATTCTAGAAAAGAATCCTCCAGAGCCCAAATCCAAATTGTAAAATTATTTCAAAGAAATATATTTTTTTCAGAGATTGATAACTTAATTGTTGTGTGTCAATGCATTAGATTTGGTAAATGGAAAGTCCTAGATCAGCTTAATGCCTTAGTAAGCACCTTTTGCAGTGTCTATATATATCATCAGAAAACCAGAATGTTTGCTTTGCTCCAACTTGTAAAAAATCCTATTACAAAAACGTATACTGTAACAAACTTCAAGAAATATTAATATTTCTGCCATTTTAAAGAATGCTTTTTTCTCGGATATAAAAACTTTAATTGTTATTTTGATTTTATAGTTTAACTTCATAATAACTTTTACTTGTTGTCAGTATAGTTTTATTGTTTACAATTCTTGTTCAAATAAAAAACAAAGCGTGCAAAGTTCGTCTTAACTGTGTATATTGTAGGCCGGCGCTCCTTCAGATCACGTCGCTGTTGGCGCAATTTTGACTTGAACAACTCCTCCAAAGCTTGGACGCGATCGCACATCTCAAGCTCGGCGATAATCTGCGGCCAATCTTCCACAGCGAAAATGTCCATTAGGGCATCTAGTCCCTCGGAAAGGGCCCACAGATCGTTCTCCTGGGCACAAGAATTCAACAAAAATAAAACGATAACCTTAACCAGTGATTCTGATAATAGAGATCCTAAGGTCCCCAGCATGCGGTTCCAGTTAACTCGGATATTTAAATCTGTGCACTTGCTGGCTCCATCGATAATCAAGTTCAGGTCATTCTCTGTCATTTGACTAAAAAGATCTTTTCGCGACTTAAGCAAACTCAGCGAGGAGCGCATCAGTGAGGTTATGGCTTCCATTACAGTTATATCTTCGGTTCCCTTAAGAGCCTGCTGACCCAAGTTCATCCACATGTTATAAATGTCACTGTAGCCACCCAAATCTTCTTCGGTAAGCACGTTGCAGAGGTTCTGAAGACAAATCAAATAGGACACTCTTAATTTGCTAACTTTATCCTTGATAGTCTCCTGCTGGGCCACAATCTTCTCCAAAGCAGGTTCCAAGGGTTGAGCTTTTTGCCAAAGTTTTTCAATAACTTTGTTTTGCTTGATGGTTTCCAAGAAGTTAGCGGGCAGTCCACTTGTTTCGCTGTCAGTTTGCTCGTCCTCCATATCGTAATCCGCCACACTCTCAGTCTCCGACTGTTCACTATCCGTACCCCAGTTACTCTGGTCATCGCTCGAACCCAGGTTGGTAATAATCTCGGCCACCAGTCGCTGGGCGTCTAGCAAGTGCTCCAGGTTCTTTAGTGTAACATCGACATCGCATTGATTCTGTTTCGACTGATTTGTGCTTTGGGATTCCGTCAACTCCTCCGTTTCCATAGAGATTTCCAGGACGGGTACTTCGTTCTTCGATTTGGCATTCTGAATTTCGTTTTTACAGCTAAGCAACTGCTCCTGTGGATTTATAGAGAGTAGTTTGTCCAGGCTGTTCAGGATCTCCCGGGTGTGGGCGGCTGAGCAGGCTGGGACATTGCACAAGATACCAGCAGCCAAAGCATTGAGGTACAACTGCGCGTAACTCTCTGTGGTAATACCGAGGAGCTCCGGTAGAATATTACTGCTGGCCAGGACGTTCCATGAGCTGGAGTTGTTCTCAGACACCACCAGCACCATTTGGGCCACTGTTATGGCAACCTCTAGCCCGAATTTTGTGTAGTCGAAGCCAAGCAGCAGGCTGGGGAGTAAGTTTGCCTGATTGAAGGCTTCTGTAGCTGTGGGTGAACTCTCGCACAAATTTCTAAGAAGATGTATCGCCTGTAGAAAGGTGTCCGCATGCAGTTCGTTTTCAAAGCCATTTTTAGTTAGATCATAGCCCCGGATTAAAGCCAGCAGAGCGGTTAATATATCGTTTTCCACTAGAAAATCGCATACCTCTGTGCCAAACACTGAGAGGTTCCGGAAGGCTCCCGCCGCCGCATTTCTTATGGCGCTTTCCTTGTCACACAGTAGTGGCGATGCGATTCGGGCAAGATCGCTACTGCAAATCTCTCGCACCTTCTCCTTTCGCAGCGCCAGCACGGCAAAGGAGTGCAGTCCGTTCAACTTGTCCTCCACATCCGGTCGCTGGAGGTGCATGCAGATCGCCTCGATTGGTCCAACGCCCTCTGCTTCACCCACGTCCAGAGCGTCTTCAAGATCCGCAGAGATGTTCACGCCGGTTGGCGTCCTTGTTTTTACTTTCCGAACTTTTCCCATTGCAACAAAACAAAACTGCACGTGTTTACTCTTGGGGCTGGGACAAAAGGCCCGGGCTATTCGATATTATCGATGGCTTCTTATATTTTTTTTATTTATCGATTAAAATGGTAAATATTATAGTTTTTTAACATAATGCTGTCAAATTTTAAGAAATGTTTTTCTAACGGATTTTTTAATTTTCCTCTTATAAATGTGTGGGTTCGTTTACATCCCACCCGTCATATTTACAATCACTCTAATTTGAATATAAACTATATATTTAATTTTATTGTAATCAAATTGTATACAAATTTAGAAAAACAAAAGAACCATTTTTATAAAAGAAAATTGTTTTTATAATTTATAAATTTTAATCCGAAAATCAAAACATTCATTAACAGTGTTTACTGTTCGGGCTTACACGGTAAAACGGGCTGGCAGCACTGTACACATTCTGCCTCCCGACCCGTTCTTTTCGATAACGATTAAAGAAGTATGTTTTTCATAGGGAGGTGGTATATTTTGTATACTTTTTCTGACTCACATCTCTAGCGGCAGAAAAGTGCAGAAAATTTTCTGAAAATTCTTAAATGCATAGTGAGAGGTTGCTAGCAATCAGATCTGTGTGCAATGGAAGCGAGTTTAGAGGAGAGTATGGACAGTGATCACGTCGGTTCACCGATCAGCAAGCCAGAGGCGACAGAGTGGGAATCACCGCCTGGAGTGGGTCTCAATGGAAATGGAAGTGGTAGTGGCAGTGGCAGTCAGGAGACTCCAAATAATGGCGTTGCTATAGCCAAGGAAAAGCCTAATGAGGCCCAGTGGTGGGTAGTCAAGGAAAAATCAGTGTTTGATAGTGAAGTCATTTTTTACCTTGACCCAATTTCAGGAGCAAACCTTTTAACGCATTCAGTGGACGTCCCATTGGGGAGCACACAGCTCAACAGCAGGCCTTACAGCAGCAGCAGCAACAACCGTCGCAACAGCAGCAGACTCAGCAACCGCAGCAACAACAACCACCTCCTGCGGCAAATGGGATGAGCGGCCCCCCGGAAATATGGGTAGAAACAAAAGCGGAGGACGGACGCTCCTATTATTACCATGCTGTAACTAGGGAAACTACCTGGACACGACCTGAAGGGCCCACTGTCAAGATAATGACACAGACCGAGGTGGAGGAGATGGCCAAGCGACCTGCTCATGCCGCCAAAACGGAAGCAAAGCCAGTCGAGACTTCCAGCGAGATACCACCGGTGTCGTCGCATCTCACCTCGCAACCGCCGCCACATCTAATGAGCCAGCCGCCACCAAATGCAGCAGCTCCGTTGCTTTCCCAGCCACCTCCCAATGTGCGACAGCAACCGCCTCCGATGTTCCAGCCACCTGGTATGCAGCCACCTCCCGGGTTTGGCCAGCCGCCGTTCTGCATGCCCCCACCGGCTTACGGATTTCCCGGAGGAGCCCCGCCAGGTGGAGCTCCTTGGGGTGTGGGCATTCCGCCTTGGCAACAACAACAGCACATGCATGGTCAGGATAACAAGCCAGCCAAGTCGTTGATTATCAAGCCGGGCGTTATTGATCCGGCGGTTATTGCACGGGCAGCAGAGTGGTCAGAGCATCGTGCACCCGATGGCAGGCCGTATTATTTTCATGCCGCTCGAGGAGAGAGTGTTTGGGAGAAGCCTCAGGCGCTGAGAGACATGGAAGCTGCGCGAATGGCTGCCCACTCAGGTGTGGCGCCCTCTGTGGCAACGGCTCCGTCTGGACTGCCGCCTCACCTTCTTCCCAATCCTATGATGCATATGCCACCGGGATCAGCACCACCAGGATTTGATCCGCATGCCGCCTTTGCGGCTGCAGCTGCGGCGATGAAAGCGAATTCAGAGAACACCAAGGCGGCGCAGGCTGCTGCTCTGGAGAAGGAGGCTAAGAAAGCGGCGGAGGAGAAGCGAAAAAAGGAAGAGGAGCAAAAGAAGGCAGCTGCCACCGCCAAGCAGACGGACAAGAGTAGGCCGGTAACAAGTACGCCCATCGCTGGAACGCCTTGGTGTGTGGTTTGGACAGGAGATGCCCGCGTCTTCTTCTACAATCCTTCGACGAGAACTTCAGTTTGGGATCGACCTGAGGATTTAATGAATCGGGAGGACGTTGACAAAGCGGTAAACGAACGCCCGGACCAACTAAAGACCCCTCAGGAGAAGTCATTAGAAGCGGAGCAGAAATCCAGCGAAGAAGCAGTGCAAGAACAGTCTCAAGTCCCAGTTCAGGCCCAGCAGCTAGAGCAAGTGCAACACATAGATGCAGAAGATGACGATGACGAGGTTATTAAGATACGCACCGAGTCTGAGTCTAGTGTGGAGGAGGTGCCCACCAAACGAGTGCGAATGAGTAAGTCAAAAGTCGATTTAAGTGTTAGATATAAAATAACATATATAAACTGCCATCGCATGGAAATTTATGGCGACATTTGGAAATCGGAAAAGACTTTACTTTAAAATTTATTTTTGCAACCCACAACAAAAACTCAATTTATTTTATTTTTTTTTTAACCTTTCAATAAATTAGTTTCAAAATCAAAGCGTGCTGAAGATGCTGCCCTAGAAGCAGAGCAGCGGGCGGCCAAGGAGAGGGCTCTGGTACCTTTGGAAATGCGAGTTACCCAATTCAAGGAGATGCTCAGGGAGAAGGACGTATCGGCATTCAGCACCTGGGAGAAGGAGCTTCACAAGATCGTTTTTGATCCGCGATATCTGCTGCTGACGTCGAAGGAACGCAAACAGGTATTTGAAAAGTATGTCAAGGATCGGGCCGAGGAGGAGCGTAAGGAAAAGCGGAATAAGATGCGCCAGAAGCGGGACGACTTCCGCAGCCTAATGGAAGAAGCCAGGCTGCATGGCAAGTAAGTACTGCGAATCTTTAATTTGTTTAAATGTTAGCTTAGGTTTCGTTTCATTTGTTTACCCCATAGAGTGTATATATAGTATGCCCTTTTTTCAGACTTGAAAGACGTCCTTTCCAAAAGTTTGTATGTGTATTTCCTAACTCTGATTCATTTTGCAGGTCCTCGTTCTCGGAGTTTAGCCAGAAGAACGCGAAGGAAGAGAGGTACCGAGCTATCGAGAAGGTTCGCGAGCGTGAAAGTCTTTTTAACGAGTACATTGTGGAGGTGCGGCGACGGGAAAAGGAGGACAAGATGCAGAAGAAAGAGCAGGTAGGCCTAGGGTATGCTCGAGCGCCATATCTCATCACCTTACGTATCTCGATGTTTAAACATAATTGCATATCTTTATATATATTTAACTTACCTGTATGCCAAACGTATTTACATAATGTGATTGATTTTTTGTTAACTTTTAAACCATAAACAACGTGTGAATCGAAACCGAATCAAACCAAACTGAAAATGAAACCGAATCCGAACCCTGATTGATTGCATTACCCCTGAACGTGTTGGGTTCCCGGTGGTTTGCCACCCGATACCTTAGCCACTAGCTAGCAGGTTACAGCACAAATGCACCACCCAAAACACCAAAATACACAACAGCAACAGCATCAAGAACCACCTGTACAACCATCTCAACAGCCAATTCCGACCGCCGTCTGTCATCGCCGTCCACTGATCTACTTGACCACGCACATGCTTGCAATCTGTGTGGTGAGTTACTTGAAAAATACAAAGCAAAAACATTAAAATTTGTTTTTCTGCAATAAGAGACAAATTTGGAAAACAAAAACAATCATTAAAATCAATAAAATCAAATAATATCGAAAGGTTTGCCAAACCTGATAATCGTTGGTGTGATTTCCAATTCCCGCCCTTCGCCCAACGTCGCCCCTCTCGGATGTTTTATGCGATGTGACGAAGAGGATGATGCGATGATGTGATTGGCAATGGGAGATCATAAGTGATGGTGATTGAAGTTGAAGTTGAGAGCCCAACTCTCGGATGGATGCCGACGAGCAGGATGCCAAGGAGGCAGGGAGAGATTGTTCCAGAGATCCTCAGCGACATCAATACGTGTGCAGGTGTCTGCGGCGCTAAGCAAACAGTATGAATAATACTTAATTTAATTAACCCACTATTTTCGTTTTGCTTACAAATAATAAACACACTCAGCAGTTTGTCACCCGACAGAGGCAAGCCCAAGGAACCGAACTCAGCCCAATTCAACCTGCATAGACCAAAGAGTGTCGAGATCCTTGTTCTGGCAGGTTCAGGCATCGGCTTCAAGTCGTTGAAAGGCTTTCTGCCCCATATCCATACCATGTACCATACTTTAACTTTAGATCTATCGACTATTGTACCCTTCGGCCATGCTGAAGTCTCCACTTTAAGTCCTGCTAATCAAGAGAGAAGAACAAGGGTTAGTTGGTCTGATTGCTACTTTATATTAACAATGCGTATTTCTCAACAATTGCTTCTTCCTGCACTTTTATTATTTAAAATTGTGTTGTACAATTTAGTTATTATTATTAATTTAGGCAGCACTGCATACTTGCATACTGTTCGCATTTTTTAATTTGCAATTGCAGTTTAATTCGCTTGGTTTCTAAATTTAAAAACGAAGTAAGACCACTATAGCTCTGTGAATTATACTTCAACTAACTATTCAGTCTTTTTTTATTTTGGTATAAACCGTGGTCCGATTTCAGTCTGTCCCTAAAGACTTCTCTCTTAGCCAGCAGGATCTGAACTAATCCAAAGTTCTTTTTCAGTTAAGTCTCTGACCGCTAATCGAAACCATTCTTTTACAGGCCAAAAATCGTGTAACTATATTTAATAGTTTAAGGAACACTAGCCCTAAGTATTAAGTCAGATCATTAAGCTATAGAATGTTAAGTGAAGGACACATCAATGCTAGATCTCTAATTCATTTTATTTTTCACATTTCTCTTCTCTTCCGCATGGCTGTCATGTAAATATTCCTTTCACCTACACTTACAAACTCTAGATCCGCAAAGACTTTTTGGATATGCTGCGAGAACGACACGACATCGAGCGCCACACCAGGTGGTACGATATCAAGAAGAAGTTTGAGTCGGACTCCCGCTACCGGATAGTGGACTCCGTATACCGGGAGGAGTACTTCGAGGATTACCTGCACATCATGAAGGAGGAAAAGCGAAAGGAGCGTGAGATGCGCGAGCAGAGGGAACGAGAGCGGCACCGGGAACGCAAATCGGATAGGAGGGACAGAGAGAAAGACAAGGAAAAGGATAAGGATAAGAGTCGGAAAGATAGAGGTCGCAGTCGTTCGAAAGACAAGGACCGCGAGTCAAAATCTTCCAAAGATAAGGAAAAAAACAAGGAGGAAAAGGTCAAGTCGGGAAAGATCAAGAAACAAGATACTCCTGTAAGTCTACTACTATCTTTCTTTCCTAGACTTTTTTATTTATAGTGAATTCCTCTTTTAGGAGGAAGGCGAGCATAATGAGGAATCCGAAAGGGAAGAGCGGGCAGGCAGCGAGGACAGCGAGGTGGCCCGCCAACGGGAGAGCGAGGCTGAGCAAAAGCAAAAGGAGCGCGAGAAGAAGTTGAGAGCAGAGCAGAGCATTCGGGAGCGAGAAAAGGAGGTGCAGCGGACCCTGGCAGGGCATCTGAGGGATCGGGACAAGGAACGTGAGCATCACATGCGTGAGGAGTGCATCGGCCACTTCACAGCTCTACTGACAGATCTGGTTCGGACGCCGGACTTTACATGGAAGGAGGTAAAGCGACAGTTGCGAAAGGACCATCGCTGGGAACTGATCGAGACTCTTGACCGAGAAGATCGCGAGAGGTTAGAATCTATACAATTATTTAAATAATCAATTAATAATAATTTGACTTGCGCAGAAAATTCAATGAACATATTGATAATCTGATGAAGAAAAAGCGAGAGCGATTCCGGGAAATGCTGGACGAGATTGGCACTCTACAGCTAACCAGCACTTGGAAAGAGATTAAGAAACTTATCAAAGAGGATCCCCGATATCTGAAATACAATTCAGACAAGGGAGAACGCGAGTTTCGCGACTACATCAAGGACAAAACTATGACAGCGAAGACTTCACTCCGGGAACTCTTGCAAGAATGCAAATTCATAACTCACAAGAGCAGCGATCTCATAAAGGAAAATCCCAATCATCTCAAGGAGATCCAGGACATACTGAAGAACGACAAGCGGTAGGAAAATTTTCTCTTTAAATTTGTTACTTGGTCAGATATATAATTTTTTATTTTTTTAGCTATTTGGTGCTGGATCATATGGAGGAAGAGAGGAACACAATTGTACATAGCTTCTTGGAGGAGCTAAACAAACGCGGCCCGCCGCCACCACCCACAGCTTCTGAGTCAACACGCCGCAACAAGTAGTGGCAATATATGAACAACTATTCAATTTAATCATAAAAATTAAATTATACTAAGCCGGAGTTCTTTAACTTCTAATAATTCAATTGAATAAAATACACAAATTAATGCAATGAAACAACACGTGTCGTGATTTTTCATTCATAAATATTTATTCATTTATACGTTATGTTGTAGAGTTGTGATTTTCATCTATATATTGATCTGGTTTTATTTTTTGGTTTTTCAATTTTTATATAATTCTTAATGTTCTTATTTACCCATTCGTCGGTCCGCTTCATCGCCACCGTTATTGTTTAATACACATTCTTTCTGCGTTTTAGCCGAGTTTACTAATCCTAAAAATAAATACAAATACAATGATCCGTAATTTTATTCGTTTTCGAAGCCAGACTTCTTTCCATCCAAATGGAAAGTATTTGTGTATTAGGAACTAATATTGAAAATAACGTGTCCTCCGTGTTGCAAACAAATCTTTTTCCTCTCGTTTATATAAAGTTCTTTCTGGTTTTGGTGTTTAAACATGTTAATACAAGCTCAACTAATCTAATGACCCTTTTCATATGGGGTTCGATCGGTTAATATAGCAAGATCATCTGTGCAAAATAATCTTTATTTTGACCAAAGCAAAAATATTAAGATCACCAAGAATATTTAATTGTATTTAAATCCCAATTTAGACGTTTAATTATATATATTAACTATAAGGATAGATTGATAGATTTTTAAATGATTTTACCCGTTTTAAAACTTAATTTGTCTATCATATCATATGAAAAATATACATAAAATAAATGAAATTATGATTTGAGCATGATCAGTAACTCTAAATAAGAAAAAATACACCAGATTTAGCACTCCCCTTAATGTTTTAACAAAATAAGGTAAGTAATCCTAATGATCCTCCCATCCTTTCAGCACCTGTCCGATCAATATTCACGCACCCACTCAAGCATCTATCTATGTTAGCTGGTGTTTTAGTTGACTGCTCTAAATATTCTAGAATTTCGATTCTCTATGTTACGCTACAACTGCTAGTTACTATCAGTATAATATTTACTTGTTGTTGCTTTTATTGATTTCATTTTTCGGTTTCGGTTAGGCACAAAGTAACTGGTTTCCATTTTATCCTTTTCCTTTCGCGTTTCTCATGGTTCACGATCGAATTTTACACTCTATTATTTATTTACTAGTTATATTTAGTGGCTACTACCAATTTATTGAACAGTTTAGTGTGGTTTCCTATAATTCCCTCTCATTACAATTAAGATTTAATTTATTGCTACAGTTTTGTTGTTCTCTTTGTCATTCAAGCCACATTGCATTGTTGGAAATCGAAAAATACAGGTGAGTCTTTGTGTCTTCTATGTGGTGTGTCTATATCTTAATAGTAAATTCTATTACATTAAATGTTTCTTTTTTTTGATATACATCTACAAGTACAGACATAAAAAACTGCGAGAAACGGGTGGGTGGATGTTGTGATGGAGAGTAAAGAGTGTGTGAGTGTGGAGAGTTTAGAGCGAGGAATTTCTCCTTAAAAAGGACGACGATAATCCAGTCGGATTCGGGAGGAAAAGCAACTAAAAACATCAAGCGAGAACAAAACAAAATTTTAAAATCATATAAAAATATATTTTTATTAAATAAAGCGGTTTATGAACTAAATGAAACTTTTACTAAAATCAGCGATAATACTCGAAGTCATAAGGTTAGTAACAGCGTTCCAAAGTTCATACTCTCATACATAATTATTCTTTAAGCTTTCTTATAGAAATGTATTGACAAAGTAAATGAAATTAAGTGCTTTTATACATTGCAAGAATTCGTACATATGTATATTTTCATTTCTTTTAAATGCAAATGTTACCAATTGTAATGTTTTAATGTTGACAATTATTAAGTTGTAAATGTTTTTGTTCTTTCTATTTAGATGATCATTAGCTTACAATTTGAAAAGCATTCACAATGCTCGATACAAATTTTGGGTCTATACAAATTAAAATTTATGTTTTGGTATAACAAATGTTGGAAACATGTTTCGATGATGTGGTGGTGGTGGTCAAAGCAACGTCTGATCGATCGATCTTTTTGTTTTTATATAAAAAAACAGAGAACTGATTTGTGGAAATTGAACTACGCGTGTCTCTTGTTTGCCGTATGCAGCTTTTCTTAGTTTTGCTGTTTGTCTCGTTAGAATAGATATAATATAATAATATGTGTGTATATAATACGTTTATATAAATAATTAATAATAGTAATCATAATCATTAATAATTCATCATCTGTTCATATGCATAACTGTTATTGTTGCTATTGTGGTTGTTGCTGTTCTTGTTGTTTTCTGCAGTAGTAATTCATTAGTAATGGTTAAATGAGCGGTTTCTTCTTGGTTGTCAATCAGTTGCCCTTGGTTGCCTCCTTTGCGGCCATGATCAAAGGCGTCAGACTGGCCAATGGACGGGCCAGTTTCAGGAAGGGATGCTTCAATTGAATGAGTAGAAGAATTTATTTCGATTTTGGCTAGCAGGTGAAATAACCGACTCACCTTTCAGCAAGTCCAATGCACTGGCTCGCCGCTCTACCTCCACCTCCAGACACTGGTCGAGGAAATCCTGAAATGCTGCGGACAGCTTGTCTTTTTCTTTAATCTCGGGTTTGCCATTAGTGGCAATGAGGTACAAGGCTTTTAGCGGATTCTCATTCAAGTACGGCGGTTCGCCCTCAACCATTTCAATGGCCATGATCCCTAGCGACCACAGATCCACCTGCATGGGAATATTGTTGTTATGTTTACTACGTCACAACAGTAATAATCAGATTGAAAACTAGCAGCTAAACTTATTTTGAGTGATCTTCAGATAAATCCAAAAATTTTTAAATACTCTCACCTTTGGTCCGTACTGTTTCCGGGTGACCACCTCGGGCGCCATCCAGTAGGGAGTACCGACCATCGTTGTGCGTTTGGATTGCTCCGGCGATATTTGCGCACAGAAACCGAAATCAGTCAGTTTGACAGAGCCGTCGAGGCCCAGCAGGATGTTATCACTCTTGATGTCGCGATGGATGACCTGGTTGGCGTGCAGGAATTCCAGGGCTTGCAGAACCTCTCGGCAGACGGCTGCGATCTGGCCTTCGTCCATACAGGTCTCGGTCACTACGTCGGTAAGTGAGCCGCCAGGCAGGTACTCCATAACCACCCACAGCTCCTCAGACACCAAGTAACTGTCAAGGTAGTTGACCACATTAGGATGCTTGTTCTCCCGCATCACCAAGATCTCGTTGATGATCAGCTCTTTTTGGGCTGCTGTGACAGGTTCATCTGCTTGATGGCCACCTCCATGCCCGTAGACGATTCTATAGCCGTATACACGGTACCAGAGGCTCCCTGTCCAATTTTTTCCATCTTGGTGTACTTTCGATTTGGGTCGCCCACGGAAACGATGGTGCGCAGTTTCTCCAGGATCTCCTCGTCGGACATCTTTTTCTTCTTGGCGTTGGCTGCCCGGGTGTTGGGCGTGACAGCAGCACCTACAGCCGCCTGGGGCACAGCTATTTGGTTGCCAGCCGCTGGCGGAGGAGCAGCGGCTGCCACCTGGCCTACCGTTGGTTCCGTTGTGTACAGATCTGTTAATCCAACGGAGGCGGGTGTGGGCGAAGCGGGCGTGATGATAGGCGGTAGGGGAACCGCGACGGGAAGCGGAACCGTAGAGTTTCGAGTGGAAGACGTCGGCGTGGGACAATGGATCGTTGGCAGGGCGTGGTGTGTGGCATCGTCGTCGTGGAACGATGGAAATGATGAAAAGGAGGAAGCAGAGGAATGGTGATTAGTCGTTGTTGTTGTAGCTGCTGTTGCTGCTGCAGTGGTAGCTGGCGCTGTTTCTGTCTCGACGAGACTACCACGAGATGCAGCTGGAGCAGGAGCAGTAGTAGGAGTAGTAGAACAACTAGGATTAGTAGCAGACAAAAGAGTTGATGTTGATGTTGCATCGGTGCCTTCTGTTTCTGCTGTTGTTTTTGTGGTTGTTGGGGACGTTGGAGCTGGCGTCGTTGCAGTTGTTTCTTTTATTGCGTTGTTTAATTTTTTTTTTTTAGCAGCAATTAGAAGCGGAACAAAACAGAACAGAACACAGAGAGGCGATACAAATACCAAAATACACATTCATTAAATCTTCATTAGCATTATCACCACAAAAAGTGTATAGTTTTTAAAAGAGGCAACATAGAAAAGCTATCAACGACACATCAAAGCCTTTAGCCCTGACAGCATATCATTTCATTAGCTATATAAAAAACAAAACTCTTTGCTTCATAATTGGAAATAAAATAGACAAATAGTTTGTGTGAGTACGGATTGGAAGTTACTAATTATCAGCTAGATTTTTGCCGATAATAGCTTTCACATGACATGCTGCCTTAGCTCTTGATTAGGTAGATGCAATTAGACTATGACCCACAAATCCCGGATCGGTACTCACTTGCATTATTCTTGTTCTTATCCAGCGTCGTCGTAGCATTGTTGTGGAGCATCTGTGATCCTACTGGCGCTGTTATACCCCCTTGCGTCCTATGATTTTGCAGTGGCGTTGTGGGGGTTGTCGCTGGTGCTGCTGGCATAGGTATGATGGCTGGCTGCAGATCTTCAATTGGCCGCGTGTAGATAGATTTCGTGCGCTCCGGCCTAGAAGCCACCGGGGGTGGAGGCGGCTGCTGCGGATTCGGATGCTGAGGTCCCAGCATATCGTCCTCGTTGGCGGATGAATGTTGCGATGTGGATGCGGAGGTCGTGTGACCGACAAAGTTGTACGAGTGCGACTGACTTATGCCCATGTGATGCTGGTTGTGGTTCTGGTGCAATTGTTGCTGCTGCTGAAGGAGGTGCTGCTGCTGTTGGTAGTGGTTGCCAAGGATTTGGCCAGCCACCGCTACGTTGTTGGCATTGGGTCCCAGAGTCATGCTGCCCAACTGTACGCCGATCAGGTTGCCACCGCTATTGGAGCCATGCAGCTCCGAGTCAGTAGGGGTGCTGCTCGGACTGCTGCTGCTGACACGACTAAGCGAGGAGCCTAAAAAACGTAAGCATTTAAATTCCAATCCTTGACCATAAAATGAACAGGGTGGCCTACCTGAATGCGTCGTAATGGCATTTGTCATGTACTTGGAACTTGGCCGCTGTTTGGTAGTGTTGTCGAACCACTTGAGCACATCGAGCACGGCCTGGGGATTCTTCTTCTGCTCCTGTTTGCTGATGTTCGAGTTCATCAGCAGTCGCGCCCATGCCTCTGGCATGCCCTGGAAAAATGCAACAGGTGGTTTTATTAGTATGAATTTCCCAGCACATTTCATAGCGAATGGAGTACATCTAGTAGGCGTGGGTTAAGTTAAATTCTTGGATTTAGGGCACATCAATGCACGGCCAATAATTCTGATTGGGGGGGAGATGATGAAAAGCCAGCGACTAAGGGCATTTCAACTACGAATTCTAGACGGCATGTGTTGGTGTAATGTTGTATGGTTTAGTGTTGGAATATAACGAGAGTACTAAGTTAAGAAAGGACCGATCGTAACAAACGAAATTCAAACTATGAGTAATAACGATCGAACTTGAAACAAACACCGAGTCAACAAAATGGACAGAGGAGCACAATGAGACGTTATTGAGAAACTAATGAAGGCAAGTTCCGAAGAGTTAGTCGTGGAGTTTACTTACTTTCATTGGCAGCTTGAATAATAATAGAAATTGATATAGAGCACGTTTCGCGAGAGTATGATATAGACAACAGATTGTATGTACAGAAAAAGTACAGTGTAATATATATTTTTAAGAGCGTCAAAACGAAAGCAGAAATAATAAGAACGTTTTTGAGTGAACGGGTCGTTTCATTTGTTAAAATGTATTGTTTTCGTTATCCGAAAATATGTTTTTGAAAACAAAATCTTGTTCAAAAATCTTTAGAATTGGTATAAAGATAAAACCTTTAAATCTGACCCACATACAAATGTGATTAATCGCCAAAAAATTATTTATTATCGAGACACTCGACTATGGCGTTCATTGAGTAATAAGCTACTATATACATAACCCTATCACCCAAAAACGACAAAAATGGGCTAGTTTGCAAACGAAACTTAAAGTCGTATGCTGGTGACTGTGTTTTTTGCATATCAATTTTTCAAGAAAGCTTATCAAATGGAGGGCATATGCAGTGAGAACCGAAGATTTCCGACTTGCTATTCTTAGACAGCAAACCGTAAACATAATGGCGAGGCAAACACGATTAAAGGTGTCCGTAGATGAGAATAATAGAGAACTCACGGTAAACTCGCCGGTGACAGCATCGAATCCCACGTGGACCGTGTGCTCAAAGTTCGTAGGATAGGAGATGTTTGGCTTTGAGTCCGTGTGCGAGGGCTTCGATCCCTTGATCTTGCTCTTTAGCGTCTTTTTCTTCCGGTCGGAGTCGTCAGGTTCTTTTGGGGGGAAAAGAAAGAAGCACATTGTTGAGCGTACCAGCGGTCTCCACACACCGTTTTCAACTAATCGTTTCGTACTCACCCTTGGGCAGCGGACGCATGTCGGGAGGTACATCGCCGCCTCCCAGTCCTCCGCCCCCGACGCCCACTCCTCCTCCGGCGGATCGTTCGATGCCGCCTCGATTGCTAGTGAGACGCACGGGCGGCGCCGGCGGTTTGTCTTCCTCGCTGGACATGGCTTCGACTTTTAGTGCCTTTGGCTCTTCTGGTTAGCTCTTGATTTCTCCACCGAGTGCTCCCTTATGCACAGCTGTTCTAAGGCCAGAAAACAGCTGTTGAGAGTGAGAGAAAAAGATCAATATTAAAAATAAAATAAAAACACAAAAAAAAAAAAATATTTCTGAAAAAAATTAAGAGAATTAATTTGAATTAGAATTTCTTAAAAACGTTGATTTCACTAAACGAATTCGTAACCGGGAACTCTACAAAAATGATTTAATGTTTGGGGTATTTCCAGGGGTTCCAACCTCTTGTTATCTATCGCGAAAAAGTGTACCGCAGCTTATCTTACTGTATATTTCCTCTTGTTTTTCACTCCCCGCCCTAATGCAATCGCGTCATATGGTTCCACAACATTGGAAATTTGTCATACAACGACAAAAGATAGATTGTTTACATATATTTCACGAACACTTTGTCTTGGTGAGTTTCACAGAATTCTGCACAAAATTATACAACTTTGGCACTTTATTATTCTTTTTTAAGCGATCTTCTTGAAGATCACGTCAAAATTGTGTGCTCTCAATTTTTTTGGCATGCAAAAAGCATTTTGTTTTGCTGTTTTTAAATATTAGAAAAAATAAAACACCCACACACACTATACCCCAGAGATGTTGCAGGAGAGGAGAGATGTAGCCGCAATTATAAATTTATCAATATGGGCCGTCCGGCGAACTAAATCGGACTGTGGGGCCTTGCTCAGTTGCTCCGTCGGTGTGTGTCTCTCACCCTCGAGTGTCACTGCCACTAGAGCAGCCGGCAAAAGGCAACAAACAACACACATATCGTTCTAAGAGAACGGGTCGCGGAGAGCACAAAGCGCGAGAGGGCGCACTATACAGTGGTTTTAAACATATTTTTTTTGAAGTCAGTATTGATTATTGAAATTAACAATGCTAAAAGAAACTGAATCGGTGGCTGCATAATATATAAATATATTGACCTTAAAAAATGAAAACTAATATAAAATTGTGTTTAATTTTTATCTGGTCATAGAGTGCATATACAAATTTTTGTGAAGTTGCAGTTAAGGCGAAACCACTGTACCACTTGGAACACACTTCAGCGATATTAACGGTACCTCTCTCTCTTTCTTTGCTGTTCTCCCGCCCACGTCACCGATCGAGAGCCATAAATAATTTGTTCAAATAACAAAAGTGGCTTCGATTAGTACTCGCAACAAAAACAAAACAACTCACGCATTTCGAATTACAGGAACACGAAAGAGGAAACTAAACGGCGGGGACAAAAACAACAAGAGGAGCATAAACACACTCCAGTGGGCGGCAACGCAGCCAAACATATGACCAGAGAGGGGAAAGGAGTGTGAGAGTGGTTAAGTGGTAATATGGAAGAGAGCGACACAGAGAGCAAGGCAACTTTGGCGCCTGTCTGCTTTTGCCGGCGACGTCGACTGCGCTGCTTTTATGATTCATTTATCAACGTGAGGCGTCAAGAGTAAATGCAACTAACTAGAGGTGAGGGGGTTGGCAAAGGAGAAGTGTGAAAACTCTGGACAAACAACAACATGCAGTATTAACAGCTGAAGTCAAGATAATAATTGAGATATCTTAGCAATATTCCTTTTATCATATACTTTTATGTTTACAGGAATATCTCTTTCAAATTGCCAATAATAAGTTCTTATAGATACGAGAGGTTAACCAGTGAATCAATAAGTGAATTACCCATGACAAAGATGTTCACAAAGCTATGACTATGCCATTACATTTTAATTTAATGTTAGTCATTACAAGTCTCTCCTCAATCGCGTGTTATTTCTCCAAAGATTGTATTCACCACCGGATAGCAAAAACATTTATTCTTGTGATTTAGAACTGACCCTTACGGAAAGTTAGGAAAATTAATGTACCGTTGATCAATATTAAATTTAAATTTAAATTTCCTATCAATGATACCACAACAAAACCTAAATTATATGTGATATAATCTTGACCGCAACTGTATATCTGTACTATCAGATTTATTGGTATTTGTAGGTTTGTTGGCTGCTTGCCGAGAGATCTATACATATGTATATATGTATGTACATACATACATAGGTGAGAATTCGTTTTTAGATCAAGCAACAACAAACCTTCCGGGAGCGTGTGGGTGCCCAGAATTGGGTTAACGGTGTACCGCATATAGTTTGATTTTATTGTCGGTCGAACTTCAGGTAAAATCAATAAAACATTTTTTTCCTTCTGCAGGCGCAATGCCAAATTATTATTCCCTAATGAGCAAAACACACATCGTAGGCACAGGAAACTCGACAACACTTGCGGCATTTAAATTAGTGACAGGGGTTGCAAGACGAACGGGGCTAGAGCGCGGGGAGAGGACGTTCAAAGTGGCGCAGACCTAGGTGCATGTTGCAGCAACAGCAACGCAAACGTGGCGCTTGTTCCAAAAGCTGAAAGAAGCCATAAGCACATGCAGACATCTTCGCCATGTTTATGCGGAGCATGAATATGCGATAGTCTGAAAATTTTCCTTTAATATGAGAAATTTGTATTTACTGTTGCATCTGCTGTTTTTTAGTTCAAAATACTGTTTTTAGCATATCTCTATATTTATCTAGTATATCTCTATATTTCTATTATTAGGCAAGAACTTCATTTCTACATAGTTTGAAATGAAGTGCAAGTTGACTTAAATTTCGGGTTGTTCAGAAGAGGGATTTAAAGCGCCACAGGAACAGTGATAAAATTTATACCAGATGATCTTTTTAATACAAATGCTATTTACGTGTAATTTTAGACAAGGGCTTGGAGATTTTTATTTGATCCATTTGAATTTTCATCGATTTGTGACTAAAGATATATAAATATATCATAAAGGACTTTTTCGTAATCTTGTTTCCGGTTTAATAACTTATCAAACATTGCGACTTGCCACGCATAAGCGCTGGCGACGGCGACTATGCCGATGCGACGTTGTCTATTTTGGTTGCGGACGCCAGCCGAAAGCAGCAGGCGGAAATGTTATGCCTTTTATATTCCTCTTTTTTAGTTCCCTTCGGTGTCCGCCTCCCCGCATCCCTTCCGCTTTTACCTGTGACCGTTCTAAGCAAATATGTATGTTTTTCCATGAGGAGGTACGTGGGGTGGAGGTGGAGCACTGGACATGTGCCGTTAAGACTCTAAACTGTTAAATGCCAAATCGACTGCGAAATGTTGTTAGTTGTTAGTGCTTTATGTAAATGTCGTCTTTGCTTTTGTCACGTGTGTTTGTTCCCAAGAACAGAAGGTAAAGGCGGGTGGTTGGGGTAGCTTGTTGACATTTTCGTGCTGTATTTTTATGCTGGAAAATCGGGAGCAGCAATGCGTTAATCCCAAATAATGTGGCATGAAAACCACTTGAAACGTTTTTCTTTAATCCACACACATATACATACATATGAGTTGGAAAAATCAATGTGTGCAACCTCCTCAGCCTGTGCGCGTGTATGTGTATTGGAAGCCAGACCAATTGGACTAACGGTGCACTCTCTTTTTATGAATGAAACTCCCTCGCCCGACCCGCTTCCCACCTGCCCCCTTCCCCTTCATCAACTCTCTCATACCACTTGAACTCACTGCAGGTACATATGCCTTGACTTCTTTTCTTGTGCACGGTTCACCCTGTACGCCGCTTGCAGTCGAAGAAATGTTTGCGATGTAAGGCCTCAACTGGAGCTCACTTTTCCTTTCCTGTTCCCACTGAATTCTTCGAGTTTTCCGAGCTTACAACAATTTACCGCACATACACTACACTACACCATACACACACACGCTGAATTGTTTTCCCGTTTTCTCTGGTGTGTGTCATTAATGGCCGTCGGACGAGAAGCACAAGCAGCAGGAAGAAAAGCCAGCAAAGCTTATATCCGCACGAAAACTGATTCGCTTTTCAGCTTTCTAGGCAACGCGCGCGCATTTGGGACCCATGGATACCAAACTAATTAGTTTACATTATTCAAGGCTTTGTTAAAATCAAGAAAATAAATTTAGAAAGAAGACCGCAGCAGACACTCTAGCGATGGCAAAAATATATCAATATATCGATAGCTACCAAGAGCGGTGGCTTCATTTCGATTCGCGAGTTACATTATGCATCGAGTGCTTTTAAATTTTTGGTATTTTTAATAGGGTCACTTGTAAATTTGTTTCTTATATAGCACGACAGCTTTAAATGAAGTAGGGAATTCTTTTCTGAATTTAAAATCCTTTTTACTTCTTATCCGGTTATCCTAACGGCGGTACCTAACAACTTTTGTTAAAATTTTGTTACTCTACATGTGATGTATGTAGAATACTGGGCTTGATTTGACTTTCATCGTCGTAAAAGTACGTAGCAACTTTAGGAATTATTACAGTTTATAAATAAGAATATAAGAACGGAGGATGGGTCTTTAGAATTTAGTTTCTAATTGAAAAGGTAATATATTTTTTAAAACATTAAGATATAAGCAGAAGACCGTGGAATGTTAAAAGTGACAAGTATTTCCAAGGTTTATGCTCTGTTGGACCTAAGTATATTTTAACGTATCGTTTTATCAACTATCGATGGTCAAGTTATCGAGAAGTTGCCAGTCTATCAACCTTGTAGTCTGGCAGAATATTCCCAGGGCGGTTAATTTAAGCATGAGTCAGGTTTATTTTGACTTAAGCTTCAAGTGTTTTTAGTATGCCATTAATAACTGTGCGAAACATACAAGACAATGCGCAATCAAATCGCTTGAGGAAGATTTGCCTCAGACCAAGGAGAAGAGCGATAAGATATTATAAAAATATGTTTGTTGGGAAGCTAACGCCGTTTACAGATTTCTTAAGACAGGCACAATGTTTTCAAACTAGCTTACATCAAACAAGAAGAAACGCTATAGTAGAGTACCGCGACTGTAAGATACCCGTTACTGTTTTACACAATTTTAAAATATTCAGTTAGCTAGTGGAAATGCACAAAGTGCCACCTATTGTCAGAGAAAGCATGTTGAGTAACTGATAGTGATGTATAACCTACATTTCTTCATAAATAGAAAGAAATGGTTCCGATTTAAAAAAATCTTTGGTAAATCGATAGATATTGATAAAAATATGTTATGCTGATTCAAACGAAGACATTCACTATAATACAAAAAAGTAGTCAGTGGATCTCAAATACGTATTCGTAATAACAATTTTCTAGCTCTCTAGGTCCAAGATTTTTGTATTTTTGGTTTTTTTGGGGTTTTGTAAACGTGGCTAGATGGGAAAAAACAAATCGCAAGATGCCCCAAGCATCTTCAAAATCTACATTTTCAATCCGAACTTTCTGACATTTATAGTTACCGAGATATCAGCTTTTCCACAAAACCGTCTTTCGAGCTTGGTGGGCGTAAGTGTGGGTGTGGCTGGATAACAACACCAGTATAAAATGCGCTGGAATCTTAAGATTATACATACTTAGTCTTAACTTTCTAGCTGTAATAGTTATTAAGAATTACAAGATTTTAGTGTTCCATGATTTATGACCTTAGAATGGGCTATCTGAACACATGCGCTTAGGAACCTCAAGAACTTTAGCTTAATCTGATCCTCGTATCTACTATGGTCGAGACTACTTTCATGGCTTAATCGACTTCGCTATTGATCTTGATCAAGAATATATATACTTTATAGATTCCTTCTACCTGTTACATACTTTTCAACGAATCTAATATACTCTACGAAAAACGGGTATAAAAATGTTTACTTTTTTGGATACCAATGCCTTCGAACTTAAAATAATTTATTTTTAGAATACCCAGATTCTTACCTTTTCTGCACAGAACTAACGACTCCAGAAAATTTAATTCCAGCACGTCCGCCTTCAGTTGATGGGCCTCGAAGATGAGGCGCTTGACCAGTAGGAGGCTCTTAGGACAAAGAGTTCAATTCAATTGGCCAGACCCCGCTGAAAAATTGCACTATTTGCAAGCGTTGTTCAGGCGTTTCGTCTCGTTTTATAAATTAATTTTCCAGTTAAAAAATGGTGCAACCATCCAAATCCCGGATCTGATTTCTCTTCAAGGTGTCGAAAATAAATGTGTACAATTGATGTTACCCAGTAACCGATTTAGGATCTTCTGAATCGGTTTCCATTGAGCTATACAATTTGAATTAAACACTTTAAATGAATTTTTGGCTTACATTTTTTATTGGTTTACTCGTAGAGTAAAGGGGTTTGCTGCATTTGTTAAAAACTATGTAACAATTAGCGTTAGAATCAAGAACCTTTCATATAAACGCTGACATCTCGGAAGATTAAAGGGGAAATAAGCACAACGCCCACATAACGCCCACAAACCAAGAACATGTGGCGTGCAAACTTTGTATTTTCAAGGATTCAGTATCCATTGATCTAGTATGAATGGTTTTTAGCGAAGTTGAAGCTCACTATTGAGCTACTAATTCTCGATCCGGGTAAATGCCTTAAGTGGATGTGTCTCAGGTTTGTTTATCTTAATCTTAAAGTGTTTTTAAAATGTCACTAACAACTGTGCGAAACATACAAGACAATGCGCAGTCGAACCGCTTGAGGCAGAGTTGCCTCAGACCAAGGAGGAGCTGGCCAAATCGCAAATAATTGGATCGCTGCAGGGTGTAACGGGCTAAGGAAACCAGGGCGGCGTTGGAGTGGCTTCCCAGGATGATGGCGTATTCCGCACTGATGGCTAATTCTGTAAAATATAATACTATAATATATAAATAGATCAGATATTGTAAAAAAATGTTCTTTGGGAAGATTTAAACGTTGACAGATTTATTATCCTTAAAGGAACAGGAACAATGTTTTCAAACTAGTTAACACCAAAACACTAAATGTTTTCTTTTTTGGATACCAATGTCTTCGAACTTAAAATAATTTGTTTTCAGAATACCCAGACTAGGCAAATCTTACCTTTTCTGCACAAGATTAACGACTCCAGGAAATTTAATTCCAGCACGTCCGCCTTCAGTTGGTGGGCTTCAAAGATGAGGCGCTTGAGCTGCTCGTCGCCACAGCCCTCGATCAGGGCGCTGATGTCCAGCGACCAGTGGGAGGCTCGCAGGACGAAGATTTCGCTCCACACCACCTGAAGGATAGCGTCCTGCTGGCAGCGTTCCAGGAGCGTGAACTGCTCATTGACCTTCGCCTGTCGCAGGCATGTGACGAGGATCTGGGCCAGAATCTGAAAGTGAAAAGTCTGGGAGTGTGGTGTTGGGGATGGTGCAGACACCGATGGCGGAAGATGTCTTCTAGTGCTCCTGTACAGAGCAACCTGCTGGTTGCGCGGACCCCGCTCCTCCTGAACGGCGGCGGAGTTCATTCCCACGGCCAGACACCGCTGAAAGCGGCACGAAGGACACCAGTTCCTTCTGGCCTTGTCCACAACACAGTTGCCAGCAAGGGCGATGCAGGCGTAGCTACTGCCACGCCGCACGCTTCGCTTGAAGAAGCACGAGCATCCGTCGCAACAGGCTACGCCGTAGTGTTTCCCGGAACTCTGATCGCCACACACCGCGCATGCACTGAAGCTGGTCATGGTCACCTCTGCCAATGAGAGTCGTTTCGGACTGAATCAGGTCCTTCCGGATATTGGCGGTTTTATATGTCCTATTCACGCAAATGATATGCAAACTAGTTACACCAAGAGAAAGCTCTTTGGGGTTTTAATATCAAAACTAAAATATTTATCTCAGTTAGAAAATGTTTAACAATTACTTTTTCATAATTGTGGTGCTTTTCTACGAAGAATTTAAATTGGGGTTAAACTAACTGGGAGTTGAAAGGGGAAGACAGTTTCAGATTCGCGTTCATAGACATTTTCTCAAGTGTAGGACTGCATTGTGCCAAAGCGTGATTTGAGGATTTTTGTTTGTCCGAGACGTCCTGGCAGTGGGCGTGGTGCGTCAAAAGTGACAATCACCTACTGCTATTCGGGAGCGTGTTAACAATTTGTAAACAATTATTGTTTTGCTCTGTGATTGGACGCCCGCTTGGCACTCGAGATGTCCGCGTTGAGGTCGTTTTCCACTGACATTTGGGGTAAACATAAGAATACCAGCTTCATATTCCACCACGGACAGACGGACATCGCTTAATCGATGGCTTTATAGGGTCGGAAACGCTTCCTTCTACTTGTTACACACTTTTTAACGAATCTAGTATACCCTAACAATTCGCATTGGGGCCATCATAACAAAGTTCGTAACAAATAGCTAATAATTTTTCCGAATTTTCTTTTTGGTAAATATTTCTTACTTTATAGTTACCGAGATATAAGCTTTTCTACAGCTTTTTGCACAGGGAAAAACTGCTGCGGAATCTCGCAGACAGATTATTGATTCAAACCGCCGAACAGTGGTTTAGGCGATTCCGAAGAGGCAATTTTGATAAGCCTTCCGGACGACCAGTGACCGTTGATACGGATAAAATCATGGAAATAGTGGATCGAGATCGTCATGTGACTATTACAGAGGAGATGCAACTAAGCACGGAAATAGGCTTTTAAAATCGAAAAATTTAACGAAAAAGCTCAATGTATGGGTGCCTCATGAGTTATCCAAAAAAACCTTTTCGACCGTGCATCAATCTGCGAATCTTTGTTGCACCGTAATAAACTCGACTCATTTCTGGATCGGGTTAGTCACTGGTGATGAAAAATTGATCACATATGACAACATAAACCGTAAAAAATCCTAGTCGAAGAACGGGGAGTCGTCTCAAACGGTGGCAAAGCCAGGACTGACGGAAACGGGAGCAACTGGAGTCGCGTTAAAAAAGGTCAGGAGCAACGTCTTTGTGTACCTAGACGACCTTTTGATTATTTCGAAAACGTTTAAGGAACATATGCGGATACTTACCGAGGTTGCAAAACGCCAACCTCACGATCGGCTACACAAATCTAAGTTCTGCTTTAGATTCCTCAAGTATCAGGGTTTTGTGATTGGAGAGGGTTCCTTGAGGACGGAAACGGGGAAGATTCAGGCAATAGCCAAAATTCAAGAACAACGTGAATGCCAAGTTCTGTCGCAATTACAGACCCAGTAAGGAGTTCCCGGAGAGTTGCCCAAAAAATGTTCCCAGCAGCTCAAGGATGGGGGAGACAATCGTATGTATTTAATAACCAGGAAGGACATGTACCGTTGAGTATTCCGACGATAATAAGGTTAAAAAAACGATAATTTGTTAATCGATTTCGTAATCAATCTTGTACCCGGAGATGGCGCTTTATGATTAGACAAGCGTAATTATAATGGTTTGGTTAGTTAAACTCTAACTAGTATATTATATATCAGAAACAGTGTGCAAATTTGGATATGAAAATAGTTTGGACCTAGCCTTAACGAAAGCCCGGATCATAAAATTAAAATTAGACTTATATAAACCCGAAAATTCGAATGATCCACAAAATCTACGTATTTATATTTATGATCAAGATCAATGTTCGACTCGCTTGTAGGTTTAGAGCTAGGAAGGAGTTAGGTTATAAAGCCTCATATGGCTAGCTTATAACAATGAAAACAAATCAATTTATTAAACCGGTTGATGTTATAAGCTGAATAATATGGTATATCTTTGACCGATGGACCGATAGATTTACCAGAGCTTTATTTAAAAATCATTTGGTCAATCATTTGGGTAATCGAATTTTTAACCAGATGTAGAGCACATTTCGGTTACACCTGATTGACTTTTTTGAAATCAGGCTCCCGAAAAACAGAAACGTGAAAATTAAACAAAACGCCTTTAAAATGGTAATTTTTATTTTTGTGGACTCACGGATTTGTATTAAACAAATGGAAAATAGTTATATTTTTTAATTGATTTACACAAGTTTTTTTATATTGTTAGTCATGTCATGGCATAATTAATGAATAAATGAATCTTTTTAATTCGAATAATTGTGATTTTTGGCATATGACCATTTTCCCAACATTTGTGGCCGCATGTCGGCAATAACACGGCGAATGTTGTCTTCCAAATGGTCAAGCGTCTATTCTATACGAATAGACCAATAACTTTACATAGCTTCACAGAAAGAAAATTTAAGAGTAAACGTGGTGCGAAAATGTTCCATGGTTAATCGAATGAACTGCTCTGATGGTCGATTTAGTCGACGATAAAATGGACGTAGTGCGTCATAATTGCACTATTTGCAAGTGTCGTTCAGGCATGAACAGTAATGCCAACGTAAAGTTCTATTCATCTTTACCAGGAAGAAGAAAGAGTTTCCGTCTTAATAATGTATATAATATAAATTCTTGATCAGGATCAATATTCGAGTCGATTTAGCCATGTCCATGTCTGTCTGACCGAACACAGGCATGGATTCTTGAGATTCCTCCTGTTGCCACCTAACGCTCACAAAATGCTAATAACTTTCGACACTGAGATCTCAGAAACTAAAAGAAGCTAAAAATATAAAGTTTCCAGCGCAGCTCTGAGCCACGCCCAATGTAAAGTCATTTTAAAAATGGTTAGCACTGTAACGGATATCTCATAAACCTCCTATTTCCAATTGTTGATAGTTCAGAGTCGTGATTGGTTAAAAAAAATAGTTAACGCAATCAATATTATCGATCAGTTGCTTACTTGGTATTATTATTATAAGTAGTAACCGGGGTGCAGATAAGAGAGCAAGAGAAGTCCTAAGGGACCCGTATTCCTTCTGATGTTCCTCTTAATGCGGTTACTGTGCAAGTGCTCAGGTTGTTCAGAGATGACTATCTAAAACAGTACTCCTTCTCTGAAAGAAAATTTGATATAATTTATTCTTATGTGTTCTTCGGAGCTTAGAGACCTCCTTGAGGCAACTCGCGCTCAACCCCATGTGTATGTATTACAAGGTATGCCTGGCCTGAAGGCTCTTTGTTCTCATATCATTGAACGTAATCATCTTGATTTTGTCTTGATTTCACTTATGATCTGATTGATTGGTCTTTGCTTTTACTTTTTCGACTAGACACCATTGTAATGATTTCTCGGAGTTTCTTTGTCGTTCTAGATCCGATCCTAGTCCATAATGACCTTTAGACCTTTAATTTTAAAGACATAGAAATTCTACTCGATGTGCAATTGAAATTATACCCCAAATCAAGTTCTTATTTACTGAGTAATAAAATAGACCTACCAACTACTCGGATTTTGGCTGACAACAATGCAATGCAAAGCAATGATTCCCACGCAAGTTTCGTGACCAGATTCTAATTTTTGTACATTAAACTCAATGGAAAACTTATATCAATGCCAAGACTTGTACCGCCATTTTAATTTTTTGAGACTCACGGATTTTTGTAATAAAAATGTTAGTCCTATTAACTTGGAACGTTAGGCATGTCAAGGAATAATTCAGACATTTAACCACTTACTGCCGTGATATATAAAGAGAGAAATTGTTTCACATCGGCACAATATTATCCCACAATGAAGATACTGTTGGTTTTCCTTTTCGTCCTTGTTTGCTTCCTGGGAATGGCCCTCTCCCAGAACCGAAGTGATCCCGAATGGATACAAGCTCAAAAGGATCGTAAGTCTTATCACTTAAAAGTAGATCTCGTTTTATAAATTATTTTTCCAGGTGAAAGATGGTGCAGACTTAATTTGGGACCTGCCTGGGGTGGAAAGTGCCGAAAATAATTGAATTGAAAATAATTGATGTTACCCAGTAACCGATTTAGGATCTTCTGAATCGGTTTCATGGAGCTATCCAATTTGAATTAAACACTTTAAATGCATTTTTGGTTTACACTTTTTATTGGTTTACTCGTAGAGTAAAGGGGTTTGCTGCATTCGTTTAAAACTATGTATCAATAAGCATTAGGATTTCACGATCAACGGCCATATTAACACCCACAAACCAAGAACAACTGTGGCGTGCAAACTTTGTATTTTCAAGGATTCAGTATCCATTGATCTACTATGAATGATTTTTAGCGAAGTTGAAGCTCACTATTGAGCTCCTAATTCTCGATCCGGGTAAATGCCTTCAGTGGATGTGTCTCAGGTTTGTTTATTTTAAACTTAAAGTGTTTTTAAAATGTCACTAACAACTGTGCGAAACATACAAGACAATGCGCAGTCGAACCGCTTCAGGCAGAGTTGCCTCAGACCAAGGAGGAGCTGGCCAAATCGCAAATAATTGGATCGCTGCAGGGTGTAACGGGCTAAGGAAACCAGGGCGGCGTTGGAGTGTCTTCCCAGGATGATGGCGTATTCCGCACTGATGGCTAATTCTGTAAAATATAATACTATAATATATAAATAGATCAGATATTGTAAAAAAATGTTCTTTGGGAAGATTTAAACGTTGACAGATTTCTTATCCTTAAAGGAACAGGAACAATGATTTCAAACTAGTTAACACCAATAAATGTTTTCTTTTTTGGATACCAATGTCTTTGAACTTAAAATAATTTATTTTCAGAATACCCAGATTAGGCAAATCTTACCTTTTCTGGACAAGATTAACGACTCCAGGAAATTTAATTCCAGCACGTCCGCCTTCATTTGGTGGGCTTCAAAGATGAGGCGCTTGAGCTGCTCGTCGCCACAGCCCTCGATCAGGGCGCTGATGTCCAGCGACCAGTGGGAGGCTCGCAGGACGAAGATTTCGCTCCACACCACCTGCAGGATAGCGTCCTGCTGGCAGCGTTCCAGAAGCGTGAACTGCTCATTGGCCTTCGCCTGTCGCAGGCATGTGACGAGGATCTGGGCCAGAATCTGAAAGTGAAATGTCTGGGAGTGTGGTGTTGGGGATGGTGCAGACACCGATGGCGGAAGATGTCTTCTAGTGCTCCTGTACAGAGCAACCTGCTGGTTGCGCGGACCCCGCTCCTCCTGAACGGCGGCGGAGTTCATTCCCACAGCCAGACACCGCTGAAAGCGGCACGAAGGACACCAGTTCCTTCTGGCCTTGTCCACAACACAGTTCCCAGCAAGGGCGATGCAGGCGTAGCTACTGCCACGCCGCACGCTTCGCTTGAAGAAGCACGAGCATCCGTCGCAACAGGCTACGCCGTAGTGTTTCCCGGAACTCTGATCGCCACACACCGCGCAGGCACTGAAGTTGGACATGGTCACCTCTGCCAATGAGAGTCGTTTCGGACTGAATCAGGTCCTTCCGGATATTGGCGGTTTTATATGTCCTATCACGCAAATGATATGCAAACTAGTTACACCAAGAGAAACTTTGAGGTTTTAATATCAAAACTAAAATATTTATCTCAGTTAGAAAATGTTTAACAATTGATTACTTTTTCATAATTATGGTGCTTTTCTATGATTTCTACGAAGAATTTAAATTGGGCTTAAACTAACTGGGAGTTGAAAGGGGAAGGCAGTTTCAGATTCGCGTTCATAGACATTTTCTCAAGTGTAGGACTGCATTGTGCCAAAGCGTGAATTGAGGATTTTTGTTTGTCCGAGACGTCCTGGAAGGGGGCGTGGTGCGTCAAAAGTGACAATCATCTACTGCTATTCGGGAGCGTGTTAACAATTTGTAAACAATTATTGTTTTGCTCTGTGATTGGACGCCCGCTTGGCACTCGAGATGTCCGCGTTGAGGTCGTTTTCCACTGACATTTGGGGTAAACATAAGAATACCAGGTTCATATTCCACCACGGACAGACGGACATCGCTTAATCGATGGCTCTATAGGGTCGGGAACGCTTCCTTCTACTCGTTACATACTTTTTAACATATCTAGTATACCCTCTTAGTCTACCAATAACGGGTATTAATTATTTTTAAATACATTTACAAATCTTTCAAATTTAAACGGAACGCCCTCAGAACGGCAGTGTTTTCAACGTCAGTTACTTTTTCAAACGAAAGGTGGCGTTAGTAAAATTGATTAATTAAATATAAATGGAAGCAGATGCTAGGAAGCTTATTTATATTCTATCTATCAATTAAACAAACTTTTTTGAATTCATTAACATTGACTAACCTGCAAAGGAAAAATTACTATACTGGGACAAAATTTGGTCTAATTTTTGGCCTTATTTTTAAACGAGTTTCAAAATATACTAATATAGTATAATAGCATCACGGACTTGAAAATAATGGTCAATTTCAGCGTTGATATCGTTAACATAACCTATCCTGAAAGGCGATATAATTTCGAATTTCTTCTCTCTGTGTTGGAGAAATCGATAACTGAGTCCCTGGTCAAAAATAAGAAGATTTACTTTAATTAGAATTGAACTTAAAACGTGCCACTACCAACATTGAAATTGGCCCTATACGACTCTACCTATAATTAAAAAATTATAGCGATCATACATCATTCATGTAAGTAAAAAGTATCACCCATTTTCCGAACTCCTTTAAATCAATTTAAAGTTGACTGATTTAATATTTAATTATTCAGTTAAAAAATTCTTTGAACTAATGTTAACTGCATTTATTTTGACCTTCGTTTTTCGAGATGTATGGTCTGGCAACCAGGACTACGTTTTCCAGAGTCACATCCCTCGTAACGTAAAACTTTAGCTCTGCTTGGTATCCGTGCGATCGCAGGTGCTCTAGTCGTCCGTAGTCTAAAACCCGCTTGCACTGCTGACCAATTTTTTCCCTCTCTTCGCGACTTAGTCGCTGGGTATTCGTCTCCGTGGGTTGGTTGTCCGACTGTTCCATAGCCTTGCGACGCTCACGACTTAAGCCTGTGCCACAAACGGCCCAACTGACCATTTTAGTTAGGATAGCGAACTCCCGAGGTCCAATCCCAGATTGTTGCAGGAACGATCGTCCTACATAAGAGCGCCAGGAGCAGCGATGATGGCAGCATAGGGCGATGAGCACGTAGTCCGTTCCGGCAACTCCATCATCTAACATACATCTCAGTGTTAAATCTGTTGCTGCTCCACAGAGATGCTTCGAAATAGCAACCGTTCGTTGAGTTTTATTCAGCTCTGGCAAAGCGTTGAGCTTTAGATCGGCGATATCCGCCCGGATACGCTGCACCAGCTCCTTATTGGTTACCTTATTGTCCTTTTTGTGACGAAGGGACATCCGGTCGATGAGGATTACCTGGGAGTGAGTTAATTGCTGAGTCTCCAAAACGGTGGCTAAGTAATAGGCTAGTTGTCCCTTTCCGGCACCGAACTCCACATAGCTCGTGTGATCCGTGAACTGTTGGTCTTTCTCCAAGATTCCCAGCAAGCTGGAGGCTTGGGCAAGCTGGCGTAGAGTTTCTTGTCCGTAATCCTTGCGATTCAATTCTTCCTTGAGGGATTCATGCTCTAACTGCATTTCCTTTATGCTTAAATTAATGTGCTTGTCATACAGATCTTTTACTTTGCCGATCACACCGTAAAATTCTTCATCCGTCAGCTCATGTAGCTTTATTTGGTTAAGTTTCTCCAGGTCTTCGAGTGGTTCTTCCAAATCTTCTCCTGAATTAACTCCTTTTACAATGTAAGGCAGTGAGCTTTCCTGATCTCGTGCATTGCAAATGGTCAAGTGTTTAGCTAGTTTTTTTTTGAAGACGGTATGTTTTGGATCCAGCGGGCAGGAAATACGTTCTTGGAAGGAATCTTTGCCAGATTTGTCATCTGATATCGTTGGGGCAACTGTGGGTGGGGCATGGGCGCCGCAAAACAAGCTACCCTTGTTAGCCGTCATCTTGCAGCGGCGCTTCTTCCGTGGCACCCAGTAAGAGCAGGTGGTGGTCTTATGTGCTTCTTCTTTGTCTGCATCAGTCATCTTCTGTTTCTTGGGTTCCATTCGTTACGTTTTTCGAAATGAATTTCTCCCAATTCGCAACTCGTGCGCGTCAGTATGACCAAGACTTGGCGAAAAAATAATACCATTGTTATTGGTTGACAAAACTTCCCAAAATGGGTTTTTCCGCCGCGTAATTTGAACTTTTATTTTGTATTGATTAGAATTATAAAAAGTATAGAGTAAGTAATCGTGTAATCTCGCAAATCTAAAATCTTCGAAAATAATCGCAATCAAATATTTAAGCGATAGTTAAGTTCGAAAACGAGGTTTTATTGCATTCGCCGTCTGGTAACACTGCAAAATAAAGAAGCCGCTTTATAATTTTTTTTGTCGAAAATAAACGCAAAATAACAACTGAAAGGCTTAATAAAAAGATTGTCCACTGCATTTAACCAACCATAACTACGATCCGCCATGTAAGTATTGTAAAAGTGATGGGCAACCAATCGGTAATGGGAATACGGCTTGAAACATGTGCGCCGGCATTTTGGATTGTAGGTTGGACACTCGTATTGCAATTTTGTGATTTAAATGTTTCTTTTGCAGGGCTCTTGTGAAACCTAAATCTGAACTGACTCCAGAGGAGCTGGCGCGCCAGGAGGAGGAGGAGTTCAACACAGGGCCGCTGTCCGTGCTCACACAATCCGTGAAGAACAACACCCAGGTCCTCATCAACTGCCGCAACAACAAGAAGCTTCTGGGGAGAGTAAAGGCCTTCGACCGCCACTGCAACATGGTCCTGGAAAACGTGAAGGAGATGTGGACGGAGCTGCCGCGCACAGGAAAGGGCAAGAAGAAGGTGAAGCCCGTGAACAAAGATCGCTTTATATCTAAGATGTTCCTTCGCGGCGACTCCGTCATTCTGGTACTCAGAAATCCCCTAGCCACGGCGGCCGGGAAATAGTCTACCTTAGCAATAACGTTCAGTATAATTACCACCAATTGCAGTCAATAAATCCACAATTCGATTACTTTTGTCAAGAACATCCAGCCTTTGGATCTAAATGGAGTGTAAGTTTGAGTTTTCATCCCGAAAAAAAGCTTTTTATGTATAAAAGTAATTTATTTATATTCTGATGTAGTTATTAATGGATTGGTAATCCGTATAAAATTTCAAAAAAAAAACCAGATTAATTTTCCGAAAGTTGTTTGTGCAGTTTAGGCACATGGTCGTCATATTGGGCTTGGTAGAAGGTTCCAGCTATAGGATTGCCCAGTTGATACTTTTTGGCAAACTTGGCGGCACTGAATTTTGGTCGATCCTTACGGGATTTGTTACTTACGCGATCCTCATCGAACTCAAGTTTACCAGACTGTTTGTACAGCAAGAAGACATAGCGATGGAGTCCCGTTCCTTGTGGTGGACCCGGAGCCAATATATTCGGCGATCGCCTCACCGCTGGACAAGTCATTGCCGGCGATGTTGACCAGCACCCAGTGCTTGAACTCACGGAACTTGGGTTCTGCACGGCTGGGTGCATCGGGATCGGTCATGATGAGTGTATAGTATTCCCCAGGCTGGGCTTCCCACTCCACGTTCGGCTGATCCTTAACCTGCGTGGGCGTAAGCTCCACTCCATCTTTGGCTACAAGGTTGTTGCTGTACGTGACCTTTGATCAGAGAGAATTTTAAGGTATATCAGTTAGTAGCAATTTAAATGGTGTTTCACGGTTGTGGTTTTTGCATTGCTGGCTTCTATATGAATTTTAATTCCGAATGAAGTTTATATACATATATTTAATAAACAATTCCGGCTTGTACCTCCAAACAAAGTTGAAACACTTTTATAAGACTGAACTATCCTTATAGAAACAACGACTTTTAACATCTGCCTAAAAAAGAGGCATCATTGTCAAGGGGGGATTTCCAAATTTCGACACAAATTTAACACTTCTTATGTAACGTAAGATACTTGTATAGTTTTATAAACCCACCTTTAATAACTGGTTTGGTGGCTCTGGAATGACATCGGGAACCACCTGATGCGAAGTGAAAACTTCCTCCACGGTGCCAGCTTGGACGGCCAGCAGGCAGCTAATCAATGTTAATGAAAACAAAAGCATCTTTCTTTCAGAAACTATTCCGTAGACGATAAGAACTTTAGCAAACTCCGAAGTAATAAAGATCTGGTCTGCTCTGGAACAAGGTCTGTCAGCAACTGAAACCAGTTTGCCGTGATGCCATACTTTAAAAGCGAAGCTGAAAGCTTTTTGTTTTATAAAGCATTTGAAAAAACATTCTCAGCACACTAATTAACGATGACTTTGATATCTTTGTTTAAAGCTAGGCTTCACAGAAAATGAATGCAATCAGCTGCAAATTCTAAAAAAAAATTTGTGATTCTGTGATTAATTATACTAATTGCTGGTTAAAAATAGGTAACTGACATTCAAATTAAAATGTTATGGTATAATTATACCCGTTACTCGTAGAGTAAAAGGGTATACTAGATTCGTTAAAAGAGTAACAGATAGAAGGCTTGCACCCAAAAGTATATATCTTGATCAGGATCAATAGCGAAGTCGATTGAGCCATGTCCGTCGTCCGTCCGTCCGCCGTCCGTCCGTCCGCCGTCCGTCCGCCGCCGGAACGCGAGATCTCAGGAACTATAGCAGATACAAAGCTGAGATAAGCAGAAGATTCTTGAGGTCCCGGACAGCGCAAGTTTATTACAGCATCCTGCCAGCCCACTCAACGCCCACAAATCGCAAAAACTAAAATTCGAAATCTCAGGAACTATTGCAGTTAGAAAGTTGAAATCAAAAGTATAATCTTTAGATGCAGCGCATCTTATAGTGGTACTACTATCCGGCCACACCCCACCCATACGCCCACAAGGCTCAAAGACGGTTTTCGGATTTTCTAGAAAGCTAATATCTCGGTAACTATAAGAGATAGAAAGTTCGGATCAAGCATGTATGTTTCTATAATGCTCCCAATGCGAATTGTTTTTTTCCAATCTCGCCACGCCCACTCGAACGCCCACAAAACCCGAAAAACCAAAAATGCAAAAATCTCGAAAACTATAAAAGCTACACAATTTTGCTTAAGAACACGTATTTAGGAGATGCCTCTGCAACTTGCCACGAAGTTGCATCCGGCCACGCCCACTCTAACGCCCACAAACCGCGGAAAACTGGAGTCTATAATATTATTATGAATGCCTTCGTTTGACCTTGTGTAACTTATTTTTGTTAATATCTATCGACTTACAAAAGATTTTTCAAATCGGAACATTATTTCGCTATTTATGAAGAAATTAAGGTTATAAGGCTCCACATGGGCAGTGACGTCACTATAAGCATACTCAACATACTTCCTCTGACAATAGGTGGCGCCTTGTGAATTTCCACTAGCAAAATTTATATTTTAAAATTGTGTAAAACAGTAACGGGTATCTTATAGTCGCGGCACTCGACTATAGCGTTTCCTCTTGTTTTATTAATTAATTTAATAATAAACCATAAATTCATTTTAAGAGCAAGGTTTCCACATATATTATGATTTTAATCAGTTAACAATGATCGTAGTTATCGAAACAAATTATTTTTGAAACTCGAAACCGAATTCTGAAACACCCCATGCAACCTATTTTTTCCCAGAGAGCTGCTTGTATAGCTTGGGAACGTATTCGTCCCACTGTGCCTGGAAAAAGTTACCAGCGATTGGATCTCCCAGCTTATACTTGCTCATGAACTTGATGGTGCTGAAATTGGCTCGCTTGTCACCGCTCGTCTTCGGGATTTTGGGCTCGCTGCACGTGAGCTTTTGGGGCTGCTTGTAGACCAAGAATACGTAGCGATGGAGGCCAGTGCCCTGCGGTGGTCCTGAACCCACATAGGCGGTCAAAACCATGCCGCTCTCCACTTGATTGCCTGGAATATTGACTACCAGCCAGTGATGCCACTCTCGGTACTTAGGATCCTTGCGACTAGGTGCGTCTGGATCGGTAAGGATTAATGTGTACAGGGCGTTTGGATCCGCATCCCATTCTACTTTTGGAGGATTCTGCACCTGGGTGGGAGTCAATTCCTCGCCCATATCCACCACCTGGCCACCGCTGTATGTTACCTGGGGACAAAAAATTGTGGCACGCAAAATTTTTAAGGATACGTAAATTCGCTTACCTTAAGCAAATTGGTGGGACACGTTTTCAAGATATCCGGCACGATCTTATGCTTAGAAAAACACACAGCGGCCTCGGACATTTTCGGCTAAGTAATGATTTTGCTCAAATTTGGGGTGACAGAAAGTTACTTTTGAAATTGAAAGCTAGATCAGTAGCGACTTTTTTCTCAAATATATCTTAGTGTTGGAATTTTTAAAACATTTATGACCTTAAGGGGTGCACATGAATGAAAAGCAAAGTGTCTTCAAAAGATAAAAGGTAACCTTTAATGAAGTAATTATTAAAGAAAAGTTATATTATCTTATAAATCTTTAATGAATTTTCATGAGCTATGCTTTCACTATGATGCAACAATGTTTTAGTCCGATAAAAAATTATCTTTTCTCAGAAATATAATGATAATAATCTGTGTTTATACTATTTCCGTCTGAGAGTCATTGCAATCGGAAAGTGGATGAAATAAAACAGGAAGCTTAAATTACAAACTTATTTTCCAAGAGCCTTAAGTTTCCCCTTATATAAGGAAAATAATGCTCTGACAGTTTGATATAATAGTACTTATTAAAACGAAATGTCTTTTTTACATCATACAACCATATTAAGTAAGAGTTTAAAATCATCGTCGAATTTGTATCAATTTTGATCCGCTGATTTAAAGTTTATTTTTATGCATTTTTAAACGTTAATACAAGATTTAAAATTCTTAAAACTAAAAACCTAGGGATACATGGTATGACGAGCACTGTGGGAGATTACCTTTATAAGAGCTGGGACATCGGGACTCCAGCTGGATGTGAAGAAGTTTCCAGCTACTGGATAACCAAGTTTATATTTCTTAGCAAAGAGTTTGGTATGGAATTTACTACGTCCTTTAGCTGAGTGCTTGGGCAGTTTTGGGAAGTCAAACTTGGTGTAGTCCCTCTGCTTGTAGAGTAGGAAGATGAGCCGATGGGTTCCGGTGCCCTTCAAAGGAGTGGCGCCCATGTATCCCACTCGTACATCGCCAAGGTCAAGTCGATTGCCAGGAATGTTCAGCACCATCCAGTGGAGGAACTCCCGGTGCGTAGGCGTTAACACGTTTGGCACATCCGGATCTACCATCAGTAGGGTATAGTAGTTTTCCGGCTCTGATGGCCATCTTAAGGCTGGTTCATCGCGGACTTGCATGGGATGTAGCAACTTTCCACAGTGGGCTGGCACATGGCCATGGTATGTTACCTTTGGTGGAAATAAGAGGAACATTCTTTTAATTATAAGCTAACCACAATTTTAAAAAACAATTTCAAATAGATACTACTCACATTAAGGAACTCCTGGGGTCCTATATGGATTACATCTGGTATTACATCCATGGTCCTCATGAACTTACTTACTTCCGTGTCCGACTGATGATCTATCGTACTCCTGGTGTATTTCTGGCACAAGGCTGGACCAAATCTCACGAACAGTAGAATCCATATAGTGGCCAACATTGTGAAGGAAGTCTTTTACTGACTTCAAAGCCGAGACTTGCTGGCCTTAAATACTTTGGCCATTATACAGATGGTTTCTACCAGGCCAATTAACCAAGAAACAGCTGGCAGTAAGTTTAGGTAATCTGCAATTCGATGCTCCCCTAAAACATCATAAAACAAACTGTCGTGCCGCCGGGCAATTAGTAATCCACTCCCACCACCCACATCTATTGCGTGTTGACGGGTTCTGAGAACATGCAATGTAATATCAGTTAGTACCTCGTTTACTTGACAGACTATTAAGCTAAGTGCCGCTGGCTCGTTCACATGCAAATTCAGAGCACATTGTTTTATTATATTTCTGTAAAAATTTAACGCATTTACGATTTTGGTTTTGAAGATCGAGAAAATGTATCCAACTTTTTTGGTTATGTGAAAAATTGTTAAAGTACATGCGTTTTCTAAGGTTATGATTCGTGTTTAAATTTCCCCAAAAAGAAACCCTTGGAACTTAAATAAATTTATTTACCCCAAAATACCCATATTATTACCCAAAATCAATCATTTTTTTAATTGTTTTAAAGTTTTGCATTTTTAATAAATTAAATAAATATTAATTCAATTCAGTTTGATTTTTGGTCGATTTGTGACGAAGTGAAAGGGGCAAAAGGACGAAGAGTCAGTGAAAAAGAAAATGGTATGAAGAAGGAAAATCAGGCTAAGTGGGGGAGTGGTTACAGCTGAAGAATGGCTAAAACTCTCGCGTGCTTAACCCTTTACGACTACAATTATGGCCTGGGCAGGTTCCGGTTCCATTTGGTCTGTGTGATCCGCAGTGATCCCTCCTAGAAAGGATCAGCAATATCCTTCGTATGTACAATGGGACGAATGTTTTTCCCTTTTTAAGAGGATGAGCTGTAGCTGGACGAAGAGCCCGAAGATCCCGAAGAGGATCCAGAGGAGTAGGACGACGAGCTGCTGGGATGGTATGAGCTGTAGGCCAAGTTCTGCGAGTCCCAACGGGCATAGGGACCTCCGCTCATGGGCTCCCAGCTGCTGGGATCGTAGGAAGAGGCGGTGGTGCTGGGCACTCCGTATTCACTGGCCGGAACTGGAGCTGGCATGGGCACCATGTTCATCTTCATGCCTCCCAACTTCTGGATAAGGTTGTAGATCAGGAAACCAAGCACCAGCTTGATGGCAATCTTGGACAGAATCAGAGCCTTGGTGGCCTTCAGACCGATCAGAGCCAGCAGGATGGGCATGATAACCTTCAGCTTGAATTTCATCAGCAGCAACAGAGGCAGGAACAGCTTGTCCTTGTTCTTCTTCTCAGCGCGACCTGAAAGATTTTCTAGAATAAGCATGTTTTTGGGATGACTTTCCCATGTCTACAGACCCTCATCCTTGGGCAACTCCAGATCGAAACCACGATCCGAGCGATAGGTCATCACGGAGCCAGCGAAGAAGGTCTGTGGCAGCTGCAACCTCATCTCGTTGGTGTTCAGAATGCGACCCAGACGATCCACAATGACCTTGTCGATGACATCGTCGCTCAAGGCGCGACCGCTGACCTCCTCCTCCTCCACATTGGCCACCGTGTCCAGAAAGCCGAGCACCTTCTCCTTCAGGCAATGCATGGCATTGGCATGGAAGCACTTATCCACAATGGTCGAGATCAGCTCGTCGGAGCTGTGTATACGCGGGGTCACCGCATTCTCGATGGCTGCCCCGGACACGGAGGCCACCAGCAGGAGCGCACAACCGAACGCGAACAAGGACGAGAAACGGAAAGCCATTGTGTCTCCAATTATTTACAATAAAATATATATATATTTAACACTACCAGAGCGCGTAGTGTTCACTGTGGAGTCGATGCGGCGACAATGTTGGATGATTTGCCGATTGGCTCCGGTTTTATACTGCCGCTCCCCGAGAGCGCCAAAGAGACCCGTGATGGCTTTTTGGAGTGCACAATTCGGTTTTTGGACAGCCCAACGCAGCGAGTGACGAGCAACGAAAGTCGAGCCACGGGCCAAGTCCGCGGAAAGCATGTGTCCAAAAGTTTTTCACAAAAAAAAAAAAAAAAAAATCGAAAAGAAAAGAAAACAAGAACGCTGCGGGGGAGTGTCACGAATATTAAATACCCGTTTTCTAAACTCGAAGATAAGAGTAAATTTCATATTGCTGGGCTTCTTTGAACTAACCAAGCAGGACAAAGATAATGTTTAGCTATTAAAGTTAATATCTTAACTTCAAAACCTAATAACAAAGATTCACGAAATGGATCTCAGATTCTATTCTATATTAGGGACTTTTCTTTTGAAGGTTCATAAACATTGTTGCATATCGCATATCTGAGATATTAAGAAAAGTTAAACGTTTGCATTCATTACGATTCTGGAAATATGTTTGTCACTAGGAAAATAATAAAAGTTCAAAGAAAACATCTTCATATATTATTTATTATTATAAATCAGTGATCTTTCGTACAAGGACCTTAACATATTACCCATGTTTATAAACATTAGAACCTTGTAAGCCCATTTACTATATACTCTTCTAATACCCATTCTTGAAACAGTAGCCTCTACTCCTCTGCTAACTGGGTTGCCCCTCAAGCTTTCTCGCTTTCCATATTGGCCTCAGACACCTAGCCTAACCCACCTAGCCCTCCCACCAGCCAAAGTTGCATTATTGACGCCCCGATGGAAATAACTTTTGTTGGCCAATTAGTATGCAGGCCCATTACTCTTACGCGACTGTCCACAAGAAAGCCAAATCGAAGACACGTACATACTTCGGCGTATTGTGTCAAATTTCGATACAAGAAATCAGTACGGAACTCGACTACCATTTGGTATTGACTCCTCACTGGATTTGATATGTTTTTTGTAGGCGGAACTGATGTTTCGATTTCGCAGCGGATTCAATTATTATTTTGTTTGCTTTTCCTCAGATTACGAAATAGATTTTCGTTTTTATTTGTGCCACATATATTTGGGTGACACACTTTTTATTAATTTACATAAAAGGGAGTTCCTCCCTAAGCTTGTTTCTCATTTTTGATTAATTAGCTCTTCGATCTGATCATTAAATAAGTTATTTTTGAGTTAAATAAGTCAAGTATTTATGCTGAAATTCTCTAAGAGTTGGAAAGTAATAAAGGAGTTAATAAGGAATGACTTAATCCTTAAAACTTAAAAAAAATATTTCTTAATTTTAGTCTAGTAACTTTAGCAGTACTTAAACAGTTGCGAATATTCCAAAAATGTAAATCTTTGAATGTACATGCAATACTTTATATTAAGCTTATCAAGTTAAGTAAGTTAAGTTTAAGATTCCATAAAAAGAAATCGGCTGTTTTTCAGTTTAAAAAACAAAAATTCTAACTTCAAAAACAACACTTTTTTGGAAACATCGAAGTATTACCTAATCTACCATATTTCCTTTGGCTGCCCATATCATTGATCATAGATTACCTAATGGTCAGTTTAAATAATTCAAAAGGTGTCTCTGGCTGTTTATACCAACCGACATGTTATTTTTATGTGTAACACTCGTATCCTACGATAAAAGAAATTGGACAATGGACAGCTTAATGATTATTTCACTAGCGCCACACTTTTGCTCGGATCGTGCCAAAAAAAGGTCCAATAAATTTCCATAAGCTCGTGTCTTGGCCTCAACTCGATGCTGATGATGATGATGATGATGATGTGGTATGTGGTGTGGAGTGCTGACAAAAACAGCGTCCATGCCAAGCGATTATGAAAGCTCCAGCACCTGTCGAGGTGTGCACCCGTGTACCTGGCTCTCAGGAATCTCTGGTTCATTCGCCTGATAAATTGGCTTAAATTCTGTGAAAATTGCCAACAGCGAGAGGCCAGTGCCCGAAAATGCCTTTATTATGCCAATTTTCACACTTTGTTGGCTTCCAGAACACGCATGCATCGGAAATTGATGCTTGACCCTCGCAAATCATTCAATTTTGAACCTCTGAAATGTATGCATATCATCACAGCCATAAAGTGAAAATAAAATAAACAAAATTTATTTAGGAATCATTAAGAAAAAAATCGAATTGTTCCAGGAAAAGAGTTTTAGTTAGGAGTTGCCGTATTAAAGGTTTAACATTTTATTTTTATTTTGAGTATTAAGTTAGTTATTTTTATGTCCAAAAGATCAAAAGGATAATGAATATTTCATAATTTTTAATTACTTTTTAACCCGCTTTAAGGCTCATCAATTTTATACATATTGAAAAAGTGCTTTATTTTTATTTAAGGACCAAGGACCTTTAACACAGCTGTTAAAATTCGTGGAAATCACAGAGGTCGTCCCTTTCGGCCCATTTTTTTGCAAATTCCAGCAAAGACCTTCTTGGTGCATCTGAGCGTAATCAAAGCTGAGGCTGGCTTTCATGACAGGGATTTATTTGTGAGATTTCATTTTCCATTTGGGCCACCCATCGATTTTGGCCTACTGCGAAATATTATGCCTCAGTGAGCGGCATTCAGGCCAGAAAATGTCCCTGATCTATTGACTCGGGCGGACCGAGAATATAGAAAGACTTTCACTTTTAGACGCCCGACTCGACTTTCGCACAAGTGAAAAGAGGAAATTTAAATTTTTAAATTATGTGCAGTTAATCAATTTAATCGACTCCTCTGCCAGCCGGGCCTCGAAAGCGACTTGAGCGGAATATTTAATTGGATTTGCTGCCGAGGGTCGGCGTTAGCTGTGGATTAAATTTGGCTAATTAGGACACAATTGCTGGGCCTGCGATGGCTTATACATATTGTATGCCAAGTGAAATTGGCCGAGACTCTGAGAACACTGCCAAGGGGGTTAGAAACGTTAATTAGGCCTGCTAGCTTGGGCATTCAATCGGTGCGGTTTTAGCCACAGGCTGTTTTTGGCCAAAAACAGTATTGAGTTTAATCTTTGATCTGGACTTAGATGTTGTTGACCTCCGCCAAATTCCTTCAATGAGTGGAATCGATTTTTAGCATATTCAAGGCATTTATTTTGCTACTTTATTTTGGTGCTTTGCTTCTCTGTTCTCTTAATCTCTTGTTTTCAATAAATAGTTAATAAATATTATAAATAAAGTCTAAATGAAACGAGCAGCGCAGGCTAAATGCTAAAGGGGCCAAAAGCCACAACATATTTCTAACAATTAACAAATGATTTTGTGTTTTTGTGACCACTTGTTGGCTTTTAGCTGCTCTGCTCCACTTGGTCTGTGGGGGATTCATCTTTGTTGTTTAGGCATAGGCCTGGTAGGCCAGGGGTTGGGCCAACTTCTGGGGCTGCTCAACGACGGGAACGGGGACAGCTCCGAAGGTGCGACCATCCCAAGGTCCATGGGCAGTGATGTGCGCGGTGTGATGATGATCATGGGCGATCTAATAGGCAAACAAATAATAGTTAATATATATAAAATCTGATATTGTCCTTAAAGTTATAGTAAATATATTAAATAGTAGTGTTGGTTGGGTAGTCAGTTTTGTGGTTTGGTTGGGAAGCGGGAGAGTGTGGGCGAGGATTCTGGCTCGACTTACCCTGCTGCTGCCGCCCTCTCGACTTCTTATACATACATTTGAAACTTAATAGAAATAAAGCTCGCCTCGAACTTCGAACTCCTCGACCCAACATCAACATCATCCCAACACACAAAACGCTGACTAATTACCACATCCAGCGAATGCCTGGAAGACAATTGGAGATGGTTTTTAATATCAAGGCCGGCTTACCTTTTTGCACAATTGGAAAATGGCCAAACCAACCGAGACAATGAAGGAGAAGAAGCCCAGAGCCAGGGCGTTGAAGGCCTTGATCTTCAGGATGCCAATGGCCATGGGGATCACGGTTATGGCCTTCAGCAGGATGAGAACCAGGATGGGCATGGCCAGCTTGCGGAGACGGTGCTTCTTTCCTGTAATATTGAATAGAAGGTTATAGATTAGAAGATGCTAACTATTAGAAATGGCAACAAGGCATGCGGAAAGTGAACCCACCCTTCTTGAAGATGTTGCCCTTCTTACCCCTGGCTTCGACATCGGTTCCCTCATCGGTTTCGTCGTCGTTCAGCTGGAGGTTAAGGCTCAGCTGGTTGTTAACCAGGTTGCGGGCCGAGACGGTGACCTTGGCATCGGCCAAGGGCAAGTCCATGCTGACATCGTGTCCGCGGATGTAGTTCTCAACGGCATCCATGAAGCCATCGGCACTGCTGGCACGAGCTTCGCTGATTGGCGTGGTCTTCTGGCCATTGGAATGCACCTTCAGGTTGGAAACCTATTTGGATTGGGGAATTATAAATTATTATTACTTTAATTTTTATTGATTATGATTTAATGAACTTTTTTAAATTGGTTGTATTGTTAAAATCGCTGAAGCAATTAATATTGTGTTTGGCAAATGAGAAAGAATTTCCTCAAAGTATTGTCTTAAATTTGAACTCAATATCAACCTAATTGGAATATTGAAAAATAGGTAGGACTTGTAAATATTTCCAAGCTCACCTGGTAGCTGTCTTTGCTCATCACGTTGTCCACGAACCGCATGGCCCGCTCTTTGATGCAGGCCATCGAATCTTGGCCACTGGCGCACTTGCTGTGCTCCTCGGCGATGAGCCGTTGCAGCTGATCGGTGGAGCCACCGGCCGCCGCCTGTCCCGCTGCCACAAGGGCTGCCACACCAACGATCACAAGGAGCAGTTTGGCCATTTTAGTTTTGGTGTATCTTTTTGGTTCTTCGCTCGCCGATGGTCAACACACAACTCGCCTCTTCGCTGGCACAATGGCGTTTAATAATCGTTTTTCTATTGTTCACGATTTTTATACTCAGTGGATCTTTAACTCGTCCGCCGACGAATGGCCGGGCCAAAAGAAATGGAGAATGGCCGGAGAAGACATGAATGAAGCGAACGGCGACAGAGCCGGTCCAACTTTGTTATTTCTCTGCCTGTGTGCGTGCCGCGGCGCGCCACGTGTCGTATGCTTAATGTGGCTTTATTTCGAACGCGTGCCGGTCGCATCCGAGAGTTTTCTATGTGGGTTGCGGGATGGCTGCACTTGAAAATATTTACTTTTTTCTTGTGTACCAGGGATTTTATACAAGCTGTTGTTTGTTTTTAGGAAAGGGTTTTCCCCTTAAATGTTTTCTTTCTCAGAATTGATTTATATTTGGGAGAGCCAAAAATGGAGTTTTAAGCAAGTTACTTTGTTTTCATCTTGAATATACATTTTTCTTAAATTTTATTAAAGTTTTTAATTAATAGATATTTCGTTCTTATGGTAAAGTTCTGAGTTAAGTTTGAACTATAAAAGGTAGAGCATAGGTAAAAAGAAAAGGTTTACTTTTATTATATTAGTCGTCGTCAGTAAGTCACAAAGAAGGTCTGGCTATCCTGCCATAGATATTTGGGTTTATAGTACATAAGTGAATAATTACTTCTTTTAATCATTTTAAGAAGAATTGAGAATAATTTTGATAGTCATAAGGTTGGCAATAAGTACATAGGATTAAATAAGTTTAACAACTTCATAAACTCCTCTTTTCACAAGCATTCCGAAGTCTTATAGACTTTTGCAGAACATTTTTCCAACATTTTTTGTTAGTGTAGTAACTCCATTCAACAGCCTGCTCTTAGATTATGAAGTGCCATTGATGAAACCCAGATGGGGAGTGAGCTTTGCCATTTGTTGATTGAATTTGGCCACAGCAGTGTTTGCCCTTACATTTGGTAATTAGTTAGTATCTTTGATGCACTGCTATTTACTTAGGCAAAGGGAATACCAGACCTTGATTCATTTGCTGACCCGAAGAAAACTTAAGGCACCCTAATGAGTAAAGACAACTAATTTAAAGAAAATCTGCTGTAAGCAGAATGTTTAACTTTGTTTATGGAAAAGTTCTTGCGAGGCAAAAGGGAATGGAAAGTTGCTGGAAAGTATGAACAGAAAGTTTGTAATAACAATTGTTCTTTTCTCCCATATTCTCCCCCCTTTTTCCCTGTTTGCTTTCAGGCATTAAGCAGGTGTTTCTCCTTGCCCTTTTGCAAACTGAAAATCGATTAGCAGGTCTTTGAAAAGTTTTAATTGGCCATTATGATAAAGATTCCTTTCTGAATTAATAATCATCATCAGTACATAATCGCAGGCAATCTCAGGAACTCGTGTGGTCGTAAACCGTTTATTGGCCACAAGAAACTAGCAATTAATGTATTGCGACACATAATTTTATACCGCCTACTCATGCCAAATTGCGCAAACTAATTACGGCACTCAAATCATAATAATAACAATTATTAATTTGGGAAGGAATATGGAAGCGGCTCAATGGACTCGGCTTGGTCGGTGGCCAAATACAGTGACCAGCTACATGTCAATGAAATAGAAAGTGCTTTTCCTTAACGAAAGCGAAAGTGACATGGTCACCAGCTCCTCCCCCACCATTTTGTACATTTAATCCAAGTCCAAGTCATGCGCTGAATTTCGAAATACGGTTGAAATATGAATCTCGTGCATTGATTACGCGTTGTTCGCCATGAAAATTGATTTGATAGCAACTCCGGTGTTTCTCTGCCATTTTTCGGTTTTCAGTTTTCGATTGTGTGGGTTGGAGGTTTGGTCAAAAGTTTCACCATTTCATTGGCGGACAATTTGCCATTCTGGTCGCATTTCTTTTTCAAGCCAATGAAATTGGAATTGGAAAACTTTTTCATATTCCAAATTGTTGCGTAGAAACGATGGCCAAGTGCATGCCGTTAAATATAAATGAAGTGTCGTCGCTCAATGGTGATATTGTTTTTCAATTTCTCGCTTTTTTGCTCGTTTTTTCTTGGCGCCACTGCCATTTTGCATTGTTTCACGCCATCACCATCGACGACATTTTGGGCTATGAGAGAGATGTGTGTTTGCGGCAGCTTTCCAACCCACCTGCTTCAGGTCAGAATTCGGTTTTATTGGTTGGCCGGCCATCGGGAATTGATATGACCGCACACCGCTGGCCATCGATTTTCTCTCTGGGATGGACTGAAAGCCAGCAAGTAGCAAAAGAATGCAATAAATAAATTGTTCCATTTGGCTTTCTAGTTGATTTTTTACCCTGTGGCGTCAAGCAATCGGATCTCCTGAAAGTATGCTAAAAATATAAAACATTTTAAGGCCATTAAAGGAATGTGGTTGAATTTATTTTTAAAAAAATTGCAAAGATTTTGATTCATTCTTGTGATTAAACTCATAGAAAAGGGAATAAAAGACTTGAATTCATGTTTTTATTTACTTTACAGATGAGGAATTTCAGATTAAACTTTATATTGTCTGTGTATTACATTAAGAAAGTGATTCTATGCGTTTTACTTTACTTTTTCTTACTACTTACTTTAAAGGGAAAAATGTTCATAAAATGTAGTTAAATATATATATAAAAAAAACCAAAAATATATTAATCTTATTTAAAAAGTATTAAAGAGTATGTAAGATCAATTTTTCAAGAAAATTCCCTCCTTTTCCATTTTGCTTAAGGCCACATATGTCAAACCTAAAGCCTAAGAACTCCCTTCATCCAGGGTATTCCTAGAACAGCGGAGCCTTTTCCACCTTTTACTATATAAAATGTGTGCATTCCATTAAAGGGGTTTCTTTTTACCTTCTTCAGCAGACTTTCTGAATTTAACATGGCAGTTCGTTGGCAGTTTTATCAGGCACTTTGCCAAGAAGTTGCACTCATTATTCTGTGGTATTCAATTTGCTGGGATCTCCCTGGTAACAAACTTCCCTAAAAGGAAACTCTGCGCATTAGAAAAGTTTTCGGGTTGATTACCCATTTTCTTTTGGGGCTGCAACTCCCACAAAAGACCTCTACTAGGCACATAATTATTGCAGGCTTTTTTGTACTAGAAATATTCCCAGAAAGGAGCACCAAAGCCATTTCCCACTTAGTACCGTTGAAAACACCTGATGGTTGTGTTCTTTTTATGGTTTTTTGCTTTGTACACTTCTCAATAAATAAATAAATAAACAATACGCCGAGAGCCGTGCGTTTCAACTACTTAACTTAGTGCAAAATAAATAAGGTTGCATTTTGGCCGAATTTCGTTAGGGGGTTTTGGTTTCTTGTCTCTGGCTCACTTCTGACCCGCGTAGGCCAAGTCCTGGGCATCCTGCGGCTCCTGCGAGGAGCGAGCCCAGGCATGAGGATCCCAGGCGGGCGAAGGATGCTCCAAATGCTCGATGTGCTCCACGGGCAGATCCACATGGTGATCGATGTGGTGATCCAGGTGATGTGGCACAATGTGCTCGATGTGATGGGGCACCACATGCTCAATGTGATGGGGCACAACATGCTCGATGTGGTGGGGCACCACATGATCCACATGGTGGGGATAGTGCACCACCTCGTAGTTAACGATCTTGGGCTTGGCGATCTTGAAAATGACCAAAGCGCCGGACAGCACCAACGAGAGCAGACCCAAAGTCATGGCCTTCCAGGTCTTCAGGGCAATGAGTCCCAAAGCCAGAGGAACCAGCACGGTGGTCTTCAGTTTCAGACCCAAAAGGAAGGGTAGGATTGCCTTACGGATCATTCCACGTCCTGAAAACAAAAATGTAGAGCTACGTATTAGATTTCTTCATTCATTATTTGTTTCACTTTTTTGGAAATAGTAAGGAAAAAAATCTTTAAATTACAAAATACAGATTCCAAAAAAATATGTTTTTGGGAAATCCTAATCGTAAATTCTTTCAAGTATTACCTTAGATATGTTTGTGACTTTTTTAGGGTACAATCTAAACTATTAAGAAGCTGCCTAATGATATTCAAACTCTAAATCTCTACCAAAAATCATAAATTTCTCTAATTTAATAATTCTTTACGCACCTTCGTTGGCAGCTGCCAGTGGAATCACTCCGCCCTGAGTGAGGGGATTGGCCATGAGGAAATCGGGCACCAGGGAGCGGGCCTCCGAGGTGCGGAAGTACTCCGGAGCCTGGATCCTCAGGGAGTGACTGGCCAGATAGCTGTCGATGTCGTCGAACAGGCGCTCCTCCGGATTTATTGATCGGGACTCGGTCTTCTCCGCAGTACGGACGATGGACAGACGTTCGGTGATGCGCACCTCAGGCTGACGAAGGGCCGCGTTGAACCATTGCAGAGCCTTGGGACGTAACACAGGAAACACTGAGGTCCTTAAGGCAACCATGGTACATGTCCAGGGCCAGTTGGGTGGCTGTTTGCTGGGCAACTTGACCTTCGGTGGGTGCCGAGTGAGCGGCGGAGAGTGCCGCAAGGGCGACTATCAGACAGGCGGCGGTGCTCTTCATCCTTGCGGTGGTGCTTAATCCCCAATACTCTCTATCAGTGGTTCGGTGGTGCGCACGCGTTGGCCACTCAGCGGGTTATGCAAATGTCGCACTGGCATTGCTTGGTTTTTATACGGCGGTACTTTGCTAATTGAATTGCGTATGCCAGGTACGCGCGGAGCTCTGTTTCTCCTCCACCTCTTTGGGCTGCAGCTTTAGCGACCATTTCGCTTTGTTGTCAAAGTCATGGAAAGCGCAAGTTGACCACCTGAGTTTCACCTTTGTGCGCCTACAGTCCTAACTGCTTCTGGCTTCTGATTCTTTACCCATATTATAGTGTATTATTGGGTCAGCCTAACGTTTTATGGACACGCTGTTCTCTTTGGCCGGTGGAATTCATCGCGACGATTTCCCGCATAATACTAGCCATAATATGCCGCACATAATTGAAAGTTATTTGATGGCTTCTTCTGCATGGACGGCCGGGGACTCCGCTCGTAAAATCAAGTGCCCAACAATCCGAGGCGCGTGCCTGGAAACTCAAATTAGAATACGACTCTCCCAGCGCTCGTTTCTTCGCCAGTTGGCCAGGTCGGATCCATTTACCCACGGTAGCCAGTCGATTGCACCTGCTGACCACTGAAGCAGAAAAAATACATTTCGTTCCCTTTTGTGTGGAGAATAGCTTTGATTTCCTCTTTACATATTATTTTTTTCATTTTCAATTTGTATTGAAGATAGCATCAAAGATGATTCAGTTGAAATTCCTTTTATTCATTTCTTGTAATGTGCTTTTGATACGAAGATGTATGTATTTGAGATTTACTCGTTGAAAGGCTTCTTTTTTTAATTGATGTATTCGTATATTCCTGAGTGTTGAATACGAATTGAATTTATTTTAAGATTGAAAAGTAAAAGACTTCTGATAGCAATCCTTCCACCCAATTCCTTTTTCGGTGTAAACAATTCCCTTAATTTGCGCACGCCCTGAAAGCTATTCCCTGTACTTTATTAAGAGTTTCTAAGTACCCAAAAGCTCTACCTTAGGGAAATAACACTAATAAACCTTAAGAATTCTTATATTTAATACGAAATATTCTACTCTTATTTTAAAGATCCCTGAGAAATTGCGGCATCTTTGAAGTTAATATCAAAATCCCATCAACTTAAAATTATTTCTAGTATAAATCGAAAATCTAAATATAAATGTAAATTTATCTAAACATATTTTAATGAATATGCTACAGACATCTAATGCTCAAAGCATCTATTGAGACGAAAAAAGTTGGAATGAAGTTTAAAACTAAAAGGTATCTGAAAAGAAGGTTTAAATAAAAACAATCTTCATTCGTTGAGTTCTATTAAAAAACTGATTTTATTTTTAATAAGTCCCAGCTTAGGTAGCTAACATGTGAATCGACAAATTTTCTTATCTTTAGACCCACGGATTGGCACATGCCGATCGTGGGAAACAGTTCTAAGTGCGATAGAAGATATCTCGGCTACCCCGATCGCACTTTTCTTTAAACCTACTGTTACCGCTCACAGGAGGTCAGATTACATGTCAAGTGTTTTCGTCACCGCGTTGAGGGCGCTGCCAGGCCGTAGCTATTTGGTACAGATACAGATTTTATTACCTAAACATCCGCAGCCTTTACATGTCTAATAGAAACATAGTCCTGTTCGTCTGAACATTCTGCCAAGGGCGGTCAAGATTAGGCGTACATTTTAATTAGTTGCAAACAAAATTAGTGGACTGTATTTATTTAATTCGATATAATTAATCTTGCAACTTACATCTTATAACGGCCGTATTTGCCTTATATTTTTACAATCATTTTTTATCTTGTTTAATTTTTTTAACATAACATATTTCATTTATTTTGACATATAATCTTTACTAATTTTAAACATTTAGTATATTAGTAGGTATAGCTAGGGATTGTAATTGCCTTTCTTATTTTTTATTTTTCTTACAAAATATATAGTTAATATTATTAAAATAATAATTACCAACAGTATCTGATACTCGAATCAGTTTACAGTTTTTTTTCTTGATTTTTAATTGGCATGAGTACATTTTTGTGCTAATGTATTATATATCAGGGTTAACATCAAATTAACATTTAAGTAGAACAGATTTTATAAGAATAATTAAGAAATAAATATTAAATATCGTGTTGAATGGTGAGGAAGCATGGCTCAGCATTTGAGTATTACTTGAATATTCAAAAAATCTTTTTTTATTTATGACATATTTTCAAAAATGTATTAATGTAATGTAATGTTGTGGCTTACAGTTTTCCAGTATATTGATTAAGATGTTGCTAAATCGAAATAAAAACAAATTTATATAAATACAATTTTGGATACATCTGCCATATTTTCCTATCCTCAATTCTGATAATATTATACCCTAGAACGAGTTATTTATTTTTTGGCTTTATGAAAGCAATTTTATTTGTAAAGAACATACTTCTTAATTATATAAATAATTTAATATTTACATGTGTAAGGAGCCGGCTTAAGCCAAATTTCCAATTAAAAGTTGGCCCTAAATAATCGACAAAATCAAGCTCAAAAGAAAACAATAGAATAAATAAAAATAGCCATTTAAATGAAGATCCGTCTCAATGAGCATTTGTGTGTGAATTTAAAAGTGGAACTTGATAAAATCAATAGTCATATCATTGGAATTAATTAACAGCGTTTGGTGCGTGCAACTTGATTTCATTAAAAATTGTTCGAATAGCGGAAATACTTTGGTGGGCCAAAACTGAGCCCAGCCCATGGAAATTATAAGGGCTGAGCAGGGAAGTTCGTGCCGAAGTACTTGGGCTGCTTTGGCATTTAATGAGCTGCCAATTTGGCAATCGGTGTTTTGATGTCAGTGCAGTTGGCTGGGCCACGAATCTTAATGTCTTACTTACGCTTCCGCTCTTTGTTGTAATTTTCCTTGTTTTTCTTCATTTTTTATTTTGTTTTTTGTTTGGGCCATAAGGAATTTTTATGCTGGAAGAAAAGTGAAAGCCTTGCCATTTGCGTGTTAATTGCGCCTGGAATTTACATAAATATTAATTTCAGATGAGGTCGTGCTCGTCATGGAGACATCAAAGTCGTCCCCCAAACGCCCGATACACTGCCTAATAAAAGTATATTTATGCAAATAGCTTCCTTTACCATTTCGACTGTTTGCCAGCGACAATTAGACGCCATTCCTGCTGGGCCACAGCGCCTTGATTTATGCTAAGAAAATGTGTTATTATTGAACCTGCTGGTCTGAGTGAGTGATTTCCCAGCATGTGGGTTCTAAATATAAATCTGCATGCAGATTTCCCCAGATTAACAGCATTGAACCAATGGCCTGGCATATGAAATCAAAGAATAATACATATTCATGCTAAATTAGACTAAGGCCCCAGGTCAAATTGACTTGGCTTAAATTAAATTCCTTTCAATAAATAGATGGAGATTTTGAATTGGTTTATAAATTCTGAATTCTAATGACTTGTTTTATGTTAAGGAATATGTATAATTGTTATTTTTCTTTTAAAATTAAAAATTCATTTAAGTTTCTTTGAAGACAACAACGACATTTAAGCTCTTTACAGACTAAAAATACTTTTTAAAGACTAAAAAAATATCCATTAAAGAGCTAAAAATCTTTTTTCATCATTAATTTTTATAGTTTTAATTTAATATCTCTTAAATTTTCAGTTTTCCTCAACCTGTTGGTCCCAAATTAAAATGATACACACTTAACACGATTTCAATTTATTTTCCATTTTATGTGCTGGCCACAAAAACTACCTCTAATAACAATTTTTGCGTATTGACTAATTGAATTTTCCGCCGCATCCGTCTGACCGGCAATTAATAAATATTCTGATTTCATTAAATATTATTTTTAGTGAATTTATATGTGACATTCACTTGGGCGTGTGAGGGAAATTTAAAAAGTGTACTGACCGCAGTCGAAACTAGTAAATAATTTGTATGCAATGTGTAAACAAAATCAGAATAAATATTTAAGCAGCGGTTGAGTGACAAATTGGCGTTAAGTAGGCCAGTTATTAGACTACAATAAATATATAAATAAATAAATAAATAAATAAGAGTTTAACAAATAAATTATGCTTAGTCTAGATCAATTATCCTATTTACAGTTCGGTTTCTTTTTAACAAGGAAAAGTTGACTTTAAAGTTGCTCGTACTCGTTCATCGTCTCACTCTCTCGAAGATTAAGGACCTCCGGACATCACTTGGCCGGCATATTGCACTGCGGGTATAGGCTCTGGCAGTCCTTTTGATCCTGGCCATCCCGGGCTGCCTGGATTAGGCGGTAAAAACGACGCACTGCCTCATTCGCTTGCGTTACGGGCTCCAGTTCGCTGGTATCGCTGCAACAGACACAAAATGAGAAACTTTTCCAAACAACTTTTCGCGTATTTAATTAAATGGTTTTTTGTGTGTGTGCTCTTAGAGCAGATGCTCCCCTTCTTGGTTATTTTTCTGCACTTGGAAACTAAGTTCCCAATAATATTAGAAAATATCTTTCTTTATGTGAAGCTACGATAATACTAATTAATTTCCAAACTTCCTATATTTCATGCAACCCCTTATTTTCCTTTATTATATATCTGTGATTTTAAAAATTTTTCATAAATATAAAACAAACTAATTTCCAGAGTTTAGAAATTTGTTTTTCCCTAAGAAAAGTAGAATTATTCCACAGTAAAACCCATTAAAAAAACCTTTTTTATAAAGAAAGTTATTCTTGTTTTGAATTTTCCTCGAAACGAAATAAAACATTTTCCGGATGCCGTGGCAATGTTTCTTTTGAGTGTTCCCAGTTAGTTAGTCCTAGCTGCAGGCCAAAGCCGATGAATGCCTTTTTGCTGGGTGCCAGGAAGTCGGCTAATTAACTTTGCCACTTGGGCCCATCGCAGTAAAGTTTTCATGAAAGCAGGTCGAATCGCTTCTGCGTGCTTTTGGGCTTACCAGCACGCGCCTTTTGTGTGCCAGACATCCATGTTTCACCCCGAGCCACCTACATACATCCACCTCCGATCCTACAGCCAGCTGCTCAGCTATTCAGGCTCAAATTGAAGGCGTCTGGGCCAATTGATTCAGTGGGCGGGGTGTTGCTAATGGATTTCATGTGACTAGTCATTCGTGCTGGGAGTCAGTAGGTGGTGGCCGGAAAATCGCGCCACACAAGCCAAGGACAAACTGATTTCCTATGCTCTTTGGAAGCTCCAAGGAAGAATGGGTGGACGTGACCTGGTGCAAGGATATGTTGTCTGACTTTTAATGTATTTTTTATATATTTTTTCCTATCTTCCGCCTTCATCTATCAAAAGTGAATGGCGAACTAAAACAAGAACTAAATGCAGGCAAACTTCTGTAAGTTTTTCTGACCCAAGTCCAGCAACTTGTCAAGTGTTTATTTATTTAATTTTCCTTTTCAGCAAGCAGTGATATTTCTAAGAACTTTATGGTATTTATTTCAGTTTCTGGAATTCATTTAATCCGAAAATCTTTTTATTTTTAATTAGTTTGTGCTTTGTAGTCATGCGTTAACCGGCTGAGAGCTTGCATTTCAATGGTAGTTCAAGAAATAAGTCCAATTAAAATTAAACCACCAATAATGCCCTGGGCTGACAGCAAAATTGTATTCACAAGTTTGATTCTTTTCCGATTGAAATGAAAATTCCCGAAACACTGCATAATGCTTTTCAATTAATTACGATGGCACTCATTATAGGTGCGCTTGACTGGCTGGCTGGCCTGACTGCAGATGGTGGACGGTTTAAACAAACGTTGCCTTTCATTAGGCCAATTTATTTTAATTAGCTCTCAACTACGATGGCCGAAAACCTGAGCTCCTGGCCACTGTCAATGGCGTCCCGATAAGGCAATTAAGCACACTTTGGGCCACTCAATTAATGACTTGTCATAGGCACGCAGACCCATAAATCATATAACATAAGGGACGACTTGGTCTAGATGATGACTCCTCCTGGGACACGGGGCTGTCACTCATAACTTTGTCAAGGCAGTTATCTTGGGTCTAACAATTTTGCACCCATTGTTGTCAGCGTGACAAAAATAAGGAGAAAAAAAACAGCTATAGGCATGGCCCAAAAGATAATGAGCCGTAAGAAATATGATGAATACGAAATGGGAGTTTATCTGGTCTGCGACATGCCCGAGTGCCCATGGAGTGACCGATGTGGGTGGAACCACCTCGAAAGATGACGACAATGATGATGATGGCACGCGGCTTGTGGCAGGGAGTTCCACTTGGCTGCCCATGTGCAGTGTGTGCAGTTCAATTAGAAGATGCAACGCGACAGCCTCGAACTTGCGCGACAAACTGCACTCCGACAGCCCCAAGTTCCACTTTCTTTTCACGCTCTTGCCTATTAATTGAAAGGCAATGATGGGGCACCAAACTGGAGGTGGGCCATTAAATCTTTACCCGCAGCGAAAACGCATCGAACTGGGCTGGCTTGGCTTGGCTCGGCTTTGGCAAAATGAATTTAAGTTTTGACTGCCTGACATCACAATTTGCAATGCCTGGGGAGCAATTAGAGCACAGAATGACACATTTTATGGCAAATGACAAGTCTGAGTTCACGGCCCGCAGTCATAAAGCCAGTCCCATGTAGTTATGTCGAAAAAGGTGGAATCTAGAGATTTGGAAAACTGACGACAGACAAATTATTAGCTTGCACTATAATGACTATGGAAAAGAAAACTTTATCGTGTATAGAAATTGACAAATTTTATCACAGAAAGATTATAATCTGACGTACCCCTTTAATTTCAATTTATTACAGATGAAAAGTTTAAAGGCTTTAGCATTTTTCATTTCGAGGTAAATTAATGAAACAAACCGAATTCTCAGATTTAAAAAAACCACTAAACTTTCAAGAGAAAACAGATTAAAGTTCTTCAAATCAAATTTATATGCTGCCGATTAAACTGTGTAGGAGAAACTAAAGTCTCTTAACTCCCATTAAATAGTCTCGTGTGGCTTTTTCAGTTTCTGACTTACCGACTAAGCTCCGCGGATATGAAATTGCTGTGCGGACTGTAGGTGGCCGGATCCTTGTACATGCTGCACACGATGCGCTCCTTGCACAGGTCATTCTTCACGCCCAGCTGCTCGACGATTTTGTCAATTTTCAGCAGAATGGGACTGTAGAACGGATCATAGTTGAGCGGATACAGGGGCTGAAATCGCACAAAAAGAGCCCAAGTTATTCATCATGAAAGCAGATTAGTGCGGCGGATGTGGCCAATTGCAAACCTGTCCATCCTGCACGAACGGCTGGTGCTCGAGTATCTTCTGCTGCTGCTGGATGAGGCGCTGCTCGGCCTGAATGCGGATGGCCTCCTTCAGCTGGGCGGCCAGTTCGGGCTGGTGGTCAATATAGAGGGAGTTTGTCAGTTATGCAGTCGAAAAATCGATTCTTTTGACCATTTATTAAGTTTGCAATTTGATTGGAAAACAAGCTTAAAGGTATTTATGTATTAAAAGGAATTTAAGCCAAACGGAATAACAAATACTAAAGTTATTTAAATCGAAGACTAAGGGGCTTGATGAACCGGTTTTAAATATAAAGTATATCCTTGTCTGAGCTACACATTGCTGGTTTATATTAATAGATTGATATAAAATATAAACGAATTAAAATAGTTTATAAGTTTAACCAAAAATATTTTTGATTCGTAGACATCTTCTCAGGTTTGAAAATATTTATGAAGAGGAGAGAGTGTACGTCATCTCATGTTCTGTAGACGTTTCTTTTTATTTTAATATTGTTTATTCAAAATAAAATAAAATTAAAGGATTATTTTATATTCATCAGCCAAATTCAAACACTTCCCTGCCATCAAATATTTGCCCATTTCGGACAAAAATAGCTCAATGAGTTGGAAATGCCAAAAGCAAATTCTAGTATAATAATAGAAATTCGGTTATTCTTCCTTGGAAATTAATTTACAATATTCAAAATTGTGGACGTTAAATGTAAGTGACACATAAAATAAACCTGGCTGCAGGAAGTTACAGAGAATATACCACATTGTGTGTGAAAAGGGCGAACTGCTGACCTTCTGCTGCGGACAGGTCATCCGACTAAGCCCCCTGGCACACTTTCTCGACAGGCCGGCAGTTGCCATCATATTTGGACATTGGCTTTGGGAAGGCGTGCTCATTTAATTAAGGTGAACAGCGGGATGTTTTGCAAGCCTATGGACTCTGCAGACTGCAGGCAGCCCGGGCAGTGCAAAGTGCATTTTAATTATGGCTTAGTTGACAAGCCAAGTGCCCGAAAGCCCGGCCCACATGTGACCGGCATTTCTGCTCACTTGAAAGTGAAAACTGTCATTGAAAGTCAGTCAGTCAGTCAGTTAGTTGGTTGCTTGGTTTGCCTGGTTTTTGGTCTGAGTAAACTGTTTGCCAAGCCATTCACCTTGCAAGGGCCTGCACTTCGAATGGTGTCGTCGGGCAAAAAGAGAAAAGAACGCACCTGCCGTGCCGGACAAGACAAGACAATTTGCATCATAGGAAAACAATTTGCACTTTTGAGGAAAGTGTCAATAAATGCACTGCCAGACTGTTGTTTGCAAGTGAAACTGCAGCAGGGTGATTGATTGTGTTTTTTTCCAGCTGTGCAAATGTGCAATCTGCAAATGGTGGGATGTGATCAGGGGGGAGGAACTGGATGCTGGGAAATGGGCTGGCTGGAAAAGCCACAGACAGCAATCAATATTAAATTCTTTATTCTTGATTTCTGAGGGGAACCTATTTAATCGAATTATTTCTTTTAACATTTGTTTACCTTTTAATAATTATTTAATTTAAATATATTTCCATATTCAATAATGCGAAATGAAATGCTTCTTTAAAAGTTTCCGTGGGCTGTATACTATATGTTAATATTATTATTGGGTACACTCAACCTATTTCAAGGGGGATATTTTATTTTTTTGAACCATTTCTAGCCCCATTTAGCTTCGCTCTAACATATTTTTGTCAGTGTGCTACCCGGAAAATCATCGTCGCACACGCTTTTTTAAACAGAAAATGGGGCAACTTGTGCTACCCATAACCACACGTGGTATATATCTGATTACACGGACACCCTTTTCTATGTACATAGCTGCGATTACAATAAATGCACATTCGCATATTCCGTTTGGCTGCTGGAAATGTATACTTAATGGGATGTAATGTGATATTACGCACCGAAAGTTGTGGCTGCTCCTGCAGAGCCTGATTTTGCTGCTGCTGCTGGTGCTGCTGTTGATTATTGCGCGCTGGATCATACTGTGCGGCAATTTGTGCCGCAGCCGTGAGTACGGGCCCGCTTTGAGGTGGATGCTGGCCCGGAACGAAGACCGGATGGTGCTGCGTATGTGCCGGCCTTGAGCTGGAAAGAGCAGGAAAATTAGATGCCGAAAGCAGTGGATGGGCGGGTCGGTCAAGTTCGGTTGCCACAATAGTTCCATTGGAGCGGTGAATCAAATTCCCTTTTCGCTGCTCTTTTTAATTGGCAGCAATTACCACCCAACAGCGAGTGTTGTTTGGCTTTCATTAAAGAATTTTAATTACATTTGGTTAAGCAAGAAGGACATATGGATGGATGGAGTGGTGGGAAAACAAGCAGATAGCGGTTACATTCAGTGGATGGAAATTTCCACTTCCAATGCATCGATGATTATAAGTCACGAGGTACCAGAAAATCATGGGTATAAAGCAAGAACCATGCAAAAAGGTTTCTTTAAAGAAGCTAAGTCCTAAATATGTCTCATTCACTAAATTCGTAAGCTATGTTTAAAGTCTAATAGTGTGTTTCCCTTTAATACCACTAAAAAGGCGGGAATAATTTTTCCTTTTAAAGTGCAGACGTTGGAAATAAGCTTTTTAAAATAAAGTCACCAGAACATAAAAGGAGTAGCTTTCGGGATTGTAGGAGTTAGTAGCTTATATTATGCCCTAATATATGGCTGTGCGGTTGTGTTTTTTTTTGAGGTGGCTGTGCAAGTGAGTTTCCATGTGCGTAGGTGTACTTGTTTGTTGGTTTTCGGGCGCCCTTAAGTGGCATGTACCTTTGTTTGTCCTGAGTTTGAAATGGGTTTAAACTGTGACTAGAGGCTTGTACTTTCTGAGCACTTAATTGCTGTTGCAGCTGAAGCTTAAGCTGGTGTTGCTGTTGCTGTTGCTGCTGCGACTGCTGTTTGAGCTGGGTGGGTGGCCTCGCCTGCTGGGTGACAGGCCAGCGTTGATGTTGCTGGTGTGTCTGATGTTGCTGGTGCGGCTGTGCCTGTGTCTGATGTTGCTGTTGTGCCTGTGTGGTGCCCAGGCCCCAAGCATGCAGGACCCCGGCATCATTCGCCGGATGGGGCTTAAAGTAATGCGCATTCTCCTCTATTTGTGCAGCGCGATTTATATCGCCTATGTATCTATGGTAAGGTGAAGCAAGTCGTTTGTTGTGTGTGTGTGTGTGTGTGTGTGGTGTGAGTGTGGTTTAGAGACAAGACAGATACACAGACAGTTACAGATGCAGATACGGAAAGCGTGATGTGATTGTATCTAGAGAGGAAGGACTTACTCTGAACCCAATCCCGGTCCACTGTTCTCCCAGGCTCCCTCAAAGTGCTCGAATCCGGGTCCATAGCTCTCGTGCACTGGTGCTCCATGGAGATAGGCGGACGGATGACCCTTCGGCGGGTGGGTGTAGATGATCTCGGGAACCGAGTGGTGCTCTCCGCTGTGCCATGGGGGAACAACCTAAGGATCAGGAAGGATAGTTTATTACTTTAATCTGCATTATTCTTTGGGATATACAAGGTTTCTCCTTTTCTAATGCTATAGTCAGACCTTAAACCAATAGCAGATACATTACACTAAATTCTATTTATAGAATAAACATATTTTATATTAAAATACAACATATTGAAGCAGTCGAGTATACAAGACGTCGGCTTGACATTTAATAAACTCAACGACCAAACTTTATTCACTGCTCTGGAGGGCTTCTCTTTCGAGTGCCCTTACCGCGACATCTTGTTGGCTATTTATAGTCTATGTTTGAATCGACCGAATAATACGCATTATACTGTTCGACTTTGCCTGCTGGCTGGGCTGGGGCTCAAGCTCAGTATCTCAGTTCAATGACTGCCAAAAAAAGCCGTAAATAAGGAATAAAATGCGGAGATATGCGACTGTGTCATCGCCTGTGACAGTTCGACTTCGAGTTCAAGCTCAGCCAATTATTTGGGCTTTTTATTGTGCACCAAATTCGAATCATATTTCATGCTGTACGGCCCAAAAAGTTTTCCTAGTAAAGAGGTGATACACGCTCACGAACAGACGACATGTTAAGTGGGTGTTCCATGCTCCTCATGTTTGGGAAGTCTTTCACTCGGAGACTTAATTTAATTTACACCGAGTTCGAAAGCGGACAGGGATGGCGAGGATGCTTTACTTGACTACAAATTGTCTACAAAATATGCACATATCATTGGCCACCCGGGTGAAAATTAACACTTGGCATTTATATAAACTACTCTACTGCTATCGATAGTGCGTTTTTCATTGCCATTGCAAAGCTTTCCTCTTTCAACACTTCAAATATTCATATATTCCATTGGCGACGAGTTAAGCTGCAAGTGTTCCCCACTGATTCCTGCTTTCTCCAGTTGACATAGTTGGCCTAAACGCCAATAAACGATAAGTTTAAAGGATTATAATTGCTGAAGTGCTCGTTTCTATTGAGTGAATTACCCGGAAAAACCTACTTGAGTAGAGATTGTCGAATGCAAATATGAGAACCCGGATTATTCCAGCACTTGAGGCCCTGGTCTCGGTTCTATGGCATTCCTGGCGACAATTTCGATTGGGAACATAAACATCTCATAAATATGAGTATCTACGCGTGTGCACTCCTTTGTGCCGAATTGGGTGGCGACAGCAACAGCCATTCTAGCCATCTTTAATCCCCGTCAACGGTCTCAATTGAAAGACGGGAATTCATTTGACGATATGTCAAGCTGGGTGCTGTCTGTGTCAGCATGAACTCATTTTGAGGGCACGTGCTATGCCAACTTGAAGTCGGAAATTTTCAATGGAAAATACTTTTCAACTGCCGCCTAAGAGCGCGTCTCTAGAGTTTTCTAATTGAATTTCCGGGAGCGCGGGCCCACACTGGAACAAAAGAGACTTCCAACCGGCAGACTTATAGATAAAACTGAATCACATCGGGATTGCTAATGAAATTTCTCTAAAAATAAGCCCAAAAAAGTGAATAATATAATCGGCCTAACCCAAACCAGTTATGGAAGAAATTTCTTTCAACTGAAGGTCACATTTCAGTGACTTCACACACCTTGACTTTACATGCTTTTAAAAAATTCATTATCAATAGTTTGAAGATAAAGGAAAACTAATTTGGACTTGAGAAAGCAGCGAATCATATCGTATCAACTATTGAATTTGATTTGTTAACATTTTTAGAATGAATTTATAACGAACATAACTTTTCCGCTTCGATTTACTACAGTTGATTCTCTACTATATTTATCTACTTAAAAAATAACCATACTCAATATTAAGCTAACATAATATACACTCTGTACTCTTTAGATAATTCCATTCTAATCATATTTCGACAAATATTCCAAGTGAGTGAAATACGATATTTATCTTTGTGCTTATCGATTAACTTTCTAGATATCTCCGTGGATAAGCGGAATTTGTGCAACATCATTTGCCATCTGCGCTTACCGTGTGATGATGATCGATGAGGTGGTGGTGATGGTGATACTTGGCGGGTGCGTGATAAGATTGCTGGTAGTGTGAGCAGAGCTTGAAGAGATGCGAGAGCGCCGGGAACAGGAAGAGCAGGAACTTCAGCAGCAGTTTCTTGGCCGCTCCGACTCCGATGACGATTGGCAGCAGCCAGAACAACTTGATCTTGATGATCTTGATGATGAGCAGCAATGCGAGGAATGACAGCACCAGTTTGCTGCGTAGAAATTTTTCTGGACAAACGAAAGTAGCAATCGAATCAGACTTTTGGATGCAGTTGCTGGCGTGGATTGGCCAGAGAGTGAAAGCGGTTTCGAATGCAGAATCGCATCTGCATCTGCGTGATGGGGAAACAAATTGCGAATATTACTTACGTATCTTCTTCTGGATTATCGCTCCAGCCAGTCGGGCCTTGACTACCTGTTTGGGAATAAGCTCCAACTTGGCAATAATTCCGTTGCCTTCGATGGCCCGCGGCGAGATGCGAAATGTGGCTCCATTAAACATAACCTCTGGCAGATCCACCTCCAGATCGTGGGTCATGGCGAATTTAATGCTCTTGCCATATAGAGCGCTGGTAACTTCCTCGATCGGTGTTTCCGCACTGGCTGCTTGGGAATTGGAGAATCGGAGAATTGCAGAATTAGAGAATTAGAGAGAGAGAAACACTTATGAGTGACGCTTTTAGGTTAATGAAAGTTTTGCAGAAAGCGATTTCCTTACTCAGGATGCTAGATATTCTTGCGCAACTGGGAGTGAGTATTCAGTTTCTCAAGTTAGCTTTAAGTAAGAGTAGGAGAAAAGTCTGGGAAAACATTTTTGATGTTACCTTATACATTTTCACAGTCTTTAAAATGAGAAAAAGGCATCTGCAGTGCTTTGGGAACTTCAAAATTTTCTGTGTAATTGCAGGTTTAATCTTGCTTGATAGCCGGATGTATTATAATTTTATTATTCTCATACAGGAAAATCAATAAAAACTGAAATTTATATGTCTGTCATTCTGTCCCAATTAAATAATATAAAATGTAGCAAAAAAAATAAAAACAGTAAATGCAAAAATGCCTTGCATTGGGGCTTGTTTGAGTGAATACTTTCTTTTTACCGAATTTTAAGAGTATTTTAGGATAGGAAAATTAAAAGCTAGTTCATGATCCGACTCTGCTCAAAGAGCCTTGTCCTTAAGTAACTCAAATTGGAGAGAAACATTTTCCATTACTATTTTTACTAAAGGTCTTCGGCTTCACCAACTGCATTGCAACTTTCGCTTACTATAGGTGACCTAAAATGTATAATATTTGTATAATCTATATAATTTTCTAAACACCGTAATAGATAACAATCACTATGCAAATTCTTAATAACTGCCAGTCGCTTGCATAATTCTTGACCGACTCGATGGCTGTTAATTGGCGATTGTTACAGTGTTGGCCATGCTAAAAGCCAATGAAAACATCTGATGGTAGCCTGGTAAAGAGCCGCATAATTGAGCGCAGTCAAAGCGCCGTGACTCACATAAACGAGAGATCGTTGCCGCAGCGGATATTTTACTGCTCTCTGGCGCAGCTAAAATACGTAAAAAATCAAATCAAAACGCGGCAAGTGAAAGTTTCTGGAAGTGGCAGCGGCATTTTTTGTGGACGTGCTCGGTTATAGGTAAACAAAACGAAGAAAAGAATCGATGTGAAAACTGATCGCACACACAAACTGCTGTTAGCTAAAGGCTAAATTGCGGGAAAAGATGTTATTTAAAGCCAAGAATTGGTTAGCTAACAACCAATTGGGCTAAAAAAATAAATAAGTCCTTTGGAATATAATACTTAGAGAGTTAAACTCTTAAAATTTCCAATATAACTTTTGATTAATTTAATTCACATTAAATTACTGTTTAAATTTCTTATTTCCCAAAGTAAAAAAAACTTCTAAGAAAATCCCAATTATATCTAACATTTGACCCTAGCAACATTTTCTTATTAATTTTATTAAAAATCTCTCCAAAATTTGGAAAATTCCTTATCAGAAAATCCCCACTTACCGGCACGTGCCTCCGAGTGCTCCTCCTTCTCCTTCTCCACTTGGTAGTCCACTTGGTTCTTGAAGAACTTGAGCCTTTGTGTAACATTGACATCCTGCACATCTAGAGCACCATCCAGGTAGCTGAAGACGTTCTTCTGGAAACAGGAAACGTCTGGCTTGAGATAGCAATCGCGGACAAGGCCATCCCAGAGCTCGTTGCCACTGGTAAATCGTCGGGCCAGGCGAAGGAGCAGAGAATCGCCAGCGTACACTTTATCCGCCTGCTTCCTGGCCGGAATCTCTGTGGCATTCACCACTGGCTGCCACTCATCTTCCGGCGGCAGTTCCGTCGTTATCAACTCAGCTGATGATTCCGTTGGCGTCTCGGTCTCCGTCTCGTGCTCCTCGACAGTCTGCGTCTCAATTTCGAGGTTGCTCAAAGGAGTGGTGGAGAGATGACGTCCAAGGCGACCATTCCGAGCCGTTCCATCCGCTACGGCGGCCCAGTTTATTAGGCAGATCAAGAGGAGGAAAATCATGTGACCACTCTTTGATCTGTCCATGCTCATTGGGTGGCAGTGGCGGCGACTTGGAGTGCGATTGCAGGTGCGATTTCTACTGGAGGATGTGCACTGTCGCTGGCTCTCACCAGAGCTCCAATTATGGGGTAAATCACTGTGTGTGTTGGGCATTTTCAGTTTCGTTTTCGGTTTCACTCGGCCAAATAGACAGCTAGCCAGTTAGCACTGCCGACAGCCAGTTAACACCTTCAACCTGCAATTGCAGTTGCAACGGCAAAAGCAAAGGTAATAGCACCTTGGCCCTGCAATTTAACTGTAGCCGAACTGTTTATTTAGCTGATTTCGCTGGGAGTACGTGTCCGGGAACTCCGGCCTTTGGCGGACACAATGGCCGGGTTTTGTTGGCGAAATCGTTAGCCAATTGACAAATCAATTTATGAGGCACTTGGCTTAGCACGCAAACACAATTCCATTGATTGTCGGTCGATTTTTTGTGGCAGCTAAATTCTTTTTATTGGTTTTAATGTACTTTCTTCGGTGCGTTTGTTTTCGACTTGGGTTTGTTTGGAATTTCGCTGCCGCATTTAGCGCGTTTTCTATTTGCTCTAGTCGGTTATCTAGCTACCTGGCAGCAATTACTTCATCGCGTCACACCTACGGCCTAACGGTTTCGTATCTGTAAGGCAGTAAGTAACTTGTATCTTGTGGATATGCAAATCACCTGTTCGCGCGTTTCGCGTGCGCATGCGTGCGCGTCTGGTTAACAACTGAGCGTGCTGTGGCCCAAACAGTTGGCCAAGATCATGGCCAGGCTTAAAGCAGACCGGTCGCTCTCTTGCTTTGCTTCTCTCCTCAGAGCTTCGTTCAGTTGTTGTCGTTGACTTTTTGCACTGCACTATCTGTTGAATATTGTATCTTGTATTTGGTATCTGGTATCTTCTGCATTCACACGTCGCTCTTCCGAGATTCTTCCGCCGCGCAAAACCTTAACTGTAGTTTTCTTCTGCGGCTGAAAGTTGTTTGGTCTACGCTCACTCCCCTATGTTTGTTTATACATTTTCCAGTTAGCTTGAGATTGTTTCGAGTGCAGTTTGTCTGCTGGCTTGACGTTAATTTTCCTTGTAGTTTTTGCGCCGCTCTTCCTTAGTCGGCGCTTTTCACGGCCATTTGGTGTCCAATGAACGGGTTTTCCTACAACGACAAAGTATACGTATATGAAGCGATTTTTATTATGTTTTTATGGCGCCAATATGGTTACTACTCACAGTTTGGCTTTTCCGTCAACTTAAATTCAAAATAAAAAGAGAAAATGGGTCAAGAGTAGAGCGACTGACTTGGAATTTCGTTTTTGATATAAACAAAATACAGTTATTAATATCAGTTTTTGTATTTAAATAAAAAGTAACAACTATTAACCCGCCAATTAGATAAATACATCTAAAAGTAATTAGACTCTTAGCAAGTTTCGCTTCTAAAGTTTTAATATTGTGTTTTTCTTTTTGATTAATTTGTATAATATTGTATTAAACTAATCAATTTAACTAAATTTAACAATAGTTTAGTAGATGATATAAAGCAATAATAAAAAACTGCATCAAAGACAATAACATAATCAAGTAAAATATTCTTAAATTTACATAGTTGTAGATATAGATAGGCAGAGTGAAAATGGGTCACCAATTCACCTATATTTGTGCACCCAAAAATCTACATTCGAAAAAGTAATAACTGTCACAGTTTACCTTTTTAGTCACATCGATTGAATTGAGAACGGAATCGAAAGGCACTTCTCTGGGACAAAAGAAAGCAATCAAGTTGTCAAATAAATCGCCATTACTTGAGCCACTTCCGATGAGCAACAAAAGATGTTTGGCGACACAGATATGACATATGTACGAGTATGTTATCCACCTTTTGTTGTCCATGGGCCATTGAAGGTGCTTCAGTATTCCATTTATGATCAAGATATCCATCTCAATACTTGCTCTTTGACATTATTATTGATTCTTTATTTAGGCTCTGAATCTGATTGGCACAAGTCTGAGACCTTTGTGGCCTTCTAATTAGCTGGAAATAGTCTCTGATTTGGGCCCAGACATAAGAGGCATTCCACAAACTGTTCCAGCCGTTTGTAATCACGTTTCCAATGCAATCAATTAGACCGCATTACGCGCACAGCTGCATACTAGAGTACTGCTTACGATTATTATTTTTAACGAGCTGCGACTTAGTAGCTCTCCGTAGTCGGTTCGTACGCGTAATGTGCATAAACGACATATGTTTCATGTAATGCTCGGCGTTGTTACGGCTTTTCATATTAAAGGCATTCTATTAAAGTGCCATGGCGGCTTATGTCATGCCAAAAGAAATAGCCATAAAGCTGCGAGTACACAATTGCTATAAAAATAATGGCCAGCTAAATCAAGTTTAGGGAGTCACCAAAAGCAGCAGAACTCGCTCCCCACCAAAAACTCATATGATGTAAGTTCTTCGCGGGTTCAAGCTAAGTCGAAGACCCAGCTCCAACCGTTAGGTGGCTTTATAGGTTAGCGACTAAGAAACATGGAGTTTGGACTTTAAACGAGGGTAAACAAAGAATTTAAACTAGTACTTATTTATTTAAAATTTGATTTCTTGCCTTTTAGCTGTTGATATCATCAAAAGTAAAATGAATTTGCTGTTTACTCAACTGCTCTTGAAGATTATTTTCGGACTTATGCAAGACCCGAGATAAATTTATTTTCGGCTGCTGTTCTGTTGTTGGCTTTCACTCGAATGCTTTCTGCTCTTTTTAATAATGATTCAATTACATCTATCTTAATGACACTTGAAAATGGCCAGCTCTCTGCCGGCTGGCAGATTACGTTTTCGGAAGGTAACAAGCTTTCCCTGCCCGTTGTTTTTGCGGCTGTCAGTCGCAGCATTTCCATGAGATTTTATTGCATTTTTATGTGACAATTTCTCGGGCCAGACACACGCATCCGAACATCGCGAACTCTCGACTCTGCGAGCGGTTATGTAAAGCTTTAAGTATCTGCATTTCATTAAATTGTATCAATGTTCGGGACAGACTTTCGGTTTCAGACGAACGCCTAGTGAATGTATCTAATAGATTACTAATTTCACTTTATGCGTGCCTGTAAGTTAGTTTGAACAGAGTCTGGTGTGATTTGTGTTAGCGTGCAAATATTTTAAAGAGTTTTTTAACTCTGACTACATTTCTTCGTTTGCGTTTCAGAGAAATCCATAGCAAACTCACTTTCGTTGCGGTTAACCAACTTGACTCACTAATGGCTTATTAAGTCCAAATAGATCGGATTCAACGTACTTTTTATGATCCATCTGCGGGGAGCTCGGCAAATTGAATGTAATTATTGGCAGAGCCACAATAAAAAATCAAATAAAAATAACTCGAGCTCGGAATAAAAACCATTCTGCCACCGCATATATTGCTGCGGTTTATCGCCTGCAAATTTTGCTGAAAGGTTTCAATTTCAATTAAATGTGATTACTGGAAGTGAACCACAATTCGGGCCTGGCCCCAACCATTTGTTTACTTTCTTCGGAAATGCTCTTAATGTTTGTATATCATTGTAAATACCCTATGCCTTTGGCTTGTACCGAGAACTTACAACCGCTAAGCACGCAAGCAAAAGCACTAATTGGGATTCTAATGTGTATTAGAGCGCGTTGAGATTCCCATCTGGCATGCGCTAATAACTCAAGGTGGGCGGGGAAGGTCTTTAAGCAACTTAAGAACTTCACGAAGGCAGCTGGCAGAGTCATGAAACCACAGGAAATTTCACTTTTACCCACTGGGTTAAATGCACATGGACATGCATCGCATTTCCCCGGCAAACAGGTTTCCGTTTTTCGGTTGATAAGTGCAACCGGCTTGCCAGCTGTTGGCTTTTGTTTTGTTGGTCAGTCAGTTAGTCAGGCGACTTGATCTGGGTCAAATATTTGCATTCCAGTTCGAACGGACTGGGAATATTTTGCTTCCCACTTTTTAGCTACTCACTTGGAAAGAGGGTACACCAGCAATTAGCACGAACTGTCACTTCTTCCAACACTTGCCATCACCATTGACTCATAATCTTAGGCGCGATGCGTTGTTATTGTTTGTCATGGCGTGACGTCTAATTAGCAAGATATTTTGTTATTCGTCCACTGGTCACTTTCGCTCTCGGTTTTCACAAGAAGAAATTTGCTAGATTGATTCCAGAATCCGCCGTGTCTTTCACTTTTTACAGTTGCCACTAAAAACAACCCGAGAGGCGCGATAAACGTGGACGACCGGCGAGCGTGGATAACCAACTGAACGGAGGTGCAGCCGCACAAAAGATGCGGCCAACTTTGGGTGTTGGTAGGTGAGTTTAATCGTACAGACACAGATACATATAAAGATACATACAGAGTACAAATACTTCAAAACAGAGGGAGAGAGATGGAGAGAAAGTAAGCACTTCAGACCGCCTGAAAGTATGCGACAATTTTGCCATCTTTGGCCAGAAATGAAATTTTACCAATTTCAGTTTATGTTAAGCAACGTGGTGGAATGGAATATTTATGATAAAGGAAATTAAATATTATATAAAAATACTTTAAACGCGTTGAGGGATATATATTAAGGAAAGATATATGTATAAATTACAAAACTTAAACGTATATTTCTAAATTTACTTTTATTTGAATCAAAATCAGAAATGCAATTTATATGCTAAAAAGTTTGTAATGTTCGCAAAACATTTGATTAAGATTCAAAGATTTTTTTTTACTTATTACTTTTTAGCAACTAAAGTTTCAATAAAAGTGTCATTTAACTTCTTCACATAATTCATCTTTGCTATATTCCCAGAATAGATTCAAGCCCCTCTGCTGCTTTCATTTAATCAATTAGCCTGAAACTTCAGTTGGCTCATTGCTGTCAATGGTTTCCATGGGTGTTACTTCACTGTCGCTCTGGTTACTGCTGCTCAGTTGTAATCTTGTGGGCTGAGTTGGGTTTGAAACTGGAGCTTTAGTTGTTGTTGTAGTTGTAGTAGTTGTCGCTGTCTTACGTAATTTGCCCCTCCACTTTTTTTGGCCATCTAGGTTGGCCGGCCTTAACCGATTCTTGATTATCTTCTGCCATTCAGATCCGGCGTCTTGGAAAGAGCTTTCAAGTAGATTTTCAGTCAGCATATTGTTGAACCCCATAGAAATTTGGTCCTCAACTTGTTCCTTGGATGCCGTGCTCATCAGATGCATCTGCTGGTTCAGCATAAAAGGAATAGGGTACGGGATATAGACTGGAATGGGATAGAAAACAGGTTGAGCAACCAGTGTATCCAATTTTCCATGGCCAATGATTGGGGAAGTCTCCCACATTCCTGGCATTAGCAATAAGTCCTGCACTGGGTATTTCTGTTTCTGGCCATGATTAAAACCTGGTTTTTGCTTCTGGGGAGGTCGGGTTTTTTTAGGTGGCTTTTCTGTGGAAGCATCCACTGCCTCTATTACTGGTGAAAGAGTGTTTGCAGCTTCTGGCATTAGAGTGGTCTCAGGTTCCTGTTCTGATTTTATCGACGTCCCAAACGTTGGCTTTGCAAAGGGATTTGAGAGCATAATAAGTGGAGTTTTCGAATCATCTCCGCTTGCTTTCAGCAGAGCTAACGGCTGCTCGCTTTGCAATTGGCCAAAAGTTTGCCTCGTTAGGCATGAGGCTAGGAAGGCAACTACAAAGGAGGACAAAGTGTTAAACAAATATTAAGACATAGTTTTTTTTCTACTTACCACAATAAAGTATCTTCATGGCGCCGTCAACTGAACTAAACTTCTTAAGATAAATTTCTGCCTTTTATGCCTTTTGCTTGAATCGGAAAGTAGGTTTCTGGCTAATCAATTCTTCATAAGTTTGCTAATTGACAAAAATAGTTTTTAGAACATACATTCAATATAAGAGTATGATGTTAGATTTCTAAAAATCTGGTTTATTGAAGAATATACCCGTAAATGAGGTCAAACTTTTAACATTAAACTCTTATTTTATTTTTAATTTGTCAAAAAATCTGTAACATTTAAAATTTACATTTGGACAAATAACTGGGTTGAGGTAGAATTTATATTAAAGATGAATTAATTAAAGGTTGAATAGAAAATTTCTTTATGTTTGGCTCTTCGATGATTTTCGGCGAAATATATTAAAAAACTTATAAAGACCGAGCTGGGGAGGCTTTTTATAATCTATAAATGAAGAATTTTTCATCAGATTTTCGGGCTTCATATTATTTAATTTGGTACAGTTTTGATCCCCTATCATGTATGATGAACTATTAAAATGTTGTCTTCCAACGTTTTGTAACAAGGAAAAAGGAAAAGTAATGTTAAATGGCAAGGAGAATAATGGTGGAGATGGATTTGAAGGAATCGCACTTTCCCACATTGCCGGCAATGAAAGAAGTTGAGATTGTAAATAATTTTGCAATCCATAAGAAATATTCTGTTTTATGGGTGGTTCAGTTTGATGTGTTCCATCCATTTCACGTGAATTTGTTTCTTCATCTGTCCGAAAATATTTAAATTCGATTTCATTATCCAAACGATTTTTTGGCCATATTTGGCCTGCACTCAGCACATCTTTTCTTGGGCTTGAATGTGTTTGAACAAAAGTGCTTCCTGATAGGCAAATCCAGCACAGAAAGTTTGCTGGTTGAGGTTTAAAATAGTTTATCTAAAAACTTTAACAAAAAAATTATTTAAACTTACAATAATTTATTAATTTCATGGCTAAACTTTTTATATTGCAATATTAGATAGAATTGGAAAGTTTTTATTGGTATAACCAATATATCGCTAATAAAAAATAGGGAAAGTTTTTAGGTGCCTTTTATAAATCTCTTTGCTCGCATCGAGACCACTGCAAGAGCTTTATATAGTACCCTGATTTAAATTTTGAAGAAGTATATTTTATTAAATTATATAAGTAAATAAACTTATTTGCAAATCTTTCTTTCAAACGCAGTCTTATCAAATTTTTCAGGTGTTTCAAAACATTTTATTAAAGCAAAGGCTACAACTCAATAGACCCTTATTTTGTTTTTAACGTGGCTGACGGCGGAATCGCAGTGGAAGTTGTCATAGCCTCTGTCGTCGTGGTTGCTGTGGGTGGAATTGCAGTGGAAGTTGTCGTAGCTTCTGTTGTCGTGGTGGTTGTTGGAGGAATTGCGGTGGATGTTGTTGTGGCTTCTGTTGTAGTGGTTGTGGATGGCGGAATAGCAGTGGAAGTTGTAGTGGCTGCTGTTGAAGTGGTTGTTGTTGGCGGAATGGCAGTGGAAGTTGTAGTCGCCTCTGTTGTAGTGGTTGTTGTGGGCTGAATTGTAGTCGAAGTTGTCGTAGCTTCTGTTGTCGTGGTGGTTGTTGGAGGAATTGCGGTGGATGTTGTTGTGGCTTCTGTTGTAGTGGTTGTGGATGGCGGAATAACAGTGGAAGTTGTAGTGGCTGCTGTTGAAGGGGTTGTTGTTGGCGGAATAGCAGTGGAAGTTGTAGTCGCCTCTGTTGTAGTGGTTGTTGTGGGCGGGAATTGCAGTCGATTGTTGTGGCTTCTGTTGTAGTGGTTGTGGTTGGCGGAATTGCGGTGGATGTTGTTGTGGCTTCTGTTGTAGTGGTTGTAGTGGGCGGAATAGCAGTGGAAGTTGTAGTGGCCTCTGTTGTAGTGGTTGTTGTGGGCGGAATTGCAGTTGTTTTGGCGAATAGCAGTGAAGTTGCGTGGCCTCGTTGTGTGGTTGTTGTGGCGGGATTGCGTCGAAGTTGTCGTTGCTTCCGTTGTAGTGGTTGTTGTTGGCGGAATTGCGGTGGATGTTGTTGTGGCTTCTGTTGTAGTGGTTGTAGTGGGCCACATAGCAGTGGAAGTTGTAGTGACCTCTGTTGTAGTGGTTGTTGTGGGCGGAATTGCAGTCGAAGTTGTTGTAGCTTCCGTTGTAGTGGTTGTTGTTGGCGGAATTGCGGTGGATGTTGTTGTAGCTTCTGTTGTAGTGGTTTTTGTTGGCGGAATTGCGGTGGATGTTGTTGTGGCTTCCGTTGTAGTGGTTGTTGTTGGCGGAATAGCAGTGGATGTTGTTGTGGCTTCTGTTGTAGTGGTTGTTGTTGGTGGAATTGCGGTGGATGTTGTTGTGGCTTCTGTTGTAGTGGTTGTAGTTGGCGGAATAGCAGTGGAAGTTGTAGTGGCCTCTGTTGTAGTGGTTGTTGTGGGCGGATTGCAGTCGAAGTTGTTGTACCTTCCGTTGTAGTGGTTGTTGTTGGCGGAATTGCGGTGGATGTTGTTGTGGCTTCTGTTGTAGTGGTTGTTGTTGGCGGAATAGCAGTGGAAGTTGTAGTGGCCTCTGTTGTAGTGGTTGTTGTGGGCGGAATAGTAGTGGAAGTTGTAGTGGCCTACTGTTGTAGTGGTTGTTGTGGGCGGAATTGCAGTGGAAGTTGTTGTAGCCTTCTGTTGTAGTGGTTGTTGTTGGCGGAATTGCAGTGGATGTTGTTGTACTTGTTGAAGTGGTTGTTGTTGGCGGAATTGCAGTGGATGTTGTAGTGGCCTCTGTTGTAGTGGTTGTTGTTGGCGGAATTGCGGTGGATGTTGTTGTAGCTTCTGTTGTTGTGGTTGTTGTTGGCGGAATTGCAGTGGATGTTGTTGTGGCTTCTGTTGTAGTGGTTGTTGTTGGCGGAATAGCAGTGGAAGTTGTAGTGGCCTCTGTTGTAGTGGTTGTTGTGGGTGGAATTGCAGTGGAAGTTGTAGTGGCCTCTGTTGTTGTGGTTGTTGTGGGCGGGATTGCAGTCGAAGTTGTCGTTGCTTCCGTTGTAGTGGTTGTTGTTGGCGGAATTGCGGTGGATGTTGTTGTGGCTTCTGTTGTAGTGGTTGTAGTTGGAGAAATTGCAGTGGACGTTGTTGTGGCCTCTGTTGTAGTGGTTGTTGTTGGCGGAATAGCAGTGGAAGTTGTAGTGGCCTCTGTTGTAGTGGTTGTTGTGGGCGGAATTGCAGTCGAAGTTGTCGTAGCTTCCGTTGTAGTGGTTGTTGTTGGCGGAATTGCGGTGGATGTTGTTGTAGCTTCTGTTGTTGTGGTTGTTGTTGGCGGAATAGCAGTGGAAGTTGTAGTGGCCTCTGTTGTAGTGGTTGTTGTGGGTGGAATTGCAGTGGAAGTTGTAGTGGCTACTGTTGAAGTGGTTGTTGTGGGCGGAATTGCAGTGGAAGTTGAAGTGGCATCTGTTGTTGTGGTTGTTGTGGGCGGAATTGCAGTCGAAGTGGTCGGTGCTTCCGTTGTAGTGGTTGTTGTTGGCGGAATTGCGGTGGATGTTGTTGTAGCTTCTGTTGTTGTGGTTGTTGTTGGCGGAATAGCAGTGGAAGTTGTAGTGGCCTCTGTTGTAGTGGTTGTTGTGGGCGGAATTGCAATGGAAGTTGTAGTGGCTACTGTTGAAGTGGTTGTTGTTGGAGGAATTGCTGTCGAAGTTGTCGTAGCTTCTGTTGTAGTGGTTGTTGTTGGCGGAATTGCGGTGGATGTTGTTGTGGCTTCTGTTGTAGTGGTTGTTGTTGGCGGAATAGCAGTGGAAGTTGTAGTGGCCTCTGTTGTTGTGGTTGTTGTGGGCGGAATTGCAGTCGAAGTTGTCGTAGCTTCCGTTGCAGTCGTTGTTGTTGGCGGAATTGCGGTGGAAGTTGTAGTGGCTACTGTTGAAGTGGTTGTTGTTGGTGGAATTGCAGTGGATGTTGTTGTGGCTTCCGTTGTAGTGGTTGTTGTTGGCGGAATTGCGGTGGATGTTGTTGTAGCTTCTGTTGTTGTGGTTGTTGTTGGCGGAATAGCAGTGGAAGTTGTAGTGGCCTCTGTTGTAGTGGTTGTTGTTGGTGGAATTGCAGTGGAAGTTGTAGTGGCCTCTGTTGTTGTGGTTGTTGTGGGCGGAATTGCAGTCGAAGTTGTCGTAGCTTCCGTTGTAGTGGTTGTTGTTGGCGGAATTGCGGTGGATGTTGTTGTGGCTTCTGTTGTAGTGGTTGTAGTTGGAGAAATTGCAGTGGACGTTGTTGTGGCCTCTGTTGTAGTGGTTGTTGTTGGCGGAATAGCAGTGGAAGTTGTAGTGGCCTCTGTTGTAGTGGTTGTTGTGGGCGGAATTGCAGTCGAAGTTGTTGTAGCTTCCGTTGTAGTGGTTGTTGTTGGCGGAATTGCGGTGGATGTTGTTGTGGCTTCTGTTGTAGTGGTTGTTGTTGGCGGAATAGCAGTGGAAGTTGTAGTGGCCTCTGTTGTAGTGGTTGTTGTTGGCGGAATTGCAGTGGAAGTTGTAGTGGCTTCTGTTGTAGTGGTTGTTGTGGGCGGAATTGCAGTGGAAGTTGTAGTGGCCTCTGTTGTTGTGGTTGTTGTGGGCGGAATTGCAGTCGAAGTTGTTGGTACCTTCCGTTGTAGTGGTTGTTGTTGGCGGAATTGCGGTGGATGTTGTTGTAGCTTCTGTTGTAGTGGTTGTTGTTGGCGGAATAGCAGTGGAAGTTGTAGTGGCCTCTGTTGTAGTGGTTGTTGTTGGCGGAATTGCAGTGGAAGTTGTAGTGGCCTCTGTTGTAGTGGTTGTTGTTGGAGGAATTGCTGTCGAAGTTGTTGTACCTTCTGTTGTAGTGGTTGTTGTTGGCGGAATTGCGGTGGATGTTGTTGTGGCTTCCGTTGTAGTGGTTGTTGTTGGCGGAATAGCGGTGGATGTTGTTGTGGCTTCTGTTGTAGTGGTTGTGGTTGGCGGAATAGCAGTGGAAGTTGTAGTGGCCTCTGTTGTAGTGGTTGTAGTTGGCGGAATAGCAGTGGAAGTTGTAGTGGCCTCTGTTGTAGTGGTTGTTGTGGGCGGAATTGCAGTCGAAGTTGTTGTACCTTCCGTTGTAGTGGTTGTTGTTGGCGGAATTGCGGTGGATGTTGTTGTGGCTTCTGTTGTAGTGGTTGTTGTTGGCGGAATTGCGGTGGATGTTGTTGTGGCTTCCGTTGTAGTGGGTTGTTGTTGGCGGAATTGCGGTGGATGTTGTTGTGGCTTCTGTTGTAGTGGTTGTTGTTGGCGGAATTGCGGTGGATGTTGTTGTGGCTTCTGTTGTAGTGGTTGTAGTTGGCGAAATAGCAGTGGAAGTTGTAGTGGCCTCTGTTGTAGTGGTTGTTGTGGGCGGAATTGCAGTCGAAGTTGTTGTACCTTCCGTTGTAGTGGTTGTTGTTGGCGGAATTGCGGTGGATGTTGTTGTGGCTTCTGTTGTAGTGGTTGTGGTTGGCGGAATAGCAGTGGAAGTTGTAGTGGCCTCTGTTGTAGTGGTTGTTGTGGGCGGAATTGCAGTCGAAGTTGTTGTGGCTTCTGTTGTAGTGGTTGTTTTTGGCGGAATTGCGGTGGAGTTGTTGTGGCTTCCGTTGTAGTGGTTGTTGTGCGTTTGTGCTCCGTGTTGTTGTTGGCGGAATTGCGGTGGATGTTGTTGTGGCTTCTGTTGTAGTGGTTGTGGGCGTGGGTGTGCCTGTGTGTAGTGTCCGTTGGGTTGTTGTTGGCGGAATTGCGGTGGATGTTGTTGTGGCTTCTGTTGTAGTGGTTGTAGTGGGCGGAATAGCAGTGGAAGTTGTAGTGGCCTCTGTTGTAGTGGTTGTTGTACCTTCCGTTGTAGTGGTTGTTGTTGGCGGAATTGCGGTGGATGTTGTTGTGGCTTCTGTTGTAGTGGTTGTTGTTGGCGGAATAGCAGTGGAAGTTGTAGTGGCCTCTGTTGTAGTGGTTGTTGTTGGCGGAATGCAGTAGTTGTTGTAGCTTCCGTTGTAGTGGTTGTTGTTGGCGGAATTGCGGTGGATGTTGTTGTGGCTTCTGTTAGTGGTTGTGTTGGCGAATAGCGTGGAAGTTGTAGTGGCCTCTGTTGTAGTGGTTGTTGTGGGGGAATTGCAGTGGAAGTTGTTGTGGCCTCTGTTGTAGTGGTTGTTATTGGCGGAATAGCAGTGGAAGTTGTTGTAGCTTCTGTTGTAGTGGTAGTTGTTGGCGGAATTGCAGTGGATGTTGTTGTGGCTTCTGTTGTAGTGGTTGTAGTTGGAGGAATTGCAGTGGACGTTGTTGTCGCCTCTGTTGTAGTGGTTGTAGTTGGCGGAATAGCAGTGGAAGTTGTAGTGGCCTCTGTTGTAGTGGTTGTTGTGGGTGGAATTGCAGTGGAAGTTGTAGTGGCCTCTGTTGTAGTGGTTGTTGTTGGCGGAATAGCAGTGGAAGTTGTTGTAGCTTCTGTTGTCGTGGTAGTTGTTGGCGGAATTGCGGTGGATGTTGTTGTGGCTTCTGTTGTAGTGGTTGTAGTTGGAGGAATTGCAGTGGACGTTGTTGTCGCCTCTGTTGTAGTGGTTGTAGTTGGCGGAATAGCAGTGGAAGTTGTAGTGGCCTCTGTTGTAGTGGTTGTTGTGGGTGGAATTGCAGTCGAAGTTGTCATAGCTTCTGATGTCGTGCTAGTTGTTGGCGGAATTGCAGTGGAAGTTGTACTAGCCTCTGTTGTAGCGGTTGTTGTTGGCGGAATAGCAGTGGAAGTTGTTGTAGCTTCTGTTGTCGTGGAAGTTGTTGGCGGAATTGCGGTGGATGTGGTTGTGGCTTTTGTTGTAGTGGTTGTTGTTGGAGGAATTGCAGTGAAAGTTGAATTGGCCTCTGTTGTAGTGGTTGTTGTGGGTGGAATTGCAGTGGAAGTTGTAGTGGCCTCTGTTGTAGTGGTTGTTGTGGGTGGAATTGCTGTGGAAGTTGTCGCAGCTACTGTTGTAGTGGATGCTGGCAGTGCTGTGGAGGCGTTGGGGTCGGGAGTTGTTAACGCTGTTGGTGGCATCCTTGTAGATGTCCTTCTACGTCGCCATATTCTAAAAATTTGGTTGAGCGCATGACGAGGACGCGATTCTGAATCACCGTCGTTCACAGAATTTGGAAGAAAGTTTATTCTTTCCTGTTTTGTTTCAACATTTCGATTTTCCATGTCCCCAATCCTAGGTGTATTACTAAAATAGTTTGGCTGACGGCCATATTTCAACATGATGGGAATCGGTACTTCCGATTCTATTGCTTGTCCAATTGATGACTGCCGCAAATTAAGAGAACTGTACCGCTGATCACCTTCAGCATGACCGAAATATATGCTTCTTAAGAAAAGAAGTATACTTAAGTAAAACTGAAAAAATGTAAATTAGGTATAGAATCTTTTATGTGAAAGCGTTTGCGGAATATACCAATATAAATAGACTCCATGGTGTTCTTAAATTGACTAAGAATTTTTCGGACTTTTATCGCTTTTATATCGCAGAATCCGGCTCAAGTGGAAAGTAGGTTAAAGCGCTAATTACTGAAAGATGAAATTCAGTAACTCATTTCTAGATTTTGGTATGGACTAAATGTTTTTGTATTTCTTTTTGTCACTAGAATTTTCTGCATGTGATAAATATGTCAGACCTTTGTCTAATCGCAAGGCCTTGCTAATTGTTTAGTTAACAGATCTGGGAGACTACTGTAGTGCCACTAAGACTTTAAAATATTTGGATACGGTTTATAATTCATGAAAGTGAGATACTAATAATGGTCTTTTGTTCATAGGATATTTTGGAAAAAATATGTAATAATGCTTAACATTGAAGTTGGTTCAAATCTTTATAAAAAATTATATTCCTTAATTCATACCTTGACTGTAGGAAGACAGTTACACGTCTGATGCTTTATTAAATTTCAAAGTCGATAACAATAAACATATAAGGAAGTTTTTTGATATGTGGATTCGATTTATATGGGAATTTGGGATCCAATTATCTATCACATAAAAGATAAAACATTATGTTATTAAATATTTTATTTTATTTGGGTATCCCAGAACAATAGTTTTTTGTTAAATATATGGCGAAGATTTTTCAGAGGATCACATATAAAATGGTTATAGATAAGTTGAGGCCTATGTTTAAGGTGTCGGTGAGGTCGGAATCGCTGTGGATGTTGTCGGTGTCTGTGTTGTGGTATCCTGAGATGTCGGAATCGCTGTGGATGTTGTCGGTGTCTGTGTTGTGGTAGCCTGAGATGTCGGAATCGCTGTGGATGTTGTCGGTGTCTGTGTTGTGGTATCCTGAGATGTCGGAATCGCTGTGGATGTTGTCTTTTCAGATCGGAATCGTGGATGTTGTCGGTGTCTGTGTTGTGGTATCCGGAGATGTCGGAATCGCTGTGGATGTTGTCGGTGTCTGTGTTGTGGTATCCTGAGATGTCGGAATCGCTGTGGATGTTGTCGGTGTCTGTGTTGTGGTAGCCGGAGATGTCGGAATCGCTGTGGATGTTGTCGGTGTCTGTGTTGTGGTAGCCGGAGATGTCGGAATCGCTGTGGATGTTGTCGGTGTCTGTGTTGTGGTATCCTGAGATGTCGGAATCGCTGTGGATGTTGTCGGTGTCTGTGTTGTGGTATCCTGAGATGTCGGAATCGCTGTGGATGTTGTCGGTGTCTGTGTGGTGGTATCCTGAGATGACGGAATCGCTGTGGATGTTGTCGGTGTCTGTGTTGTGGTATCCTGAGATGTCGGAATCGCAGTGGATGTTGTCGGTGTCTGTGTTGTGGTATCCTGAGATGTCGGAATCGCTGTGGATGTTGTCGGTGTCTGTGTTGTGGTTTCCTGAGATGTCGGAATCGCTGTGGATGTTGTCGGTGTCTGTGTTGTGGTATCCTGAGATGTCGGAATCGCTGTGGATGTTGTCGGTGTCTGTTCTGTGGTAGCCGAAGATGTCGGAATCGCTGTGGATGTTGTCGGTGCCTGTGTTGTAGTAGCCGGAGATGTCGGAATCGCTGTGGATGTTGTAGGTGTCTGTGTTGTGGGAATCGCTGTGGATGTTGTCGGTGTCTGTGTTGTGGTATCCTGAGATGTCGGAATCGCTGTGGATGTCGTTGGCATTCCTGTTGAAGTTGGAATAGCAGTGGATTTTGAAGGATCTAATGTTGATGATGGAATCGTAGGTCGGGAGAATGGATCACGGGTTGTTGGCGGTCTCGTGGATGTCCTCCTTCGGCGCCATTTTCCCCACAACCTTTTGAGACCAAAGCTGGTAGGAATGTCTTCATAATCTCGATACATGGAGTCATCGAGTGAACTCCCTGCTTTAATTTCATTTATTTTTGAAGCTATTTGCTCTTCCAAATATCCGTTCGGCGGCCTTATTGACTTAAGCATTTGCTGATTACTCGGACCATAGCCCAACATAATGGGAATAGGTACTACTCCTGATAATTGATCAGCGGTCGCCTTCGAGTCTTGATCAACTACTGCATGGCCAAAACCTATGCTTAATATGCATAGTACTAAGGCGACTGAAAAACAAGTGGTATCTGTTAGTATCCATTGTAGTAGAAAATATTGCTTTACCTACCATAACGAATTGGCGCCATGGTGTTCTCAAATCAACTGCAGTTCCCTTGAGAAATTTCGTGTTTTATATTGGCGAACTCGTTCGAATTGGAAAGTTGATCATTAGAGTCAGAGTCTTATAATTCTGCTAATTAAAAGATATTGGGAATATGCTAAACTTTTCTCTTTTATCAAATATATATTTTTGTGTTTAATATTATCTGACTTACTATTGCTTGCTAATTTACAAAAGTAGCAAGCATCACAGAAAAATGTTAAGTCATGTTCACTGGGGTGCAATTAATATTGTGGAATCTTGTTAACATATGGTTAAAGATCTTTAGTTTGAGTTCTTTAAATTAGCGTGCTAAAACTTAGTTAAATTAACCAGGTCCCAACATTCCCAATGTAAAAAATCATCGAGTCAAGCTCAATAACTAAAAGTATATTTAACTGCTGGATTTCATTTGGTTGCATAACATTTCTTAGACTACAATAAATAAATAAATTATGAGATTATATTAGAAGAGTTCGCTCTGGTCTAGAATTATTGGATTTGGTTGGTAGACTGCTCCACATTTAGGGACCTGGCATAGCCTCCGTACCCAAAACCACTGGCAGTACCTCCACCACCGCCTCCAGCGGCAAAGTGGGGACTATGCCCATGGCCTCCATCCTCGTGGGTTACCGAGTGCGAGTGGCTGGAGGTGTAAATTGGCTTAGCCACTATTTCGTAGGTCGTAGACTTTCCCTCCGCCACCGGCCAAGCTTTTCAGTCCTAAAACTCCAGACAGTGTCAAGGCCATCAGAGCTGTCATCAGGGCCTTTCCGGCCATCAGAGCGATGGCCCCGAATCCCATGGCCATCAGCATTCCTTTCATCATGACTCCGGCAGCTACGAGGGCCTCCAAGCCTCCTTTCTTGCCGAACTTGTGTTTGCGGCCTTCTACGAGGGACTTGTCATCCAGCAGGCGAAATCGGAGGAAACGTGTTTTCAGGAGATTCTCCAGTTTGGCTACTATATAGCCATTCAAGCGAGTGCTGGGATCACTGGGATAGCTGCGAGCCACTTCTACAAAAAATATAAGAATGTTTATTAATGTTAATTTTTGGAAAACTATAGGATTAGTGTAAATAGCTAGCTTGATAGCTTAACCCACCTGCCATTAGCTCCGATGTCTTGAGTTCCGTGGCATTCTCATCCTTCACCACACTGACGCCAGGCAGCACGTTAAGTTCCTCCTGTTCGGCAAGTTTTTCCATGATCTTGACGAACTCGATCTTGAGACACATCCAACTGAACGAAGAAGTTTCACAGCCATTGAGAAGACTTTCCGCGTTTTGTGGTTTCCTAAGGGTGTCCGTTCTAATTGGAGGCGCTTCCGTAGCCTGAACCCTCGCTGCCGTAGCATATTTGCACATAGAAGGCGAATAAAGCCAAATAGAACAGATATTCCAGGGTCTTGGTCAGCAACATTTTCGCTATGTGGTGTGTTTGAGATTGTTTGTGAGACTGCATCATGTCAATTTTATGGCTTTAGCTTTTATACCCGCTTCCACCATTTCCATTCCCATTTCCCTTTCACCAAAGCCGTAGTCCGCCGCACTGGGGCCCTTGTGCTTTTCTAATTACCCAAACGATTTGTGGTCGAAATTCTTCCCAGCGTCAGTCAGCTGCGTCCAACTGGGCGGCACTTTCGCTTTCCTCTGCAGTGGCGGTCAAGTCGCTCTTGCGAAACGGCCGGCTAATTCTGTCACCAAAAAGTTCCAGCCAATGAATTCCCCAAAGAGTCTTCAAAGAAAACTCTCCCAGACTCGGGAATCCAGGTAATTACAAGTGCCAGATAAAAGTCGCGTGCCTCGGACCTCCATAAATTAAGACCCAACATTTTGAGTGCCTAACTGGGACTAACTAACAATTCATTGTTAATTATTACTACATTTTCATTTGTGTCTGGCCCAGCCTCGTTTCGCTACTTTCTTTGCTAGTGCTGTCCATGAGGTAATATATCTTTCCGCGCCGACTCTTGTCTGTTTAATATTCAGATTACATGCAGTGCTAATGACCAATTTATTGGCCGACTTTTGATTTTCGCCCCTTGTCTGAAAGCTGTTTATTTTTAGATGGAAAATATTGCGGGTCTTTGGGTTTGAGCAAAATAGAATGCTTAATTTACCATAATTGGTGATAAAAATATAAAATAAAATATGCATTTTTAATCACGGTCAAAAATTCTTGCTTCTTATATTTCATTTTATGTTTGACTTACAAAAATTGTGACCATAATGAATGGGTATAACATCTTTGAAAAATATATTTAAATATTCCTTTTCATTGGGAATTTGTATAAAAGTCAAATTTTCATTTGTTTTGTGTATTCAAAAGTTTATTTTATTTAAATTAAGACAAATTTAATAAATAGTAGTTGAAGTGCAATTTGAATAAATATTAATATAAAGTGGACGGCAATCTTCTTAATAAGAACTGTTAGTGGCTCCTGGTTATTCTTATTTTCCTGGTGGTGGTGGTGGTGGAGGTGGTGGAGGAGTTGTGGTAGTAGTGGTTGTCCACTTGTTCCTAAACCTTTCACCGAATCTCTCAAAGAATCCGGTTCCATTGTTATCAAACGGAGGGAAGCGTAGCTGTCCAAGGTTTCCCGCTTCCTCCACCACTGGGGCAGCCTCAATGAACTCCTCGGTGGTCACATCATCTTCCTCGGCTGGAAGGGGAGACTTTTCATTGTCGACAGGAAGTGTCCAGGCCAAGGATACCAAGAGGCCGACAATGAGAGCGAATTTAATCTGACACCCGATAAGTTTGTTGCTGAAGCCGTTCATCTTCGATCTGTTGACTTTGGGGCAGCTCGATTGGCAGTTTTATACCAAAGCCAAGTGGGACATTTGATTTAAAATCAATTAGGAAGTTCACGCAAAGAAAGCCTAAGCTCAACCAATAAAATTTGCTAATATAATTAAGCACAAATATATTTTCATTTTTGTTGGTCCAATGAAAGTGTTTAAAAAAGAAAGCAAAGAAACTTGATTTCAGTTTTAGTTTATTTACTTTTTGTTTAACTTTTTCTGGTGACTTTAGCTGTGTCAACATAAATCAGTTTGTTAGCTGGCCATTAATCTTTATCCTTTGCGCAATTTTTTCAACATGTCACCCCTAAAAAAAGGTCAGAAAATATGTTTGACACGCAACAAGGAAGCACAGCAGCAGAAATTTCATGAATCAACGCCTTTCAGATATGTTGGAATGAAATAACAAACTTTTTCCATGTTTTTCGCAAATAAAATTAAAGAGTTTTAGTTTTTGCATTTGATGAATCATTTTTATTCAATTGCTTTAAGTTATCAAAATAAATACTTAGTAAGTAAGCTCTTTAGCAGGCATAATCTTCGTTGTTTTCGATGAACCTGAGTGACATTTACAACCGCCAAGAGACAAGTGGATTGTGGGAATGTGCAATAAATATGGCGCAATCATGACTGATTTTGGTATCCTTAAGCATTGTCCTTTGAGCTAGCATGGAGTCGTGGGACCGTTTCAATAGTTCTCTTTTTTTGTGATTTTCCTTGTTTTTTTTTGGTATGTCGCAGCTAACTAACTAAATGTAACTAAATAATTATTGACTACGAATTTGGCCATTCTTCAGGGAAAGGTTCTTAGGGGGATAGGTTGGGGTGAAATGAGTTGACAGTGAAAGGAAATTGAAGAAGGGTGAAGCTTTGGTAGGGTAAGATATAGCAGGTGAAAGATTCAGGCTAGTATAGCGTGGGATGGATGGATCGGTTGGTGATTTGAAGAGAGCTTAGAAGGGCTGGGCCAGACCATAGTGGTTGTAGGCCAGATCAGCGGCTCCAGCCTGACCATTGCGGCTCCAGTCGGAGTGGACGATGTCGGCATTCAGGGGGCTGCCAGTGATGTAGGCAGTGGTGATGTGTTCCTTCTTCTTGGCGAGCAGATCCTTGAAGAAGGTGGCACCTGTAAGCAAAATTAGTTATAGAAGAGCCTTTCCTGGGTTGACTTTCTCTGAACTCACCAGCCAGAATGAGGGCCAGGAAGGAGATGGCCAGAGCCTTCAGCGAGATGAACTTGATGATGGTGAACATAATCTTGACAACGACGGCCTTCTTCAGCTTCAGGGCCAACAGAAGGGGCAGCAGCATCTTCTTCATGCGCTTGCTGCGGGACTCTGTATTTTTATTGGGGAGAAAGCAAAAAGAAAGCGCAAATTTAGCAATGCTCCTAAAAGTATTCAACGCTTGGCAGTGGAGTGAAAGCTTTCACTTCGCTTTTCGGCAGAGCGGCTAAGTATGCCAGTAGTTTTGCTTTTGGCAGTTGGCTGTGTGCGCAGCCGAGTGGACCCTAGTACTTTTAGCCTTATGTAGCCAAAATGAGAGTGCTCAAAAGGCAAGAAAGGGAAATACTTTGAGTATCAGAACATATTTTTAAAATCACTCATACGTACTGTTGCTGCTGCTTATATATTTATTTATAAGCACTTCACCAAGACTTTCTTTAGATTTAATTTGGATTTTTGAAAGTTATTCGAATATTAATATAAGTTGTTTAAGTTCCTGTTGTATTCAATATTAACATTTTCAGGCTTATATTGATTATATTTCACCTTTTCAATACAAAATGTTTTACTTTAAGTGTTCAAATTTTGAAGCTTATAAACACCAAAAATAAGGAGTGCTTCAATTTAAGAACAATCTTAATGGCATTGCTATTTAGTTCTTGATTCCCTAGAGAAAGCTTTGATCACTCACCTTCCATGGCACGTCCGGTGTACTCGTTCTCGGTGTTCTCTTCCTGCTCATCGCCGGAGAAGGAGAGGTTCAGCTCGTGGGTCTCCAGGTAGCGCTCGGCGCGGTCCTCAAAGGACTCAACGGCCTTGGCGGCTCCGAAGCTGCGGCCGGTCTCCGATCTGTCGATCCTCAGGCCACCGAAGAGCGCGACGGACTCCTCGCCATCCAAGCGGTTCAGCATGTTGACCAGATCCCGCTCACTGTTGTCCTGCGAGGGAAGGGCCATGGAGCCGCACACAAGGCTGGCCAGCAGCACAACACAAACGAATTTCGCGCACATTTTGATTAGCACTTGGGGGGGAATCTCGACTTTAGAGAGGGTTATAATCCTTGGGATGGCTGCCTGGAGCTGGTGGGTGCTGCCTTTGTGAATGGGAATCGCTTTGTGATTAATTGAATGCACTGCCCCCGCGTTTTATACCATTTCGATTCGACGTCGATTGACCAATTTTGTGGCTAGAAATCGCGCGCCAGGCCAAAACGCACCTCGACCGCAGTGCAATAACAATAACAATACCGAAAACCAATACCAAAATCCAAAAACCAAAAACAATTTATGCAAAGCATATGCGTATGCTACCTGGCCGGCAATTTCTTGACCATATTTCCACGCACGTCGCGATGCCAACGAAAGGGAAGTGGCCACAGTGGCCAGTGGTGGTCGGCCGGCTGAATATGATTTTTGTATATATATTTTATATAAGCAAGTGGCCCGATTTCGGGTGTCCGCCGTTATCCGAATCCTAATTGGCATTCAATGAAGTAGACGAGGCGACGTGTTCGGATTGCCTGTGCCAGATTCTTGGCCGGCTGTTCCTCCCACTGCCATTACGGCTCGAAGTTAAGATTATACCGGTGGATCTGCCAGACTCAGCCGTATTTGGTATGCCCCGCCGGTGGTGACTTAATGCACCATTTGGCCCAGTTAGTTGCTCTGGCGCTTTCAACGCTTTCGATTTCATTCTCCCTTCGTCGTGCGGCGTTCGGAGCTCGTTTTCTATTTCAATTGCTTCTAAATCTGCCTACAAAAGAAAGCTGAATTGTAGCACATCGCCGCATATATCTCTTTCCAATCGCAAAGTGACACTTTTATGAGCATAAGTAGAAAGTTTCTGGTAAACAATTAACATGCCAAGCGGCCGTCACATGGCCACTAGAAACTCCAATTATGAGCAGGGCCACAAACTTGCCAAAAAAAACAAAAACTAAATCCCCAACTTATCAGTTTTTTTTTCCATGCAGCAACAGAACCTGCCACAAGTTTTAATTGCCAGCCGCAAACTTGTTGCCGCCCAGTCAGCAAAGTTCCAGATATTTGTTTTGGGGTCTGTCAGCATTTCAATTAAGCCCTGGGAAAGTCTCCCACCGCAGGTAAACACGTGCTTGGATTTACGGATATTCGTAGATTTATTTTTCGGGTGCAATACTCATGGTTTTATTCAAACATTCGACTTGACTATGTTGCTGTTGCTGTGTGCTTTGTGTGGCAATAAATTAGTTAATTACATTTCGAATAAATTACTACAGGCTAAAGGTTTCAAAACGAAGGCACATCTGTGGCTGTTGGAGCTCGTCCTGTCTCCGGGCCAGTTCTTACTGCTGCTGCTGGCCGGCGTAGGCCAACTGCTGGGCCTCGGACTCATCGCTGATGCTGCGGGCATAGGGATAGGACGAGGAGGCTCCCGAGCTCCAGCCAGCGGTGGCTGGTGCGGACCAGGCGTTCGAGCTGTAGGCTCCTCCGAAGGAGTTGCCTCCGAACTTGTTGCCGAATCCTCCCAGCAGACGGGAGCCGCCGACGAGGATAGCCAGGAAGAAGGCAAGCTTGGCGACGATCACGGCCTTGAAGGTCAGCAGAGCGAGGAAACCGAGCACCAGGGGAATGACAGCGAACAATTTGGCGCCAATAGCCAGAGCCAGGGGTCCCAGCATCTTCTTGATCTTGCCACGGCCTGTGATTTGATTACATATAATTATTATAAATCTTAGAGGTGAAGTCCAGGTCAAAACCCACCTTCATCGAGGGCACGGGCAACCTGCTGGGTGGTCTCAGCGGGCAGCTTGAACTCCAAGTTGTGGGTGCTCAGGAAATCGGCGGCACTGGAGATGGCCAGGTCCACCAGACGACCAGTACGCTCATCAGCATTCTGGGGAAGCTCAGCGTAGACATCCTGCTCGCTCATGGATTTTCCGGTGCGGGAAACGGGATTGGCAGGGTCTCTGAAATAAGTAAGGGGATTGATTTATTAGTAGGAGGTGTTAGTAATAAAAACTTTAACAAAAACTTATAATTTATCAAACGACTTGCTAATTTATCGAATATCTCTAAACTTGAGATTGGCATTATTTTAGCATTAATTAACAAATCTATTTCAAAAACATTTATCTTTTCCCGGCAAATGAAATCTATAAATAGTTTCAAGATATAAACTATGGCATAATCTTGGTTTTATGTAACTTTAAGCCCTATATAACTTCTCTTCTTTCACTTTAATATATCTTCCCGATCTTAAGAACTCTTTCTAGATAACCCGCTTGAACCGCTTTCCTTTTGATCTAGATATCATAATTTCTTTTTAACTAGCTCTCTTTAAGACTGCCACTAAGCTTTATGATGCAACCACTTAAACTGACACGGATTGAAGATTTCATCAGACACGTTCTGCTTTGAGATTCAGTTTCAGTTTCCATTTCGATTTCGTTTTTGTTTCAAGAACCAAGCACTTTCACTAAAAACAAACACACACCTCTGGAAGGTGACTCCGCTGGCCAGCTCGATGTTGTTGCTCCTGGCGGCACGGTTCAGGGCGGTGATGCCCTTGACGGCGAAGCAGGTGGCCATGTCGTCGCTCTCCAGACAGGCGCCCAGATATCTGGCGGCCCTGCCCAAGGTATTATCGCCCTCAACACGGTTGTCTTGGACACTTGGAGCGGCGAAGGCGCAGCTGGCCGCCAAAAGGGTAACACAGGCAATGGCAAACACTTTCATTTTTAGTTATTATTGGTTGATTCGCGGTTAATCCTTGCTATATAGCTGATCCGGCTGATTCTGAAGATCGGGCTGCTGCTTCTCTTCGGGAGCGCTGAGATGAGTTTGATGTATGCGTCTCCGGACATCTAGCCTTATATATTCGGCTGCAGCTGCTCAGCCGGCGTCGCAGTCAGCAGTCGGTGCGCATTACAAAACAATTTTAAAGTAAATTAAATAAACCCACTGAGAGAAGCGGCGGAAGCTACGGCAAAGACGCGAAAAGAGCGCACTCCCAAACGGAGACCGGGCCCAAAGAAAAAAGTCACAGACGCAGTCACAGCCACATAAATCTAGAGAACGGCGGGGAAATAAAGTCAACTTGTTTGTTAAGTGAACATGTTCATTTCGGGCTGCCTTTTTTTCGGCAGCGCCGCTCCGGCGACGTCGTCATCCGTCAACGTTAACGTCGCGGAGAGAGAAACTTGTACTTGGACTTGGCCATTGGGCGAAATGGGGAGCCCTCGGCATCATTGGCTAAGGTCTGCACAGCGAAAAAATCAGATGGCTTACATAACCAAGATGGTCTAAGGTAACCCTTTAAACGGTTCGTAAAAGTAATTAATGAAGTTCATTAGCTAAAGTAGATGAAAGTATTCTTGAAAGTAAAAGAATTATTCAAATATTTTTGAGACAGTTCAGAGATTACGATATTTAAAGGAACCGTTGAGGCTTATGTGTCAGCATTTGAAAGAGAAAAAAATGCTTTTAAGGATCTTAAGGACCTTAGAAAAGGTGTGTATCAGTACCTAAGTAGGTCTAGAAGATCTTATGATTAAAATAGTTAAATAATCAAACAAAATAATATATAACATTTGTTAGGAATGAGGATACTTCTGTTAACTTGTTAACTAGATTAACACTTTAGCTTAAAGAACTCATCTCTTATTTTAAAACCAAAAGCATCATCAGAAAATATATTGATACAATGCATAAGAAAAACAATCAATTGGGGAATCCATTAATATACCCTTAGGGGTTTTTCAATAATCATAAAACCTAATCAAACTCAAAAGGTCTTTAGATCCAAATGAGATACCAATCGGTGTAATGTTATATTATAAAAGCCGTATTTCGTTCACAAAGAGTACATGACTCTTTTATTTTCCGCCGTGTAGGTGGTCTAAACCTGGGCATGAACACGGTCTTTGGGCCTTGGGCCGCAATACAACGCCCTCAATGAGACTGGGGACATGGTGTTTACCGGAGGTCTGAGTCTGCGCCCAGCTTTCATCCGACTCTCGCAATACCCAAGCCACATATTTGCTAATTTATTGACGCTTCTTAACCGATCCGGTTGCCGTATATTTCACGCAGCCCATTTATGAGCGCAAAAATGTGTTTTTATTTTCTTTCTCCAGCATAAATGGGTCACTCTTATTTGCTGGGGCTTTTTGTTGCTACTGCTGGGATATGGTGAAATAGTGTTTAGCACTTCGATGATTGAACTGGACTGTGTGGCTAATGTGTCTATGTGGTAATAATTGAAAGTTAAGTGGGTTAAGTAGGTGGAGGTGAATGAGATGCTGTTGCCGGCATTTATATAACAAGCTGCAAGGAATTTGTAGTTCGAGGAACTCACAAAAACTTTGGCAAATATTTTCTATGGCCTGGGGTAGTAAAACTCTTTCAACTATGATGTTATCGATTTGTTTGCTTTGAGAGAATGTTAAGAATACAAACTCAGAAATAAACAATAAATACATGAAATCGCTGTAGTCTTGTTGTTTTTTATTGAATGAATATGTAAAGTCATTTAGATTGGGGTTAAATAATGTTCTGTTCTATATCTATTTATCTTTATAATATGGCAAAATGTGCAATAGTTTTAATCATTTATTCTTTAGAGTTTTCTTTGCTCATTTCAGTTAAGAAAGTGTGAGAACTTGTGGCCAGAACTGGCAGAATTTCAAATTCTGCAAGCAACTCTCAAATTTGGTTTATCAACTGAATGAATCTGCACTCAATTCCCCAACATAAAATAGTTTCTCTCGCGACCTGAGGCATTTTTACAAGTCTATCAAGAGGCAGTGTGAACTTTATGATTCATCCATTCAGTCATTTAGACATTTAGACATCCAGCCATCGATGATTTTCCCAGTCACGTTCTGTTACCACGGGCTGCATTGTGACAGTTAACGGGCATGTTGCTAGCCGAGTTTCTCTGCCTGGCATTGCATCGTAAAATCTCGCGTTCCTGACAAAAGATCTCTATAAAATCGAAACAACTTCAATTTTTGGCAGCAACAAAATTTGTATTTTTATTGTCCCGCAGCAGCTTATTAAAGGCAGTCCATTCAACGGAGGGCAGCCTCACTCACTTTCATTTATATTACAACGAAATGCGACACTAAATGTTGCCTGCCCTCAATGTTGTTGTGCCTTGTTGTTTTCTTGCTTATTGTTATTGTTAGTGTTATTGCCGGCTGATTGTTGCTGGGCAAGCCAGCCGCGAGGCGTCGGCTTGTCACACGCTGCGTATGAGTGACGCGCCTTTATTTTCGGTTATTGTTTTAGCTGCGTAAAACGGCCAAAAAAGCGGCCCGAAAAAAAGAAAGTGTGCTAGGCATGCCTTATTGGGCATATTTCTCCCAGTGATTCACTTGCTCCGGCAATTTGCATAGTTCCGCGGACTCCAGGTTGCATTGCCGCCGCGTCTTCATTCATGATGATGATGATGAAGACGATGTGATATTTCGGGGCCAGTGATAAACCGCATGCCATTGCCTTGGCTCATTCGCGATCCAGTTTTTCGCATTCCCGCCTTCATTCATTCATACGATTCGCGTCATCGTCATCGTTTTTTCGTGAGTGAAAGTTATGTAATGTCGGCGTAAATTTTGCAATCTGCACTGCGCCCTGCTAAACCGGATGGCTCGATGGATCGGTGGATTGGTGGATAAATGTCGGGGGACCTCCAACGCTCAGCCAATAATGTGTTGGGTTTTATTACCCGCCTAACTGTCAAATCAAACAAAATTTCTAAATGCCAATCAATAAACAATTTCTCTTTTCTTCGTTGCGGTTTTTTGGTTTCTGCCTCCGAGAACTGTCAAAGTTGCACTACAAGAAATTTAGGCTGCAAGATGCTTTTAAATAATATTTTTGAAGGCAGTAAAGAGTTTAAGATTAATAAAAATAGTTTATACAAAAAATATATTATAAATAGTATATAACTTTTTAAAACTAAGTAAAATAATACTGGCAAGAATTGATAATATTTTAAGTTTATATAAAATATTTCTGAAAGCAAAAAGAAATATCATTGTTTTGCTTGGTCATGCTATTTTCATGCTTATTAAAATTTACAAATTTAAGCTAATTTAAAAAGTAGTAGTATGTTTTATTTAAAAATTTTCTAGAAACATGATTTTTTTTAAATAATTTAAGATATTATTAGTTTTACCGGAAGAACTTACTATAAGAGTGTTAGTTTTTATTACACTAAATTGACTGCTGTTTAGTAAGTTATTTTGCCAGTGTAATACTTTTTCTCTGATAACCTTTCTCAAGATTTTTCTCCCAAGCCCTGACTCGCATTTAATGCGTTTCTGACGGCAACCTGGTGGGCATTTATTATTTACACAAAGTCAATTAGCTCCGTTTCATTTGTGCGCTTTTCGATTTGCGATTTGTTGCCGGCCGTCGCTCAATTAGCCGGCAACAAGTTGCCATAAATCGATAGCCACTTTCCTCCTACTTGGCCATGTGGGTGTGGCAGGTGGGCCGGATGGCCGCATGGCCGCTCAAGCTCTCTTTCGGCCCCCATGTGTGCGTTTGCGTTTCAAATTAGCCTGCTCGATTCGCAGTCGAGCTTCGAGGTTTGCCGGCTTGGCTTTATATTTTTGGGCTGCGTACGTTCTACTGACCCATTTGCGTGTGTTTTCATCGAATATCGGCCCATCGGAATGCCAGCGGCATTATTGGAATTCCAGCTCAGTGGGCAGACAATGGGCAAATCCACGGAGCGGGGGAACATTTCACGGAGCTTGTATTGGGTAAGAGATAGACATTTATTTTGTTCGAGTCAAATACCGAAAAGGCAAAATAGTTGGCATTGGCAGCCAGACAGTTTAAGTTTAAGCCTTGAATGTGAGCACCCCAAGTCCTGAATAAATCAGAAAACATTCTTTAAATGATTTCAAGGAATTTAAAATCGAAATAAAATGAAATTAAAACGAAGGATTGTTCGATTGAGCAAACGGGTATCTGCACAATGTTCTTTATTATTTTATCTAATTTTATTCTTTTCTGATGATATATTTATCATTTTTATATCTGGTAATTACTTTTTGATTCAGATTTAAAGGTGTTTTGTATCGTTTAATCATTTAGCTCCTAGGAAAATGTTAAATTTTCCCAACGAAAGGTTGGTTTCATCCATTGACCGGAAAAAGCCAATCAAATTTCGTCATCATATTTCATTTATTCCCATCAGCCGTCACAAAGACGCCCGAACCACATCTGAATTGTATCTTTTGAAGCTTTTTGGGTTAAACGCTGAAATACCAGCAGGTGAAATTGATTTTCTTTTCATTTGTGCAAATATGAAATGTCAATATTGTGCGTACCCGTTGCTGACATTGTCGCTCAGCTGAGAAAGTGCAGCGTCAACTCAAAACGTTTTCAATGCAGTCGACGGATATACATAAACGTATTTTTTTGGCCCAAAGTTATGGTAGGGTCGTCGCTAGTTATGGTATTTGCATTTAAAAAATTCATAGCCATTACCTTGCGGGCACACTCCGGTTCAAAGCCAAAACAAATTCAATTCACTTTGCCACGAGAGCTGGGGCACTTGCCATTTTGGGCTGGGGCATTAAGATATATTATTCATACCCTAGCATAGGGTGGAGGTTTGGCGACTTTATTGTAGATGAGTGGCTTGGTACTAACCTACTGATTGTTGCTTACCTTTTATAAATTTAATTAAAAATGTTTATAGTTTATTTAATTTAAATAGAATTTTTAATATAATATGTAATATTCATATTCTTATTTCTATAGCTAAGGTAAGATAAAGCTATTTTAGATCAGTTTATTCTAAGGAAACACCTTCAGAAAAATGAAAAATAAACACCTTCCCAGGGTACTTTAAAATTCGAATTTCAAGGCTTGTCTCTACTTCCTGTTCCGTTCATTTTTGCCAGGCGAAAAAATATGATAAAGTGAGCCTGTGGGATCACTTTCAGCCACGGCTCAGGCCTAAGTATCATCGCTTTGTTTAACCCATCTGGCCGGGGACCGAAAGAAAGTGAAATTGATGACACAAATGCGCAGACAACAAATACAAAGCGGAGTCTATGCTAAATGGCCTGGTTAAGTAATCTCGTGAGAGCCGCAAACATTGCGCAGTCAGCGGAGCTGAGAATGTTGTTAATAGCCAAGAGCCAAGAGATGCGATGACAAAGGCCGCCTCGCTGCGACTCCCTTCGCCGCGCCCTTTCCCCAGTTTAATTGCCCAGCTCTTTGGGTCGCAACTTCACTTTCAACGTTCAACGTCTAACGTCTCACTTAGAAAGAAAGATACGCCCTGTTGTTGATCGATCTGTTAGATACGCGACAGGCATCGCATACCTGGGTCTTGTATCTGGTATTTTGTACCTCTATCTCTCAACTGCAAATGTATCTGTGGTGGTCCCGCTGCCCCGCCCCTGCCACACTTGCAATTGTCTCTTTGCTTTTGGCGCCCTACAACTTTCACTTGGGTCTCGAGGCGCGATTTGCGTAGGCTGCTAACATAAATTTAACCGACCGTGGAGCACTTGCACTTGTCCCCTTTCGAGCTAGGAATTTATGATCAATTTCTATTTAAATTAGCAAACAAACATTTAAGTTTATGTTTCAATAAATAAGTTAAATGTTCATAAAAAATGATGGAAGCAGTACCTTGCTATTTGCTGAACTCTATTGTCTAACATATTTTCATAAAAATACAAAATTTAATGATTATTTCTCAAATAAAAATAAAAAATAAAAATCAGTTGCCTATTTGTTTAAAGTGTATGTGCAGAAATATTATTTATGGATTTGTTTTTCTTAAAAAATTTTGGAACAAAAAAGGGACCAACATTTATATGCCAAAGGAAATATTTAATTTCAATCTGTAAATTTTGATTAGTGACCTATTTTAACTTTTAACTATTCAACTGTTTATGTAAGTAAATATTTTTAGACTCTACTGAATTATCTTCTTTATCTTATTATAGATAAAAATCCTTTCTTTTCAACTCCCGATAAGTAATTTTAACATAATTTCCTCAGCTAAAATGGAAGCTTGTGCCACCCCAGACGTAGGTCGAGGGCCTTTGTTGCATCGACTGCAGCGCGTTGATTGATTAGTGTCAACCTGTTTGTTGATTTTGGCTTTCGGTCGTGCTCTTTACATAAGTCGCTCCATCGTTTGTCGGCGTTTATTGCAACAGGCAATTGCGGAAGTGCCACTTCCAATGCGACAACATTGACGTCTTGGCTCTGGTCACTGGTCGATGGCTTGGGATTTTTGATGGGGATTTGAGGGCTGGCCGACGGTACGCATGCGCAATAAACCGTTTTATGCATAACGGAACCGCAGTGCTGTTAATTTTTGCGCTGCGTGCACACGGCTAAATTCGTCAACGGGTCGGCTACGTAACGCCGTCAAAGTCGGGCGAGTCATGTGCTAATTAATAGTTGATGAAGCTGGGAGTTACGTGGCTCTATTTGCCTATTGTCTATTGGCCAACTCCATACCGGAAAAGTGATATTTGTAATCATTGTCAATCTGATATCATTTTCTATTAACACTCGAGTTTTATTTGATATATACATTTTAACTTTTAAACCAAGTGCTTTTATATTTCAAGGTTGAGTTTGAAGATTTTATGAATAGTAGATGGTAAGCTTTATGATATTTTATAATACGTTTCTCTAGCACTCTCACTTTCCTTGCTGCTCAACCTATAAAAATGGCTTATACAGGTTGTCAAAGTTGTGATCTTTCGATAATCCCAATGGGATAAAAGGCTGCCGAATGGGCATCCAACTGCTTCCGCTGGAGGAGAGATCCGTGCCGTGCAATCCCTTGACGACTGGAGCGTGAGAGTGAACAATCTCCAGGCGATCGTGTGCATGTCCTCCGGACAATATGTACTTCAAGGCCAAAAGTCCGGATGTGGCCAACGCGATTTTGCCCATGACAAACGATGACGCCGAAAGTGCTGTCAGCCATTTCAAGACCAAGGGCAGCAAAACTATTTTTGCCACAGCTGCGGCAGCCAGCAGCGGATACACCATTTTCATTAGCTTTTTCTGTTTTTTGTGCTTGCCGCGACCTGTGAATTAGGAGTAGCAATTAACAAATGAGACTGTTTATATGGTAACCTTTGAAAAAGATATCTGATTTATGTTTTTATATAAGTTTTTCTTTCAGCCATGACTTTTAATTCGCTTGTCTGTCAGAAATATTTGACAATTTTATGGCCAAGAATTGTAAAATCTGTTGCACTTAAACTTTAAAGAAAGCAAGAAGAAACGCAATAGTCTAAAAGATACACGTTACTTTTTATACAAATTTAAAATATTCATTTTGCTAGTGGAAATTCATGAAGCGCCACCTATTTGCAGAGAAAGCATGTTGAGTAACTGCAAGATACGTCACTGCTCATGTGAGGCCTTATGACCTACATTTTTTCATAAATAGCGAAATATTGTTCCGATTTGAAAAATCTTTGGTAAATCGATAGATATGGACAAAAAAGTGTTATACAAGGTCAGACGAAGGCATTCATTTTAATATCCGAAGTTTCTATCACTTATAGTTACCGAGATATCAGCTTTTCTACAAAATGCGAAATGCGTCTTTCGAGCTTGTTGGCGTAAGAGTGGGTGTGGCGGGATAATAAGATGCGTTGGCATCTCAAGATTATACATTCTGAATTTAAGCTGTTTAGCACTAATAGTTCCTGAGGTTTAAACGATTTTAGTTTTCCTTAATTTTGGGCGTTAAATTGGTCGTGTCAGGATGCTAAACTTTCCCTGCGTATGGACCTCAAGAATCTTCATGCTTAATCTCAACTTTGTATCTCTTAAAGTTCCTGATTTCTCAGCGTTCATACGGACAGACCGACAAACGGACATGCTCAATCGACTTCGCTATTGATCCTGATCAAGAATATATATATGTACTTTATAGGGTCGGAAAGGTGTTCTTCTACTTGCTAGATACTTTTCAACGAATCTAGAATACCCTTTCACTCCACGAGAAACGGGTGTAGCATTATAAGAATTTCTCAAATATAAAGTATCTGTGAAGAATAAATCTACTATAAAGTAGAGAGGGCTCAGAACGGTTTTATAACTGTGCAGTGAGTAAAAGGTATTTCACCCTTAAAGATCCCTTATATACCATCCTTCCTGGTTTTTGATTTGTAATAGATAACTATTTTATACAAGTGTACTTCAATTTGCCTCTTAAACTTTCAATAGGTAATAAGTACTTAAGAAAACCTTATATTTTCCAATGGACCAAACATCTCCTGCAATTATTCTTAACCTTAGAAAACCGTTTGTAACACACCTTCTGTTGACCAGCTCTCCAGCATGTTGTTAACCTCATGTGGGCTCAGATCATCGTTGATCAGATTGTTGAATTGGGTTTCGGCCATCGATAGCCACTCCCGTTCCAACCGCTGTCGCTCCTCGGTGGCAGCCTCCTGCTCGGCGTCTTGTTCCACGGCAGCCACAATTGCACCACCCAACTGCACCGCCGGAGGAAGACTGTAAGCACCACCAAAGGACACCGTCCTGATCAGATGGAATATCGTTATGGAGATCGAAATCTTTGAGCATGTTTACACCGTTGCACCGTTCTCAGACGACTGAGCAAAAGTGGGCGCTGCAGACTGCAGACTGTGGGTAATGGGGCACTCTCTTCGTTGCACTCCGCTGCATTTCGATTCAATTGGGTATCTGTATATTCTTGGCCAATTGGTGGCCACTCTGTACCGCTACCGCTTCTTATTTACACAGCAAGAAAGTTCTAGGTGGAGGAACTTTTTCTGTTGAAAAGCCATTTCTTTACTTATTAAAATTCCACATTTATAAGCTCTAAGTTTGTTTATCGCTTAGAGACTCTTGTTTAATTATTAAGTTTTTTTTCAGGTTATTCAAAAAATGTAAGTTATTTCTTATTGTATTCTTCATGATAAATGTCTAAATAAATTAATCAGTTGTGATAAGAAAGATTGAGTTTGAGGAATATTTGATTTATTTATTTTTAATGAAAGTCCTTGATACTTTTACTTATTTAATAAATCAAATTATATCAACAAACAAAGATTCTTTTTATGTGATTAGCATTCGCTTTTGTAAGAATCAAAAATTTGTTCATCAACAAAATTCTCACTTAAAGAATGTTTAAATTTGTACATTTTTCTATCACCATTTTGCAGCACCCAAATATTTATTTTTCATGCCATTCGAGAAGGAAACATCCATCCAAAGCTGAATAATTTAGTTAAGATGATTTATGATTCCACTTTTTCCCAAGTGTTCTACCTTGTTTTCGCTGATTTTGTTTTGCTCCGGCGATTCAGTTTTACTTGAGCGTGAACGGACACATTAAATTTTCCCTGCTTTAATGAACGGCTCACCGCCGACGTTTCACTGTAACTGTGGTTGTTAGTCGGTTTTGATTGTGTGCACCACACTTGTCGGGGGGTCAATTGCTCCGACCGTCAGCAAGTAAAAACTCTTCATTATCGTTGAATGCCATTTCAGTTGCCCCGTTTCGGTTCACTTGCCCTTTTTTTGTGTGGCTGCCACGTTTTCCATTTCTCAGTTGCGTGTGCAAGGAAAAGCTTTTGAGGGAGAATGGCTTTTCTGTGAAATTGGTTATCGAAGACAAAAACAAGTTGCAAATTGCTGTAAAATATGTCAAGTTGGTGGAAAATAAATGTCAAAGAACCGGAAAATATTATTTTATTGACTAAGCTTCCTTAGCACTTTCCTTAGTTTCCTTAAAAGTGTTTAAACTAAATTAATTAAAATTGTAATTAAAAGTAAATAAACCATCGAAAGTCAGAACATTTGAAATAAAAATAACACATAATTAATTAAATGCTGTTGGCCTAAAGTAATTAGCGTGAGTTATCTGAACTTCCAGGAAAACCTTTGGCTAAAACTGCTGCAACGTTTGCTTTATTAATTGGCCATCAATTTGGAATTTAAAACGAACCTGCCGCTGCCACAGAATTCAATCAAATTGCTGTGTCCAGAGCAGACCCAATGAAAATGATATTAAAATTTCATTAATAACATTGCCATTAACATGAATGGCCCTGAAAATATTCCAGATTCCATTTAAAGGCTTTCCTCGAGCTCTTGCTTATGTAAATTTTGATAATGCCCCGTGGCTGCTGGCCTGCCACGTATATAGCAATAGGATTAATTAAATTTCACCGATATATTAAGGTGGCCCAACGAAGTCGGCTTCTACAATTACCCAAGTTGGCTAGATGGGAGTGTATATGGGCTGGGAAATTAAATAACGTCCAAACCGAATTAGGTGTGGCCCAGACGAGACAAATGGACTTATCTCCTCGGCACATACGTATGTAGTGCTGGCTTATGTGCATGCTATATATTCACTGGATGCGATATATTCCAAACACATTCAAATGCACACGCGTGCCTCGGAACTAATCGGAGTTAGCAGTCAGCAGTCGCCAGTCAGCAGTCAACATTCGTTAACGCGTTTGCTGTCGTCACTTTTCATGCCCAAAACCCTGACTTCCAACTAACCAACTGCAGAGTGTCTGCGGAATTTATCGTGGCCTGGGTGTCAGCGGTACTTTTATTTGGCATCCGGTTGCTGCTTAAACTGTACTCTGCCCTGCGAAGGTATTTTTTTGGAATTCCAAAATGTTTATGCTAATTGGAAAATACCTTTTTCAAGAATTTTCACATTTGCTGTACATACTTGTCTTAGTTGCTTAATTAATTATCATTCTATATATATATATATTTTATTTTTATATTATTTTATTTCGGCAAAAGGCCATTGATCTTGGTAAATTTCATTTTGAAGGAAGTAAGTACATTCTCAAGAAAACTGAATTTCTGTATTCTGGGTTCTAAAATCTGTAAAGAAATTTGATAAATTCTTCGGTAAGTTGGGATACAAGTATACTTAGAAAACTTAAATTTCATATCTAAAATAAATACTTAAAATCTAAGAGCCCTTACCGGAAAAGAAGTTCATAAAATCTAAAAAAAGAGAACACTTTAGTATTTGAAATAAATTTAGCTCAACATTGTAAGTAATAACAAATTAAGTTAATGTAAAGTTAATAAACCACAAGAATAGGTATTACAAATTGTAAAATCTTGAAGTGAATTAATAAATACATACATACATAAGTTAAGATTATCTTTGATAAAATAGGTTGAACTAAATTCTTAGTAAATGCTTTAATACAATTTTGTACGGTAATATGAATCAACCTAACACACGGATATATCTTACAACACATTTCACCATCAGTAAACGGGGTATTTAATATTCGACTTCGCAATTTAACCACTTTAAATTCGTTTATAGTTTTTTTGGGAGACTAAGCTGTTATGTACAAACTTCATTTGACTTGAGGGCGTCGTTTGTGTTATCGCTGAAAATCTGAACTTTTGTTTATAGCCAGCAAGCAGACAAATCAATGCCGGCTGACTGAACAGTTGGCCAACTTTAGTCGACCGGCTAATCTAAATGTGTTTCCAATCCGCGCTTCTCAGAGTTTCTTCAAGACGAGCGACTTGCTGGCATGGACGCCACCCGCGGAGGTCTTCAGACTCATTACGGCCGTAAAGAGAGCGAAGAAGAAGCCGGCCAGACCCGTGGTGCCAACGAGCAGCGTGAGTCCGCCGATTAACACAGGGATGAGGGTGAGGAACTTGAGCTTATAGGCAATCAGCAGGGGAAAGAGCAGCTTCTGGACCTTCTTCTTCAGCTTCTTGAGCTTGCGGCCTTCGGATTCCGAGGAAAGGGGCTGGGCGCGACCTTGAGCCAAGAGCTCCTTTGATGTTGCACCTGATGATTCTGCGGCTTCTGCTGACTCGCTTGCGGTGGCATCCAATTTATTTGAACCGGCGTCATCTACGAGTGGAGGAGCGGAAGAATTAGTTAGCCGGGTAATTAAATGGTCAGGCACAGGCGCCCCGAGGTCATGGTGGCTCGTCGGTTGTATGACCACATGAAGGGGAAAGATATAGTTGGATATTGGATCTTAATCAATTTAATCAGTTTTAAATGACTATAGAATGCTTTCAAGTTTTAAATAGCAACCTTGACGAAATATAAGTATCAAAATTAATAACTAAATCTTTTAAATTCAAAAATAATACAGTATTTACATCCCCAATTAAATTAATAATAATTCAATTTAAGTATACGATAAAGATAGAATTCAATGTTTAAGCTAACTTTTATTGACAACTATCACCGTAGATATTTCTCGGAACGATTACCCACCTGCCTCGTCGCTTATCACGGTCCTCAGGGCATCGCAGAAGTTACGCACTTTAACCAGAGCCCGTTCAAAGGGCACCAAGTAGGACTCGATACCCCGGAGCGACTCTCGTTCTTTTGCTTCCATAGGAAGGATTTCGTTTTCATCGACTTCATCGTCGTCATCATCATCATCACCATTAACCGGGTGAGTTAGAGTCGCAGCCACCTTATGAACTTCCGGCTCGGCATCCTCCGCATTTGGCAGCTGGCGTAGGAGTTGGCCCCGTCGCATCTGCTGGCTGATGGCCAAAACATAGCTGGCTGGATCGCTGGGAGGAATCGGTTTGTAATTTCCGCCTGGCGGTGTGGAGCTCTCGTTGTAGCGGTGGTTGTAGGCGTAGAAATTGACAGGAAGTCGTTCCGGCTCTGGCTTTCGCCTTTCCCGGATCTCCTCCCGCTCCGGCTCCCTGGAACTGGGCGCTGTTGCCTGGAGGATGAGCCAATTGTTGTGCTGGGTGAAAGGCTGCCATGCATTCATCTCCAGCTTCAGTTGCGGGCCTTGGTTGCCGGCGGAAGTGGCGCCATTAAACCGGCTGGCATCGCTCCTTGCCACCTTCATTGTTATGAGCCCGTAAATACCGAGCACCAACACCTGTCGCTGCCACATTCTGGACTTGATTTCACTTGTGGATCCTTTGGCCGGGCAACACACTTCACACACGCACTCCGCACGCCGTCAAGAATCGAACTGTGAGGAGGTAAGCGTCTTGAGATCTTTGTAGACCAAATTCTACGGGCCATTCGATAGTTTATGGGGCTCTCTGGTTGAGCGATTTTACGGCCTTTCGCCGAAAAATGCTGTGGCTTTTTGCTTGCGGTCAAGCGCCCAAATGATCCCCCAGATAGCTTTTCTCGTCGAAGACTTTTACCTATCCAACACAAAGAGAAATGCGTTCGTATTAAATTAGTTTAATTTAAATTTAGTTTAGCTCAAGAACTAAGAATTATATTGGATAGCCATTACAACTTCCTTGATATTTAATATAAACCTACTTCTCGTTCTAAATCTATGAACTGGATATATTTGCAGGCTTTCTTCAATTGTTTTTCACAAAAAAGTCTGACCTTATTATTTATCTTTCAAAGTAATTTTAAGCATTAAAAAACCTAAGAAAAACTTTTCACTGTGCACACATTCAGAAGGTTAATCCGTCAGGCGTAACTGGATTGGGTGGAGGAAGCCGACCACTGGCCACTTCCCAGTTACCAGTTCCCACTTATGTAAATTTACCCAGATGATGACGAGCGGGGGTCCCATTGGCAGATCGAAGATTAACGCTCTAGGGAGCAAGACACGTGCTGCTGCTGAGCCCATTGAGGCATGTCGATTTTAATTAGAAAACAATGCTTTCAAGCCTCTTTTCGGGAGTTTTCACTTTTCATCACTTTGCCACTCTACGTAGCTGCCCTGTTGCACGTTCAAAACCACAAGACCAACTGATGGCCTTGCACTTGTTGCCACTATTCTATATAGGTTTCGAGCCCTGGGAAAGTGTGCCTAATGGGTAAATTCGCGTAATTGTAGGTCCGTGCGTGCTAATTGGGTCTCTGAACTTGCCACCTGTTGATGCCCGTGGCGGATAAAGTTGGTTTCTGCCTCGATTTGAATGCAACATCTCAGGTGCTCGCCATGCGTTTAATCTTCCCAAATGGACGATGGGCCAGACAAGAGATGAATCTGTGGGCGGAAAAGCGCCTGGGCTCTGGGTTTTTTGCTGCATTTTCCCCCACGTTGCACTCACCTTATTGCTTTCCATTTCCCTGCCACATACTGTTCGGCGCCAGCTGTTCCCTCTCCCGTAAGCAGGCAAAAACCTTGCCAGCTTTTTTGCGCGTTTCCCAGCTGCGTTGAAGCTTCAACCTTTTAACGAAGCTTACTTTTGGGCTTGTGGTTGAAAAGAAGTCACGGAAAATGGCTAGCTTCGGTGGAGTGGATGAATGGTGCAAGGTAGGGAGCGCTCTGCACATCTTTCTGATTTGATTGAGTTTGGTGTTGAGTAAGCCAAATTGAGGTTGAGTAATAGTTTCGAAAGTTTATGCAAAATGTACTTAAGGAAATGCAAATACCAATAAAGTTAGTAATATAGATTTGCATATTTATTCAGTACATAAAACTTAGAAGATTTTGTTAAAGTTTGTAATACAAATATATTTCTTGATGAATTTTAAAGCCCTTATTGGGTTCTTTCTTAAATTCATGTCAATAGTTTATACTTTTTTATGGTAAATGGGGTTTTAATAGTTCATTAAATTGAAAATAATATGTAAACACTGTTTGAGAGTTTTATTAGTGATAAGAAAATTGCTCAGAATTTGCATACTACATTTAATATTCTTATTAGTGAAGTTCAAGCTCTCAATATACCTGTGGAACGCCATATATCATATGATTGTACTTAATATAATATTTAAGTTCTTTCATTTAAAACTATTTCTTATTTCTACATTTTACACTTTTGACTTTTTCGATTAAAAATATGTTAAGATTTGGTTTAAGGTCATTTAAGTTACCATTCTTGTTTTTAACAGATCTGTTAAAGAGACAAATTGTACCAACGATGTTCTTTAAAGTTTCCTAAACAAAAAATGTTTCTTTCATGAAAATTGTCACGTCATGTGAGGAACAGGAACAGCAGTTAGATTTTGGCAATCCTTACCATAATGCAGTGCCCAGCTCTATTTGAGTTATTTCTGGCTTTGTTTTTCCATTATCCGTATAGGAATGATGTATGGGAAAGGCTTATGGCACTGAATAAGTGATTTAGCCTTGGCGATAATAGAGCCTTTGTTGGCCCGTTTGAGGGAAGTAGGCTAAAATTGTGGCTTAGGCTGGATGGCAATTGAAATGGCTTTCAGAGCATGGCCATTAACGGCTGGCTATGATTGATAGTGACCAAAGGAACTCATTCGTAGAGCTTAGGGTCATAATAGAGACCGACTGCAGCTTATTTCTTTCAAAGTCTACTCATACAGTGCTCCAAAACCCGTATTTCATCTGGCATTGTTTTGCTGTCTCATGTATGAGTATGCTAGCAAGAGATGATCAAACATGAATCAAGCCAGCTAAAAGACATTTAAAGCATTTATTTTTATTACCGCAAATTTGCATGTGGCTGGTTTTTTTCGGTTGGTGATTATGATGAGCTAACAACTGGGACAAGTAGTCTTGCATTTTTTTGCCGCACTGCTCGTGTCGCGAATAGTACACTGAGTAAATATTCATAGGTATTCTGTTTCTAAGATTTTCTTAAAATAAATATGTTTTTTTTTAAGTATAGTAAAGTAAATATAGTTTATAAAAAGTATTGCCTTTTGCAAATATAAATTCATTTAAGGTAACAGTTAAAGTTATATAACTCATTTTTAATGATTTCTTCCAGTTTACTTTCCGTGAAATGCTGAACTTAACTGACTATATTTCTGTTTCATAGCCTGCATTCTATTGGGTTCCCTAGTTCTCAAAACCCGATTAATATAGCCGTAAAACTAGTTCAACGTAGAGCTCTTCCTACGCCCAGCTTTAATGGAAGTCATAAATTTATTTTCGGGAATAGACCAGGCCAGCCTGGCTTTAATCAGAGCGCTGCTCAAGATTTGGCCTAAGTCAATGAGATGAGTCAAAAGACCTTGTTTTTGGAGAGAAGTTAAGCGTGTGCGACATATAGCCGCTCACTAAACCACCTTAGCCGGGGGTTTGGCCAGGCGGCTATTAAATCGAATGCGAATTTGGCTTTTGGCATTAGTTCTACTTGTGCTTCTCGAGCGTTCGCAGGCCGAAATGAAAGTGAGTCCAGGATTCGTGAAAGGATTAAATTCGAACTCATATCCCTTCTCCTTTGCCCAGGTATTCGTATGTCTTCTGGCGCTGGCCGCCACTCTGGCAACAGCCAATGCAGGACTCCTGGAACTGTTAAAGAAGGGCGGCGGAGGTGGTGGCGGTGGCTATGGCGGCGGATACGGTGGTGGCTATGGAGGAGGATACGGTGGTGGTGGCGGCGGCGGAGTCCAGGTCGTCAAAGTGATCAACACCTATGAGGGAGGACACGGAGGTGGCTACGGAGGTGGCTACGGAGGCGGCTACGGAGGTGGCTACGGAGGTGGCTACGGAGGAAGTGGCTGGAACTCTGGCAGCTACGGTGGTGGTTACGGAGGCGGTTATGGAGGTGGTTACGGTGGTGGCCATGGAGGCGGCAGCCACGTGGATGTCTACAAGGTGATCACTACCACGTCCCATGGAGGTGGCTACGGCGGTGGCTACGGAGGTGGTTACGGCGGTAGCTACGGAGGTAGCTACGGAGGTGGTTACGGAGGTCAATCCGGCTGGTGGAAAACCAAGTAAGCCGGAGATACTGACCCAATAAGCCCGTATTGCCCCCATTCCCCAGAACTACCCCCCATTTAGCCGTAGTCCGGATACAAACTCGTTTATGTACCTGAAAAATCTTCCATAGCTAAGCAACCCGAAACTCTTTAAGGCCAGTTATTCCCAAATTAGCGAAACTAGTTTGAGATTATCGGCAGACTGCTTGGCGAAACCCACAAGAAAAAGTAAAAGTGAATCTTATTTAAATTAAAGAAATTGTGTTTTATTTTACTTTGCAACTTTGTCAATGCAATTAGCATATCTATGGGTTTATGTCTATAATTGGGGCATTATCTCATTAGCATATTATTTGTAAAATCTGAATAAAACCCAGTCTTATATTAAACCCTCCTTTGCTTGCCAAAATTGCTTGTCAAAAATAACATCTTCCCTCTTATTTCAAGTTCACATCTACATTTAGCTGAGATAACAGTCATTATACTGCACACGCCGTGCTTTAATCGCCTTTTGAATAATATAATTTTGGTTTTTAAGGCTATAAGTTTCCGGATTTTTATGTCCCCTATTTATAAGCATTAATAAACGCCGAAAATGTAATCATTTTATAATGAATTAAGAGAGTTATTTGCTGAAAATATTATTAAAAGACCTAAAAAAATGTATTTAACACATCAAATTGGAATTTGGTAAAATATAGTTTGATAAAGCTTAGCTAAATATATAACAAAAATAATAGTTGAATATTTAATATTAATATATTTATGGTTAAATATAAAGAACCATTTGGAGTGTTGGTAATCGTCTAATCTTGAGGGGTTTACACTCCGCTAAATATATTCCATTTCTTTCCTAATTTGCATTTTTTATAAGAAGTTGTTTACTGTTAATTATATTTGTAAATTGGTTTTTAAATGTATTTGATTGGTTAGCTGATTACCAATAATATCAATAGGATTTAATCTAATTAAATTCTGGTTTTGCCTTTCTCTTTTTATAGACTGTTTAGAATATAGGAAATTTAAATGCTTCACTGTAGAAGAAAAGGGGATTTTCCATCACAATTAAGCATAATTATGTATATTGACTACATCTCTTTACTACCTAACAAGCTGAATTGATTGTTAATTTCCGTGTTCCTCAGTCAATTAAAGTTAAGGTCTTAAAGGAGAAGGGAGCAGGTCTTTAATAAGCTTTAGGGAACGTGGCTTCCAACTGCTGAGCCACAATGACATGCCGAATCCTTAATTAAAGTTGATTTGGCTAACAGCTTTAACTCACTTAACTTGCGCCCACAGATTTTCATATGCCAGCCAACTAATTGGATGATGATTCATTTTGCGTAATTCATTATTGTTCCCTCCTGGAATCTGAGATGTATTCAGTTATGATTAAGGTCAAGGGGGCAAAACTGGTACTTGCTCGAGTAAGCCAACTAACTTTCCTCCTAGTGCCCATGGCCTGGAAAATGTTTACACAGCTGAACTGTGGACCAACTTGCTTCTCGGCTCAAATCTCTTGCGAGCTTAGATGTGTGTGTTTGGGCCAGGGCAATAAACGTGGGCCATAAGGTTGCCGAATATGGGACAAACACCCTGGGACACTACAAGTGGAATTAATGGAAGTCGGAGATGGGGCCAAGTTTTATTGGGATTTGGCCAAGGCAAGCGGAAGTAGTCCCCGGCAAATGGTTACAGGAAGCGCACATATTTGGCCAAGTATCTTTAACATGACCTTCCAGAGTTCAAGCCAGAAAAAGAAGAGGGAAGACGTGCCTTCGATTGGTATCATTGATTTTATTTGTATAAATTTTTTTTTCTTTTCTGTTTTTTGAAAACTTTGCTGCTTACATGCGATTTACACTTAAGGCTAGTAAATAAATAAATAAGTTAAATAAATTATTACACCTAGTGGCTACGTACAGTTAGACAGGCTAGAGTTAGTATGAGTGCTAGAGCTAGTGGAGTGAGATGTGAGCGGAGCAGCAGAAGCGGAAGTATGAGCGGTAATTGAAAATAGCGAGTGCAGTTAGCCATATAGGAATCGAAGCACAGTGAGATGCAGATACAGAGTACAGATACAGTACAAAACAAAAAAAAACTGAGATACAGAGGCCGAGTTCAGTAACAGTAAACTCGGATGGATGAAGAACAGACATAACAGACAGAGCAGAGCAGAGCGGTAGATAAAACAAAACATAATCGATTAAAGCAAATACTAATCATTATAAAAAACCGCGCATTGCCAGTGGGAACGCACGTTCTGGATACATTTCATCCGATGTACCCATGGGTGCCACTGTGCGTGGAGTGAACCGTTGGAAGTGCATCGAGTCATCTTGTCTGCCCCGCAGTGCAAGTGCAAAAAGAGAGTTTATGTATATCTAATTACAATCCGTCCGCTGTCCGTGATTTATCCACAAGATAAATGCAGCTATCTAACACTTGGTGTCACTCCTCCTCCTCGTGTACCTCCTCCTCCTCCGCCCTATGACTTGGTCACTTGCGGCGCCGCTGCCTTCGAATGCAGATGCTGCAGCTGAGGATGGCTCTGAACATGTGCCGCCTGCTCTTTGTTGTGAGCTCTGTAGGCCAGCTCCTGGGCCTCGGTCAGGGATCGCCTGTCCCATCCACCGCCGCCTCCTCCGCCACCACCGCCCGAGGACCAGCCACCGCCTCCACCGCCGCCGCCTCCTGAAGACCAGCCGGAACTGCCGCCCGACGACTTGCCGGACATCAGCTTCTTCAGCCCAATTATGCCCGCCAGTAGCAGGGCAATCTTCGAGATGATCAACGCCTTGCCCGCCAGTATGTAGAGTGCTCCCATGGCAATCGGAATCATGCCCATCAGCTTCATGGCCATGCCCATCATCATCATGCCCATCATCTTCTTCATTTTACCACGGCCTGCAAAAGAAGTATTGGGTTAATTTGGGGTTTCATTGCATGCTGACGTTAACTAGCAGTTAATGCTAACTTATTTTAGTATATATAGTCACCGTGTACGCCACAGAAATTCCCTTGATTTACTAACACAACTAATCTTATTTTCCCTCAAATCACATTCAAAAATATTCACTTTTTTGCCAAAAATAAATTTGTTTACTTATGTTTATTATCTGATAATAAAAACTTTAACAATGCCAAAGAAAATGCCTGCCAAAACAATACTCAAAGTAATTAAATCTAAGAAATCTTGCAAGATCTCTTGAGATTTTCATAGCACCCCTGAAAATCTTTGAGAGACGGTGAAAGTGCCAGCTCAATTAACCAAAGGCTGTGTGAGAAGGTTTTCCCAGGTAGATGGGCATTCCGTTTTGGCAGCAACGTGTGTGGCTTTCATTTCGCTGCCTTCATTAGGGACACTGTAGGCGATTTCACTGGCCTGGCTGGTGGAAATTGCATTTGGACATGGGCACGTCCATGGATATGGCCACGGACATGGACATGGAAATGGAAACGAAAATAAAAATGGCAATGGAAATGGACACTAATGCTGTCGAAAAGACCGATGATCGCACAGTCATAACCAGCTTTAAGCAGGCATCTCCTCCGATCGCCGCAATCGCTGGCAACGAGTATTAGCCAAAAATGGCTGTGGCATTGGGAAAGTGTTGGCCAACTTGCACTCCAACTCCTCGTATCGATTAAAAAATCTTGATCAATGATTTGAAAGTAAAAGAAAAATTTCATGTGGCGTGAAAGTAAGTTCACTTTTCATTGCATCGCATTGCGATCTTGATGTGGATGTTGCACTAAGTGCTTGTGTCAAATTTGTAATCGACGACAGCTCGCATTCAAAATGGAAATGCCAATGCCAGTGGCCTAGTCGAGGAGTTGTTTTTCGTGGCCTCGGAGGAGAAACGTGGTCGCCACTTTCATTGCATTTGACATGGTCATGACATCTAGACATGGCTTAGTTTTTGGTTTTTAACTCGTCATACTCTGCCCTTCAAGGAACTAGTTACTTGGGCTTAGAGTGGGGAAAACTAAGATTGAATTTTTTATTTTTTTTTGCGAGAGGCAAATGGAAAGCTACTAATATTATGTCTTCCTTATTTATATTTCTCTGACATTTTGTGGTAAAATTTAAATTTAATCTTAAACATCTTTCGCTGTTTGCCAGAATAAAAAGCTAGAGTGACTAAGCTTCGTGGTGGTATACTTAGGCCGCGTGATATGTTTTTTCGGATGTTTTTTGGACAACACGAAATTCTGGCATGACATTATTTTATTCGACGTTTTCGCTGCCGTCTGGCTGATGTCGTTGTTAAGGTTTCTGGGTCATTCCTGAGTTGCTCAACGAGTTTTCTCGTGTGTGCGTTATAAAAGAGGCGAACGAAAAAACTAAAAACAATTGCGCATTTTCCCAGAGCCACTATGAAGTACCCTCCCCATTTCCCCCACGGCCAGCCCACTCACCCTGTTTACATACAATGCAGAATGATAAGCCAGGAAATGGGCCAGCCAGCGGTTGCTGACGATGCAGTTGCGAGTGTCATTGCCACAGCTAAGATATACCTTGGAGCACTATGACGGCTCTCTTGGCTCTAATAACTGCCTGGAAATTACCGGCAACAAATGTGGCCAGAGTCATAGTCAGAGTCAAATTATGTCACTGTTACGCGCAATGGATACTGGGGTATTAGCGGTAACCGCAATTAGACCGCCCCCAGAAAGTGATGATTGGCGCTGTGCGGTGGATCGATTTGTTTGCCAAAGAAATCTGTTGCTAATTCTAGGGAATTTTGTGGTATAAACAGGGGATCTAACTCAATAGCTGACCATACAAAATCTTAAGTTAAAAGTCGGTTTGGCCTTACTAATTAGGAAAAATAAAAATAGTTAAAAGGCTAGAGAAAGAATTTGTTGTAGGAACTGCAGTTATTTAATAAATTATCCTAATTAAATATTTTTAATGATTCAGAAAATATTATAATATATAATAAACGCCCAAATTTCCGAGAATGTTTCATTAATTTTTTATGTGCCTTTTAAAGGGGAAAAATTCCTTCCTTATAGACAGTCTTAAATGTGGGAATTAACATTCCTTTAAATTCTAACAAATTTGCCCTATGCTCTTTAGAAGACCTAAACCCTCAATCCTTCCCTGATATCTTACCTTCCTCTAAGCCGCGTCCGATCTCATCCGAAGTGAGCTTGGGGAAGCTGACCTGGAGCGAGTGTCCATTAAAGAAGTAGCTGAACCGCTCGATCAGCATATTTGTAAGCTTGGCGTCTCGATCGCTACCAGATCGTGGCAACGAGGACTCTAGTTCGTTCTCACTGGTGGCCGGCGGACGAGGAGCCGTCTCCAGGCGCACCAGCTTGATGCCATCAGCCACGTTGATGGCATCGATAGGAGCCAGACGATCAATGAAGGATATGGCCTTCTTCTTCAGGCATGGCACAAATCCGGCTTCGGCTCTGGTGCACTCGTCGTAGACCCGGAGAAGGGTCCGTGCCCCTGCGCTTTGCGATGGACTGGGTGGAGTGCCTAGCTGCTCGGTGGCCGCCCCACAACTGCCGGCGAGGATCAACACGGAGAGCAGGCTGATAAGGGCCTGCCAGGGCCACTGCTTGAATGTCATTCTAAGGCACTTTTCACACTTTTCCCGACAATCGACGACGACAACACTCGCGGCACACCTCGCGACAGGTGCTACACAGGTGGAGGTTAGTCCTTTGTCCAAAAAATCTGATCCTGTGGAGTCACTGGGAGCAGCTTGCTCTGGCTGCTGGCTCGAATCAAACTGATGCCCAGACTTGGCGCGCTTTGTTCTTTTATAGACCTTTCTTTCTTTCTTTCAGCGCTGGCTCGACAACCTCTTGATCGCAATTTGATTTTCCTCGGCTGCGACTTCGACTCCAACTACGACTTCGGCGTCTTCGGGCCTTCAGCTCGTGCTGGCTCTTTTCCCCGCTCGGTTTTCCACGGCGGTGGGAATAAATGTGCGCCAGTGCTGTTGGCGCTAAAGTTTTCCAAAGGCCATAAATGAATTAAATCTGACAAATTGATATATCTTTTTAAGTGTTTTTTTATGAGCTGTTATTTTCTTATTTTTAGTGACTTTCAAAAGTATGAAAATATTTTTATTCTTTTTATAGCTTTTTTTGTTTGTAAGTAATTTTAGTTATGGGTAATTATAATGTAAAGGCTTGCTTCCCACATTGTGTTTATTAAGTAATAAAATACAATAAAAAAAGAGAACATAGCATCTTTATGTGCTTTATTAATTACTTTAAGATACATACAATTTTTAACATACTTATAAGACTATGATTTCTGTACTGTAACAAACTTGTTTTAAGGATTTTAAACGTTAACAATGCATCTGCATCTCAATCTGGTTTAAACCTTGTTCAGATTTGTAATCTACCTACTTTTGGCCAAAAGTACAAAGAAATAAGGAAAACTTTTCAGATTTTTCCCAGAATGTTCGTTATGGAACTCTTAACACCCTTCATAGCTAGAAACTAGCCAAGCTGACATCACCATTGCCTTCGTGATCATTGGCAGCCGTACTCCTCAATGAACCAAAGCGCCCAGCAGCGAGGCGAAGGCGAGGCCAAGGCATTTCCAACGGGTTCCGACTAGTTTTTCCAGCCATAGCTTTCGTTGTTTATGGCCAAACATATTAGTTGCATTAGTGGTTTTGGTAGGGGTTCGCTTTTTTTTTTTGGCATCTGACCATTTCTGCAACTGGCTGCCGTTGCCGTTGACACTTTAATTTCAATTTGGCTTTTAGCAATTTTCGCCATTCGAGTACGAGTTTTGGTCATAAAGAAAGTCATTGCCAGCCACTAAACAGTGGCCAATGGCCATTTTTTCTGTTAGGTTATGCAAATGCCAATGGCAACTGTGAATGGGGTACTCAGGGCTCTTCAGGTAGCCAGCTAACCCACTATAAATGGTTCTAGGCCATTGACAGGCCCAGCAAAATGGCAAATTGCTGATTGAGATGCAATCTATCGGTATAAATGCATCTGTATCTGATAGAACGTGCTCCACACATGCGTTTTGCAAAGGGAAAGGAAAGCACTTCATAGTGATGGTTGCTTTTTGCGGCCTGACTGCTGCTGTAAAAACAAAACAGCGGGAAAATGCATTTTCTGGATTCTTCTTCTTCTTGTTTTTCAAAGGCTTTCGCTTGGCGATCGATTTATGTGGCAGGCGGCCATAAAAAGGAATATGATCCGGACCCAGAAAGGCAGATAGTAATTTTTGACTAATAAACTGCCAAATTAATGCCCCCGCCGGCCACAAAGATTTCGGACTAATAGCCCAGCCGGCTACTTACTGCCAACTCTGCCCACTGGGCCAACTTCACACTTTAAGTGTCGGCATTTGGGTATGCAAAAGTATCTCTTACCCAGCTACCCGCTTTTTTTTTTGGTTTCTGGGCCACTCACTTGGATTTTGATTTCATTGGTCGCCGCCTCTTTTTCACGCCACTTTCACTGGTCGAACGTCGGTGGAAAAAGGTACTTGGTGGTTTTCCAGGGGCAGTTCATCGATCTGCATAAGGCTCTTTCGGGTGGGAATAAGTACTTATTTGCTCGCAGCTTTGTTTTCGTTTAGGTATCGCTCGATGAACAATGAAGAACCAAAGCGTTTTGGGTTCACGGGCCACTGGGGAGCTTCAATAAGTGTCCCGAGCCAAGTGGAAATTTATGGGATTTCCCTGTGAGGCAGTGAACCTGAAAAGCTCCCGTCCTTCCAGTTCTGGAGAAAAAAGACTTTAATATATTTTTTAATGACGGTCATGTTACTTGCGCCCATTGACGAGTTGAAAAAGTTTTGTTACAGGTTATGAATCTTTACAATGCATTTTTGTTAATATTATTTCAAAGTACGTAAACAATTTCAGTTAAACAAATAATAATAAAAATTAAAATGGTATATAACTCAATTAATTCTTGGTATTTGTTTGCATTTAAATTCCAAATTTATAAGATTTAAATATGATTTAAAGAGGCAATAAGTTCAAATCAAAGTTTGATACTAGGTTGAAATACTTTACTTTTCTAAGAAGACATCTATAATTTTCAATTTTAATTTTCAAGAATATTCAATAATGTGCAATGAACATGTTTGTATCGCTATTTTGGGTAAGTTAAATCTACGTTTATCATTAAATTTCCAATTATTGTCCTTGTCATGTTTAGCTTCAAGCTTTTCCCAATAACAAGAAAAGTCTTTACAGTTAACCAAGAATATTTTACCCCCCAAACATGAATAAATTGAAAATTGTTCGACACGTTTACTTGACGTGAATGTCAGCCCCTCGGATATTTTCCTCTGGACACTTTCGTATCAAATTCTTTTCCTCGCCTTTCCAAATGCCACTCGCCGAACGAGCAATGCTACTAATGTGCATCATTGTTTGTATTCCATGCTAAGTCGACCTGTCAAAATGTCCATCAAGCTTGGGGTATTATTCGTACCCGAAGTTTCCCAACATATGATTTTTCCATTTTATTATGCGGGTGGGTGCTGCAGCTGCAACCGAAAACATCCGCATCTGCAACTTGTTCGAGTACAATGTGCTGGGACAGACACACGTATCCATATCAAATGCCCATATCTCCGCGGCTTCGGAGCTGCGCTTGCGCATGTGAAACAATTCCAATTGTCTTCCTTCCTCTGCGTGCCAAAGCTTTTCCGCGGGCAAGGCCAGCTGAAGTACACTGGGAAAATGTTCTGTAACTTTTTAGAGTTTTTAAAAATATTTCGTTGCTTATAAAAACCGTATTCTCATCAAAGAAAAGGATTTATTTTATTTTTAATAACTTTAAAATGGTCTTTACAAGTTATATAAAATTAAAACAGAAATTAAGAATATTTAAATTTGATATTTAATATTTTTAATGTTGGACTTAATAGGGATTTTTCGAACAAGGTTTTTTTCAATCAAGAATAATTATGTAATGTTTTATACTAAATATTAATCGCATCTAAAATTTTAAGGTGATAACCAAAACAATCTTAAAAGCTCATCATCATTTTTTAGGAACTCCTTTTAGATAAGATTAATTTTAGAATTAAATAGCCGTGTCTGGTATATCTGCCTTTCCCCAACAACACAACATTATTCATATTTCATGATTTCATTCTGATTAAAGTTGAATTACTTTATTATTCTGAGTGCAACTGGCAGTAATTGCAGCAGCAGCAATACAGGCGACGGCAACAACATTGTCTGCTTCCTTTGGCCCGCGGCAACTTTTCGAGTTGGCATCGTCGCCACGCCCTGCACTTTTCTCCGTTGGCCAAAAGATTTTTTACAGTTTTCCCGTGCCACTTTGCGGTCGAGTCGAAACAGAAAATAAAAGCAAAAAGACAACCGCAAAAGCAAAAATTAAAAGAAGAATTGCATTTTAATAAAAAACAACCGCAGCTGCATTCGGTTCATGGAAGTCGTTGCGGCTCAAATGTGTGTGAAATTTTCCGGAGAAAGTACATGAAAAACCAACAACCTACCGCAACCATAAAGCCAGCAAAAGACTGTTCTAAATTCTTGGAGTGCGAAAACCTCGGTCAGGTTAAAGTTGGGAGGCCAATTAACTTTCGGTTTTATTCGTTTTTCGTTTTTATTTTCGCTTAGAACCCGATTCGCACTTGGCCGCAGCTGACTTTCTATTTCATGCCGTGGGGGTTGTTTGCCTCCCAGAGTTTTTTCTTACTTTTGTGCAATAAAATTGCAATTTTCACAACAACAAAAAACAACAAAACAACAAAAGAAAGCGAAAAGAAAATGTTTATTGTGTACACGTGTGTTTGTGTGTCTGCGTTTTTCTACATCTGCTTGTTAGTGGCCATGTTTCTGTTGGTTTTGGCTTTTATCGCATGCTTTGACGCCGCATTGACGTTAATCAAAGTTAACCGCCAAACGCTCGCACAAATCTCACGCTAATTAACTTTTATATGGGATCAGCGTCGACGGGTGCGATAAGCCGGCATCTCTTTCGGCGGCATCAGCACATCGCGTCAAGTGGTCCACGTCGTCCAGTTGGCCAACCATTTGGACATCCGCTCTGGCACGACCGTCACGAGCCAATTTTTTGCTGCCGTCGCTGCTGATTTTCATTTAATTTGCGAACATTTTACTTAAGCGTTATGCCCGCTCGGGGAGTTTACATCGAAAAATCGCCAGCATTTTTCACAGCCATCCGGCGAGTGTCGCGTGGCCATTCGGGCTGATAATGTGAGAAGAGCCCATTTATCCCACTTTCAGGAGTTGGCTCAATGTCATGAGTGGGGAGAAGTGAATGTGGAAAATATTAAGATTGGCATTAAAATGAAGTTTTTTTTGGTTTTATTCCCAAATACTTACAAGTGAAGTACAAGGAGGTACAAAGATAACCTTATGTTAAACTTAAGGATGAGGAAAATCGGGAGATTTAGGTTTTATCTATCTTTCCAGTTTTTCGACTGCTTTATAAAATATTTTTTTGTATGGTTAGCAATAGAAATTCCTTATATCACAAGATGTGCACCATGAACAAGTTGTTAAAAACGTACATTTATGTGATAAACTCACGGAATCTATTCTCATATCGTACTATTGCCATACAAATATGAATAGAAAAGGTTATCTTTCTTAATGTAAAAATGCAGGAAAATAAGCATTTATGTATATATGAAAGATCATCATAATTTGCCAGTCTTATTTGCCAGGTAACTCCAATCACGGATATACACATTAAGGCAGCTGAAAATGCAGATTTACTGGAGTGTGTGGAGTTCAGTGGATTGTGGATAAGC